CAAATTTCTCCCCTGGGTTTTTCCTTTCCCCTTTCTTTAAATTTTCTTTGTGTCCGAAAATTCCTTTTTTTTTTTTTTTGGAAGAAAAAAAAAAAAAAGTTTGGGTTCAAACGGTTCTTTTTTTTTTAAAGGCCCCCATAAAAAAAAAAAAAGAGCCCGAGTTCACCACCCAAAATTAATCCCATTAAAAACATTCAAATTTTAAACCTTCCCCTAAAAAAAAAACCTTTTTACCCATTTGGGGCTTGGGGGGGGTTCCCACCGTTTCCCTTCAATCCAGGCCTTGTTTTACTTGGCCAAAAAAGCCTTCGGCCCCCGGGGTTCCCAGAAACCCGAGCGCCACCAGGGGGCGGGGGGGGGGGGGGGGGCTCCCGGCGACGGAACGAGGACACAGACACCTCGAGACGACAGGGTCAACAGGGACAGAGAGGCGAAAGGGCTTGCGCGAGTGGGAGGTGGGTCATGGGCGTGGACCTACATTGGGGTCGACTCCTCAGGGCCATGGAGATGGAGATTAAAGTTTCCGCCGGGGGCAGAGATTGATCTACTACATAGGGCAGCAATGGGTGAACGAGAAATTAATCTTTGGCCAAATTGGAGATCGGCTGGTCGGTGCAATGGAAAATGATAGAGTCAACCGAAAAGGCGTGGGAAAGTATACCTTCAGAGTCAATCTGTAGTTTGTGCGCCCGGACCGATTTGCAGGTGAACTCTTGGTGAGTCCACCACAACAAAATGTGGCTTCCCGTTCAAGTATTAGCTCCAAAGTACGTTGAACCCCTGTCGGGGGAGCCATCAGAACAACGAAAGAGACACCGAACACTATCGAGGTCACCGCCAGCCTAATGAATGTTGTTCAGAACTGCGACCTCAAGAAGCTCGAGAAAGCCTATAATTTCTCTCTGGAGCGGTCGACCATATTGTTGTTAATAGTTTCACTTTTTCCTTTCCAACCTTTCCAACCAGCCTAGCAAGCTCTAGTCTCACTTGGCCGGGTTGGTCGGCTACATAGTAGCTGGATCAGAGCTGTGTTTTCCACAGATGTTCTCAGGGCTGTAACTCACTGACTGGAGGTCTAGACGGGGGGGGGGTATACAGGACGCCGTGGACAGAAGCAAAAAATGATCGGCCGTGTCGGATATCCATTCCCTCTTTCCCCCCACACCCCTCTAACCTAGTCCGAGGATGGCAAAGAGGGTATGCACGGGTATAAACGAACGTGCTGCTGCGCAGAGAGGTGAGTAGGGTGGTTGTTCAGGCGGAGAGATAACAAACGGCAGCAAGCGGAGCTACGGAAGCTATCACCATGGAACAAACTAGCGACTTTTGTCGACCAAGACCAAGATATAAGACTCAAGACTCCATCAGCAGGAGAACCTGTCCGGCCGCCAGCATCCATACCTGTACCAACTACATATCAAGAAACCATGAGGTCTTTGGATGCCGATCAATGGAAATAATCTAGGACAAGGAACTGAGGAGCCTGAAAGATCATGTGTGGCGGATCTAGTTCCAATTCAGAGTCTACCTCCTGGAGCTAAACCTATTGGATCAAGATGGTTATACAAAATGAATGCAACCGGAGTTACGAAGGCAAGACTCATCGTCCAAGGTTGGGGAAAACGGCATGGAATCGACTGTGGGGGAACCTACGCACCTGTGAGTCGATTTGCCTCACAGCTGGTCTTAATGGCGATTGCGGCGGAAAGAGGATACGTTGTGGAAACGATGGACGTGGTGACTGCATTTCTTCAAAGCCATGTGGTAGAAGAAGTATAGTCTATGTTCATCAAGCTAAAGGATACGAAATAATGGATGAAGTTACGGGACTACCGCTGGCGATTAAGTCAAGAAAAGCTTATACGGATTGAAGCAGAGCCCTCGCAACTTCGGCAACGCATTTGCCAAAGGAATCAAAGAAATCGGGTTTACTGCTCTACTGAGTGATCCGTGCGTATATTTGTATGGTGCTGGACCGACGTATGCGATACTATGTGTGTACGTGGACAACTGCGCACTACATAGCTGAGAAGATACCGAGCGTGGTTCAAGATTTGAAGAAACAACTATATCGGACAAATTCAAGATGACGGACGGAGGACCAGCGGAATTACTACTAGGGATGGCGATTTCTCAGAGCGACGGAGAAATCACCGTGGGCCAATACAAATACAGAACGGGCCCGGAGATAAGAAACGTCAAACTCGGGTCGAGCTTCAGTTTCTTATTTTCACCCGAAGGACCAGCGAAAGTCAGTCAACTTCTTAACCCCTACATTGGAGAACGAGAAGGAACGAGAAGGAAAGTCATGGTGTATAAAAAAATTATTCCAAACGTAAGTACCGCAGAGAAGAGTGAATTTAGTGGTAAAGTGAATCCCGGGTATTATAGACGTCACAGACATGATGTTTGCTTCAGGGTCATTCTGTCTCTAGAAAAATGCATGGTTTACGAATAGGTGTATCTGATACTTCGTATGAGATGTGATTGGCCAGATGAACGAGAAATGCTGTGATAGAGGCATGTATTTATGTACATGCTAAGGGCGTTGAGGTACACAGTAGTATGCGACGAAGGAAGGGTTCATCAGGGTCATTAGTACTGTAGTGTACAATATTACACTAGAAACGATTAAACGCAGGTTTGCATTGAGCAAACTTACTTGGGGGACGGAATTCTGATTATTGTTGAATGCGGGGAGAGAATGATAAGTAGTGAAACGGACAAATGATTTGAAGAGAAAGAGAACGCGAGAACCATTATACAATTTACGGGGGCGTGTATAGTGCAGGAGTACGAATGGAGGAAGCACTAGACCTACTACGATTTGTGCAGTAGATATAGAACAACGAGGAGGTTGTTGAAGCACACGTAACATTGCATCCATCATGGGGGCGTCTTCGAATACAGCGCATTACTGCTGTAGGATGTGTGTGTAGTAGAATAGATGCAGCTGTATAATTGCTGTATGGAATAATACGTACAGATGACTTGTGATAAGTGACGTTTGGTACATAGAACGTAACATCTATAGAGACGAGTTCGAGCGAGGCGCTCATGAATGAATTGATGGTTGATCAGAGCATGGTAATTGTAGCGAGATCACGAGGTGTTGCGAGCCCCACCAGGCTCACTCCCCTACTATCCCTCAGCATATCTCCTCTGCAAGTAAGCTGACGAACAAAGTACAAGTTCGCGGCACTTAGAAACAACATCGACTTCGGTCGCTGCCTCAACAGACTTCGTTCTGCACAGACTTCGGTCTGCACATGACACAGACTTCTGTCTGGAACTGCACAAAGGCTTCACCGCCTGCAGACGACCCTTGGGTACAGGGCACCTCGACACGACACATTTCTACAAGCAAGACCCCGTCTCTCTTTCATGTTTTCTTTTTTTCCCGCTTGCGAAAGATACCACACCCCATCAACCGATTTTCGGAAACTCTATTTACATGCGGCGTTGGAACCGTCTCGTCGATTGCTTTCCGAAAGCATACCATGCATGTCTTCGTAATTACGTAACAGTCGCGCTTTGAAAATCGGTCCAGGTTGTGAGGCTTCTTCTGCCAACGTACTATAGTCTACATGTGCATTCGCCGATTCGCCGCGACCAGTTTCCTGACGGAACAACACACGGTTCCTCTGCCGGTTCTCTGAACAAACACATAAAGACACGGCACACACGCACCTCCTAATTTTGATATCTACTTGGCGGGAAGAAGTTTATTAATGGATTATCGGTAACCTGAACCAAGCATTAAGAACTGCGACGAGTTGAATATAAGGGCAAGAAGAAACACTCCATGTGGCATTCCTCGCCCCCGGCTTGTTTGTCCACAACAATCATCCACAACAAACATCGCGAAATGTTGTAGATAGAGATCCAGAAAAATTGGCATACACACATAACATACTTAGGGTTGCACGAGCACAAAAGTTCTTCTCGCAGGAAGATCATCTAGCATCACCGAGCCGACCAACGCCGTTCGTCGTGCATGCAACCCCCTGCTCTTTTCGCGTCGAAAAACATGACACCCCGCAGTTCCGCAAGCGAGCGCTGGTGCTCGTAGCCGGCGCCTGCTTGGTCGCCGGCGCCGCGGTGTCTAGCTTTATCCTTCGCGTCACCCCGCTCCACAGCGCCGCCTTCGGTTCAAGCGACACGTCCAAGAAATGGGACGTCGCCGTCGCCAGCAATGCAGGAGCTGCAACAGGAGCGGGTGGCCTTGAACTGTTTCCCGCCGGACACACATTGGTGCCTGTTCCGCGGCTACGCGATGAGCCTCAGCTGGCTGCCGGCGCCGACAGCGAGCAGTGGGGACGACGAAAGGTAGCCTTCAGCAGCACCCCGTTGGCGTAAGCCCTCCTGGAACTAGGCAGCGGTGGACGTACGGACGGCGGAGGAGCCGCGATGGCCACGGCGGACGTTGCTGCCGGTGTCACCGCCGATGAACGGAATGATGGTCGAGGGTGGGAGGGCGGCAGGCGTCCCCGGTTCACTCCGCTGTTCGACGACCTCCGTCACAGCCATCATGGTCGAGCTATCATGGTCGAGCGGAGGCGATGATCAGAGCTGTGGTGGATAATGTGCAACATTTCCAAGCCCGAACCACAGGCCAGAAAAGCGCGTCGGAGTCGTCTTCCGATACAACGGGCGGTGGATCAGTGACTGCCGCTGTTGCCGCTGGCGGTGGCAGCAGACACGGGAAGAGGAGGCGAGAAGGCGGGAGGCGCCTCAACGACGCCGCATTGGACGCCTTTGGTGACGACATGCTCGAGCACGACTTCGAAGCGATCGGGGACGACGTCGACGGCGCCATTTGCTCCCCCTCGGAAATCGTGGGCCTGGACATTTGTCCGGGACTAAACTCGGTGGAAGAAGAAGAATTTGTGATGGCAACGCCTTCGTGAGGAAGGCGCTTGCGGCCAAGGCCGACATGCTGCGCCAGGTGAGATCGATTTTTAGGGCGTCGGGTACGGATTATTGGTATTGTTGTTTTCACAATCGTTGGTCGTCGTGGAGCATGATATATCGTGGTGAGAGGTCGACCAACACAACCAGGATCAGGTTGGGATATTTACACTTCAATGACGACGTGGGTTGGCTACAACGCCGACTCTCACACATTTGCCGGCACCGCATGCTGTGTCATTCCCAATCTCTTGGTATGGTGGGATGAAAAAGTCGGCGCAGCGCACTCGCCTAGGATGTGTGGCGCACGGTTGTAGCGCCAGAAGTCATTCCCCGTGCTGCTGTGTTACAATTAGGCGGTCGAGCACGCGCGATGTTTTGCACACAAAGATACCCATGAACTGCTGTGACGACGCGTGTACCAAGCGGCGCGTGCCCGAACATGTGACAACACGATGCAAACACATAGGTCGTCAAGGTCCTCACCGACCCCACCAGCGCGGGGCTAGGTGGGCGTCCGGATGAGCCGCTGCTGCTGGTGCAGAAACTAGCACTCGACGAGACGGATGCTATCTTCGGCGCCTTCGAACCCAGGTTCCTGGGCTACGCCGCGGACGCCGGGTCGTGGAGCCCCCTTCCTGGCGGCTTCAGCCGTTGGTTGGCGAGGTACCACAGGGTTGCCTTGCACGGAAGTCGGCCGGTTCTGGCTACTGTCCACGTGAGTGTTTGTGGTGTGGTGATTGTTGCTGCCTGCAACGCTCAACAAAGGTTACGTCGAGGTTTTCTTCTCCACACCCCTCTCCTGGCGTTAGCCAATATGTCCGCCCGCCTGAGCGTCATGATGTGCCCTAGCAGATCTGCCTGTACGACAACCCTCCTCGCCGCCATGTCGTCTCCCCGAGCAAGCACACGATACCGTTGACACGATTCGCATGGTACCCTCCATGGTAGCGGGTAATGGTCAAACATCTAAGACTTGGAAAATTTAAGTACCCGCCCGTCCAACGTCCTAGGTTCTGACGAACAGGCGTGAACTAAGGTATGTCGACTAATAAACTCCCCGATTTCGCCCCCCCCCCCTTCGGCCGGCCCCTATGGCAGGGCGACGACGTGTGCGCCTTGGAGAAGGAGCTATATCTGGGGGTCAGGGTGCCGTCGGAGGCGGGCGGTGTAACGCCGAACGACATTATCGACAGCATCGCGGAGGAGCCCCCGGCGTCGGCGTCGGCCGGATTTCGGCGCCAGGCCACAAACGAGCGCGGCAAAGGTGAGAGGTGGCATGGGTACATGTGCTTCATGGGTAGGAAATTGTTTATTCGATCATCGGGGTAGGACAGCGTGTTGATGATGTTCGGTGCACAAAGAATAGGTGTCGGTGGTGTCCACCCTGAACGCCTTTTAGTCTGTAGCGGGGAAACGAGAGAAAGACAAAGAGAGAGGGGGGGGTGGGGGGGGGGAGGCCTCGCACCTACGTGCGACCGGAGACGCATGAGGAAATCCGAAGTCATCATGCCGCCGATTGGGGGCAGGAAGCAGAGGAGTGAAACCTGAAAGGTTGTTTTTCAAGACCAAGAACAATAAATTCATGGTTTCCTTCAGTAACAATTCCCGCCCATATTCGCCCGCCAACAGGCCGCAGCAGTGCCGGTGATGACGGCGCGAGGCCGCATCTCGCTGTAGACGGGCAGGAGGGAAGACTTCGAGGAGGTTCCTGTGGTTCTCATGACTGTCGGCTGGGACCCGGCGGGGGATCCAACTCACAGCCAGGCCTCCCGCGGTCGCGACACCGCGTGCTCTATCCGGGTCCTGGAAAAGAAGAGAGTTGTCGTGTTGTTCACGTCGCACACGCGCAGTGACTCGCACTCCCACGAAAAGGTACCAGCTGCTCTGGGAGAGGAGTCGTTCTGTTTCTCTTATGCGAATAGTTACGTTGATTTGGTCTGCTAGGTTTGCGAGTGGTTCACGGTGAGTTGATCCCGGGCTTCTGCCAAAGGTTTCGCGTCGGTGTACGTAACCAAAGGGTTGCGTGTTATCAGGTGAGGTTTGTTAGCTTGTCCTTCCTCATTGACGATCCACTCCTCGAGGGACGAGATGCCTCGACGGGGCGTCCTCAACCTACTCGGCTTACCTCGGTTCGTGTCCATATTCATGAGTCGGTCACGTCGATTGCACGCCCTTCTTGAATGGACCTGTTCCTCTCTGCAGTCATGTCACGATGCTGTCCCCAGTACTCACGTTCTTCGTAGCCGTCGTCTTCCTTCGTCGTGCCTCACCGCTTGTTCTCTCTTGTTTCTCATCCACATGATCACTAACCGGTGGTCAGTTTCGATACCTGCCGATCGGGTTCGGGAAACTCGCAGCGGCCTCCCGCACACGGCGTACATCGACGCCGCCAGGCGGCAGCCCGAGGTCCTAATAGAGACCTGCCCGATCGACAGGGCCGGCAGGTACTACATTAGAAAACAGTTTCGACAAAGGGTTAGGTCATCGTCCTCCTCTCCTATTGTATCTGTCAACGAATATCCTGTGGGTGTTACCATGTTCCCCCTTTCGTTCGTCGATGTTCGCTACGCCCCCCTCCCGCACGCCGCTGTCCCATCAAGAGGTTTAGCTGACGGTTTTCAATGTCCTTAACGACCGAATGCCATCTATGAAGGTCAGACGCGGCGTCGTCTTTTGAGCTGCCGTTGTACCAGTCCCTCCTTCCCCTGCCCCTTCCTTCAAAATCTGATCACCGCTCCTCCGCCTCCCAATTTCAATCGCGCGCTGTTTTCTGTTTCTCGAACCTGACAGTCAGCTACGACTTGCTGTATTCCAGGGCAACACCTTAGACAGAGACCCCAGAACCAAGATCTGGAAGCAGATGACGTAAGGGAAGGGGTGTTCCGGTAATCCGCGCTCCGTTGGAAGCGAGCGACAATGTGACGGCCACGGCGAGGGGGATCTTCGCCGTCAGCCCCCCCGGGACGGGTGAGAAAAATAACGATACTGGGGGTAGAGAGCAAAAATTCCTTTGGCAGACAGACAGACAGACAGACAGACAGACAGAATGGTACCAGACAGACAGACAGAAAGGTAGACAAAATGCAGACACACAGACAGACAAGCAGTTAGATAGACAGACAGATTGATAGGCAGACAGACAGAGCGGCAGACAGACAGACAAGATAGACAGGCAGACAGGCAGACAGGCAGACAGGCGGACACCCCGACGAAGAGAAAAAGGAGGGCGGGCATGGAAAACTGTGGCGTGGTGTTGTCGCTTATGGTTACCTAGGCCACCGCATATTTTGGCTTGCTTGTGTTTGCCTCTCCCGTCGGTGAAAAATACTCGGTTGTGGATGTGCGCGTTCCAAGCCCCACCTGGTAGCCTGCGGGCAGGCGACTATTTGATTGACGGGTTCGTTGGAACAACGCGTTTGTTCCCGATAAAATCGAGCAGGACCGGACTGTTTCCGTCACTACGAGATGATGCTGGAGGGAAACGTCGCCTTGGTGCCGAACGTGTACAGCATCAGGAGTTTCATGGAAGGGCTTTCCGGCCGTCTTCCTCGGAGGTGAGTTGTTTCGTGGAGCATACTTCTTGTGTGAAAATTCAATTTTTCGAGTTTACCCACACACACATACCGCCGACTGGTCGACATCATGTGTACCTCGCCCGGTACCTGGTTGCCGTACCTAACATGGACAACAGGACGGGAGGAAGCCTGGAGAAGCCTTACGTGTGGCCGTCTTTCGGAGATGGCGGAGACCGTGCAGGCCAAGGTAAAGGCACGGCGGGGGCTGCAGTTCGAGAAGCTGACGCACGGCTTCTGGAGGCGCTACGTGCGGCGTGAGATCTTGCGTGAGGCAGGGGTAGGAGTGACCTCGGAAGGCGTCGCCGCCGCGGACGAGGACCCCACCGCCGCCGCCTACCTGGAGCGGTCGGCCCTCCCCATTAACTCCCCCGGTTGGACCACCTTCCGTCAAGTGGGTTGCTTCTCTCGCGAGGAGGGTATTCACCACGACGACCACCGGTACCAGCCACCGCGGCCGCAGCAGCACCACCATCACCAGCCAAGCTCTGTCCATTGGTCAACAAGACCGTTCTATCAGACCCCGCTTCACGCGGAGGCGGAGGAAAGAACAACGACGAGGAGCGAGAGAAAACCGTCCGGCTCTCAACACGAGCAGCTCAGATGGTCACGAGTCCGTCCGGCTTGATAGCCCAGAGCGGACTCCCGAGGGTTGCGCCACACACTGCGTCACAGCGCCGGCGGTGGAGGGGTCGGGTTTTTCGGCATCAGTTCCGGGGACGGGTGAGTGCTTCTTTCGCCCACGACAGCCTTCGAACGATAGCCTGTCCTCAGTTGCAAAATCGAAGAGTGGGTAGTCCACAAGGCGCCCTCGTTGTCCGACAACACCTCCATCGGTTGGGAGAATGCTTGGGGGGAGTTATCGTGTCATGGTCCCTCTTCCCCGTCTTACAGCTCAATCAGTTGAATCCCCGTTCCCGAACCCGTACGGTTATCTTGTCTCAGGTGCTGGTGCGATACCGTCCCAGGAAGATTCTTGCCGTTGGATCGGTGTCAGATTGATTGCGACGGGGAGAATGGCGGGGGCAGATGTCTTCTTGAAAGTACGAGACTCGAGGGTGCAAGAATAAATGCACCCTGGACATGAAAGATGATGGCGATCGAGAGACACGCGTGCAGCGTTGAGTTTGTTCATCGTAGGAAACCCACCGTGCCATGCGCCACGTCGTATCTGTGCTGCGCGAACTGGCGACAGTTCTGCCCATAGCGCATTGGATGCAAAGGTCTACCGTCTGACTTCTCCTGGACAATTTCCATTCGCCTTGCCGTCGTGACAACAACGGCAACGACAACAACAGGCACCCACGCAAGCTCCGTCGACGTGTTCGGTCCGGAAGACAGAGGCGCGCCGTTCGAGTACATGGGCTGCTTCCCTTCGACAGAGCACGTCATGTTCCACGCAGCTGTTCATCTCGGGTGTGTCCCTGGCCTTCGCTTTTTGTCGGTCATGCATGCCTCCCGCTGACGATTTTCCCGTCTCGTTTCCCCTTTCCAAGCATAGCGCATTCCAAACCTCGCACAGTTTCGGGTGGAAAAGCGCACTCCCCGGAAGGGAGGCGTAGAAGAGGACCGCTGTGCAGCCACCTGGAAACGGACGGTACATTTGTTGGCCCAAAAACCCATACTGTCAACCCTCAATCTGCCCACAAAGCCAACCTCATGACCCCCCTCTCTCATTTGAACCACCGCCGCCTACAGAAAAGCGAACACGCCACTCAATGTGCGAGGCGCTCTGCACTTCCATGCGGTGACCCGTTCTTCGCGCTAGAGAAGTGGAAGCTTTGTCGCTGCGGGGTGATGCCCGCCAACACCCCCCGCTCGGACAAAGTTCCTGCCTACATCAAGGGGGAGTACGAGCCTCCGCCCGGCCCTCCGAACGCCACCTTGGCTGCGAAGCCCGTTCCAAATGGGGTGCGGGTGGGAGACCCGCGGTTCGAGTGCCACCGCGATCGGCGTGGAGGAAGCTCGAGGATGTGGGGCTGTGGCGGGGAGAAAGCGTACGATCTCTACAGGAACGTCGATCCCTGCGTGCTCTACCGGGACTGTCGACACTGACTTCCGTTCCAATACTCGATTCATCTCTCCGTTCCCAACACTGGAGTCCTATCTTGTTGTATGTGTACATCCTCCCATCCAGCCCGTGGTCGGTGAAACGTAGGCAGTCCATGCTGTAAGGTTTAGCAATGGCTGTGCCTTGTTTTGGATCTCCGTGTGACTGAAGCTCCCCCCCATGGCTTTAGGTTGTGTAAGTGGCCCTTTGGTATTTTTTCGCCACGGTCGTGGAGACTCACGGGGACAACCACCTCCCCGGCGCGCCGACGGCGTGCATCTCGACCCCCGCGAGATATTGTGCCGAACTCGCTCTTCTTCATGGTACGGCGAAAAGCCAACCGTGTATTGTATTCAAGTTGTCAAAGCTGTTCAGGGTCATACTTTCGGCCCTTTCATAGCGTATGTGTAGATCGACGTCGTCGGTGCATCTTGCTGTTGGCTGTGGCGTTGGTGGTGCATGTTTTGTGTGTCCTTGTTGATATCGTCCTTGGGTTTCGATACCGCGTCACTGTTGCGTGATAGGTTTTTGAGCCGGAATATTCAAACGTTCTTGTCCTTGTCGCCAAGAATTTTCGTCGACGGGTAAGCCTTGTGTGGCCTCTCTGGCTGATTCAGAAACTGCAAGTATTGCTTGACCGGCGGAGTTTTGGACGTGGGAAAGGTGAGGCCGTGTGGTAGGTAGTGGTCCGCTCGGGTTCATGGAAGTGATATATGTTTGATTTGGGCACCACGCGGGGTGACCCAACATACCCTCGCATGTTTCTGGCGGCTGTTTACCGCGTCTGCTGCAGCACAACGGGGCGACATCCTTGCCCAGCAAACAAGAACAAGTCTCAGGGGGGGTATTGTGGAGATATCTCCTTCAAAAGAGGAGACAATCTCGAGAACGGTTCCCTCATTTCATGGTGGTGGTCGAGTATCAGATTCATTGCAGTAGTTCGAGGTATACAGCAAACGTGCACACACGAGACGAAAGTACAACTCGAAAAACAATAAAACGGGGGAAGACACCCACAAAGGACACACCAAAGACACACGCAATGCCATTCCCCAACAGTCAACAGCTTGAGCTGAATGTGCCACCGTTCGACTCCTCAGTGTCTCCACGACGCCCGTGACAGCCATGCCGTAAAACCGCGTGGTCACCAAAAAAAACGTTTGAGGTACCCGCATTCAAGCACGAGATGAAACAAGCGCTCGAAATAGACACAGAACTCACGAACACACACGAAGCAAGCACTCTACATCTCAGGAAAATCACCGATTTGAATCGAACGCGCCACCGCCCGATCCATTTCGTATTCTCGACTCCCGAAATAACTTGCTTCAAAGACTACTACCGTACACGGATCACCACAACAACACACAGAGTCTACAATGTTTGACACCACGGTATCCGACCGGGCCTCCTAAACGATTCACATGCCAACGTGTTCCGTCTTGAGAGTGTGCCATCTCCTACCTACCCCACCCGTCAACCCTTGCACTCGATCTCAAAAGAATGCATCATTGGCGTGGTGGGTAAATTATTCTCGTAAAGCTCACGTTTGCCTCTAAAACATGCGCATCTCCATAAATATCCAGTGTAACACACAAACAGCCGGCATCGCGGCCTGTTATAACACCTCGTCTACCTGACGCTCTCTCCATGAAGCAAAAGCTCCCTCCTCGTACCTCGAACAGCCTTGGTGTACATGTATACAGCGATAAATAAATCCCATCGTATCGAGGAATGCTGCACCGCGAAAGGCGCAGAACAGCAAACGCACCGACCACTCCTTTCGAAACATCCTCATCCTGGGATGAACAAAGCACATCCGATCCAAACATGTGCCAAATGGGCGCCTCCCGTGGGTCTAGCTACACCCAATCACCGTCCTCGCCTTGGCGGCCTATACACGAAAAAAATAGTTGACGCCCCCTCTCGAAACACCGCATCGGAGCGACATAAACACCTCAAACAAGCACATTCATAAGAGTCCAAGAACGGAAGACACAGACAGTCAATGCGTTCCCTCGTTCGAGCAATCCTGCACTGGGAGAGACCCAGAACAGCAAATTCAGTACACGCCGTTGGAGGAATAGTCACACACCACAGCCAGAGGCCTGCAGCAGCAGAAAAACGCTGCCCACATCTCAGGCGGTGAATGGGGGGTCAACATTAAATCTCCTACACCGTAAGCTGCCGTATGGGCAGCAAACTGTCTTTCTGGCAACATCACGACCAACACATGTCGTCCTCTTGAAGATATCATCCTCCTTGTCTTCGTACAACCAATCCACATCGCCTCCCCTCCCCTCCCCTCTCCCCTCCTCCGTCCCTCCCTACACAACAATCTCCTCCATCTCCTCCAACGCCTTCTGCCAAAGCAAGTCTCCGCTCCTCCGTCCCTCTACCACCATTCCCAGCTCGGTCTTTGATATTTGGTTCCTATATATATGTAGCAACAATCGCTACCTCGTTCTTCTTCACCTCCTCAACACTGCTCGCGGCCTCCACGGCCTGCGGCCTGGGTACCATTCCGCGTCACCTCTACCTCTGTGCCACGTTCCTCCTCCGAATCTCTCTATTACAACGGGTTCTCTGCCGTTTCTCCCTCCTTTCCTCTCCCCTCTTTTCCAGTCCTCTCATTTCCGTGCTCCCATACAGTAATGTTTGTACATCCAGACAGCCTACGCGTCGTCCTGCTCGGTTCCTTCCGCCGATGCCGCCTCCACCTCGTAGATCGCGAGCGCCAGTCGGAGAAGCTCCTTCGCAGCCTCCACGGTCTGTGGCCTGGCCTCGGGCCTCGGGTCGATCATCCCCCGGTCGAGGACGAAAGCGATCACCTGGCGGAGCCCCTCGTCGCTGGCCGCCCGGGAGGACGTGGTGAGCCATTCCACCCAGTTGTGCTCGAACAGCCTGCGGGGGTGTGCCTGTGCCTCCCGGCGGGCCGCGGTCTGCCGGAGGGTAGGGGTCCGGGGACAAGGGAGCATCATCCAGAGCTGAGTTGTGATGGGAGTCTTCTAGGCGGGCATATGCCGTCCGTTCTGCAGATGTTGTTCACCTCGAGCAAACACATGCTTAGTACCGAGCACCGATGGTGCCCACCGCAGTTGTTCGTGTCTGGAATCGTGACACCAACACCCTTCCTGCCTTTATTCCGAGTGCGAAGCACGTCGGTTTTATCGCTTCATGCACAGGAGTTACTATTGAACCACAGATTCGCGGAACAACAGGGCTTGTCTCCCTTGGTCCTTGCTCGTTTTGTTGTGATCGGTTCGTTTCTACGTACGGTAATCGGTTGTTTTGAGTTGTCTTGCGACAACGGGGATTTGCTTCCTTGTTGTACAAAAGATGGGAAGATGCTTATTTTTGTTTCTGTGCAGAGAACAACACCAGATGGTATCGACCTGTTGAAGGCCATCGTGTGCCCGAAAACAACGCACAGCAGTCTATGTAACGAAGGCTCACCCCTTTCTCTTCGAAACTGAGGCTGTCATCGCCCCTCTCGTCAGACTGTGCCATGAAGAAGCTTAGCGGACGTCCCAGCTGGTCCAGCTTCGCCCTGGCTTCCTCATTCGGCACCCAGCCGTCTTCAGCGACGACGCCTAGGTACTGCGATATTTTTTACGCGCCGAGCAGCGGGGGCACACATCCATCAGGAGATCCGGTGACAATCGGTGACACGGGGCATTCAACGAAGACGGCCTACCTTCCTGTCGTTTCGTCTACCATGGGTGTAGAATCATATTTTCTGTCGCAACAACTACAATGTATAAGAGAGAGAGCAAGACAAAACAGAACAGACTCGCTAGTCCGCCAAAAATGGTCGACCGTCGCGAACACAGTCCAGAGGATGACGAGACCTGACACAAAAAAGGTGGCTGTTGGAAAAAATGCCGGTGGTGTTACATGCTAAGCGAAAGAAGCGAGCGAGCCACAACAACACACAACAAGAGGAAATATCTCACGTGCTCCTTGATCCGCACTTCCTCCAGCTCAGCCTCGTCTTCGTCATCCTGAATTTCGTCCTCGATCTTCTCGAGGAGGTCTTCCCGCGCGACCTCGAGCACCTGAAGGCGGTCCTCGGCTGCCTCGAGGAGCTCCTGGACGAGCGAAGAAAGTCGTCGAGCGGCACGCACACAGACAAAGAACGCATTAACGGGAACGAGTTGACTATGCTACAGCCTCGTCGTGTGTAGCTATTTCCAACCGCCGGCTGTGCTGTGTTTCTTGAACCACCTTCTACCCTCTCATTTTCCCGCGAAAACGGGAGCCTCTGTTTCTTTGCAGCAACTACCTGAAGAGCTATTGTGGATACCCGTTGCATCACTCGCACCTCCTCTCCGAAAGCACACTTGTTCAACATGCCCTCCACGAGCACGACCGAGACGGCGTAGATCTCGGAGACGACCGTCGCTCCCCCTCCCCGCGGGTCGGACGTCTCGGGAGCCGAGTAGCACGGGGTCCCGTCCCCGATGTTCTCGCGAAGGCGCGCCTCGTCCATCTTCAGGCACATCCCGAAGTCCGTGAGCCTGGCGTCGCCGTGGCCGTCCACGAGGATGTTGTTCGGCTTGATATCCCGGTGGACGTATTGCATATCGTGGAGGCCGCCGACTGCGGTGAGGACGCCGCACAGCACCCTGGGGAGCGAGACGTCGAGTTTGTAACGGGGGGGGAGGGGGTAATCGTGAGGTTTTTGTGGGGTCCGTTGATTCCACGGCCGTGTATGCCGATGCTGCGGGTGGTAACTTCGCGAGGACGTAAGACATCACCTAGTGAGGAGAGTGAACGGAATTCCACTCCGCTTTCCTGAGAGGGGAGGGACAGGTGTGGGGTGATGTACGAATGTTTGAGGCCGTACGCTTTACAGTAGGTCAACACCGTTGGCCGGTTGGCTGCTTGCCATGCCGTGCTTGACGACAGGGGCTCTCACCTCACGAGGGCCCGGGGGTCGGTGTTCAAGCAGTTGCAGAGCATCGAGCTCAGGGTGCCGGGCTCCCTGCGCATGAGGAGCATGGGCGCGCCGCTGGTCGACGATATCTCTTGGACGTGCACGACGTGGGACACCTTGCCCCGCACGTCGCTCAGGGCCGCCACCTCCCGCTCCATCTGCCGGCGTCCGGCCGGCGTGTCCTGGAACGTTTTCGAGCGTTTTTCGGCACGGAACAGAGGTGGTAGTGGGACGGGTTTCACGAACGCACATACGGAGTAAGATACAAAGGGCCGTGAAAATGTGAGGCAGGCAGGTGAATTGTCCTAGGTGCCGGGCGACGGGCATGCTGTGGGAAAGCATGAAACTTGTGTTAAGGGACGACTTCTGTGTTGAACTACACGTGTCATATTGTTTTGTACGACGGTCGAAAACGTGACCGCGCAAATACCACGGTATGCGTTTGGCGGCAATGCCGAATGGAGGTAATTGTTTTGGTAGTAGGCGGTAGTGCGTTTTACGGCGGTAACGACTTGGGCGGAGGCGGTAAAATGAAAAATGGACGGGGCTCAACCGGCCTTTCCTCCTGGGGTACCTGCCTCAAGCTTCAAAAACTGCTCGGGGAAAACAAACTAGTGTTGCCTCATGGCACAAAGCAACATTCGTACGCACGTGTGACCCTGAATCAAGTACAAACAACATCAATTTTGTTGACAACGCACACAGCTTACAAAGGAGATTGCCCCAGCAGGTTAGATACTTCCACGAAACGGGTGATGTACTTTGTTCACTGTGTCAGCCACAACAAGCGGCATGCCATGGGTAACCCTTACTTTGGATTTCTTGAATGCGAAAGACTCCTTGGTGGTCTTGTCCTTCATGAACACCACGTCACCAAAACCGCCATCCTGGTGGAGGGGGGGTGGGCAGGGAAGGCAAGGAAGGAGGAACACGAAGGAAACGCACAGAGAAACAAGCCGAGAACTCCTGTGCTTAGTAAAACTCACCGCGGGAAACATCTATGTACACATGTCACGCGAGAAATATTACAAACACAGGTCATAAGAGTACTGGAGTATACAATCCTTGGCGAACTTCCCCTAGACTTTTCATGCTCTACGGATAGAGATGAACTCGAGCTGTTTCTACAGGAAAAAACCAAAACACCCACCGAGTTGACCCCGTCCAGGATGCAGAGATCCATGTTGAGGCCGTCGGCGGTGAGGTACACGCGAGGCGACGGGAACCGGGGAGGGGGGGTGTCGACCACACCCGGCGAGCGCGGTACCACCTGCGGCAACTGCGGCAGCAGGCCAACAGAACGGCGGACGGGGGAGAGGCAAAGGAGAAGCTTGTTTACGCCAAGCGACGAATACACCAGTCTGCTTCTTGTTCGACGACGAAAGGAAAAACAAGGCGACCATTGCCTGTCAAAACGAACCGTGAGCCATCCGTTCTCCGTCTACACCTCTTAGATTCGCTAGCGTGTTCGCGTGCATCTACGTTTTGGGTGCACCCTTTCTCGGCAAATGTGTTAAATAGTCGAACCAGCCGGGGCCACGAAGGTTTGGAGTTTTGTTTTTTTCTTCATCACATCTCCCCACCCTGGGAGCGGGTGGTGTTTCACAACAAACAGCGCCTTCACTCGGCGCTACCCCGGAGGAGTAATGACAGCACCCCGCATTCAAGCGGGCTTGAGTTTTTCTGTACGCTTGCAGCATCAACTCTACACTTGCTGGTAGGGTAACATACAAAGGGAGTCAACTTGTAACGTCACATGCATACCAGCGGAGAGTCTGCGTTTACGCTCTCAAAGATAACGCCGCTGTCCTTCTCGTTGTAGCCGCTCCCGAAGAACACGGCCCGGGTCGACCCGTGGAAAGAATCCGCGGGAGACGACATCGCGGATGCGGGGGTGAGCGGCGGCGTGGGCGGCGCGACGCTGGCTGCGGCGGCCAGAATCTTCTGCACAACCGACGACACCTGGTGCAATAGACGGGGGGACGCGTGTTGAGTGTATCGATGCGAGCATATCTTACAAGCAGAAAGTCAATAACACTTCTTTCACACAGAAAGAACGTGCCGATGGGTGGACATGACTAAAGTCACGGCGTTCTGCAGGAAGGCGAGCTAGAACGTGTGTGTCACCGATCTACATTTGGCAGCGGTGTGGCGAAGGTGGTGAGGGAATGTTTTCGCGTTGTCAAGGACCAAAACACAAATACAACATAAGAGCTTGCAGGCACGCGGGGAAATACGGCGGAAAAACAAAAGGACACGCTCGCCTGAAGTGGCCACAGTTCGCCTTGGAAGGGAAAAAAAGCTATTACAATAGACACCAGCAACGACCAGACCCTACCTCTTCCGTCATAACGTCGATCTTGCCGAGGTAGTCCTCGTCGATGTCAAGCTCCTCGCACCGGTGCCGCTGTCTCTTCTTGCTCTCTGCCGGCGACGCCTCCTCCTGTTCCTCCTCCGTGCTGTCGGACGGGCCACTGGAAGGCGTCAGCGCCGCGTCAAGCCCGCTCACCCGCATCACCTGAAGCGCCGGGCGGCCTCCGATCCCCATCAGCGCTTCGGCGATGGACTGATCGATGGACTGGTTGCCGTAGATGGCGCCGGTCTTCATCTTACCGTCGTCGTTATCCTTGCGGCTGGCTGATGCGGCGGTCCCCGTCTTCTCGTCGGCGTCGTCCAGGAGATCCATGTTCTGTGATTGTGTTGCAAAGGCGGCGGTGGTTGTGGAAGCGAGGGGGGGGGAGGGGGGGGTTCGTCGGACGCTTACGAGCATGAATCCTCATGTGTTCGGCACGAGCACATCGTTTCCTTTCTAAAAAATGCCAATTAAAAGCATGCCAAGCGAAGAGCTACGCTAAAAACAAATCAACAAGCTCACGAAAGAACAAATGTATGCACCGGAGTAGCAGGGTCGGTTTCGGGCGGTGGCCAAAACAAAGCAGAAACGAAGTACGAAATACCAAATCATGCACCGGTGTCGAAGTCGGGCGGTGGCGAAAAACAAAAGTAGAAAACAAGAGGCAAACAGTTTATGCACAGGTGTCGAGTTCGAGAGGTGGCAAAACCAAAAGTGTCAAAAGCAATAAGTACACAGTTCATGCACGGGCATCGTGGTGGCGATTTCGAGGTGGCGAAAAGCCAAATGGTGAAGAAAACACAAACATCATGCGACGCACGACGTACCTCGAGCACATAGAAGTCTCGCTTGTCACCGCCATCGTGCGAGGCGCACCCGGAGTACGATGCACACGCACCGTAGGCGGCGGCGGGGACAGCACCTACCGCAGCCGCCGCCGGCCGCGCCGCCGCTGCCGCCGCCCCGTGTTCCGTCGCCGTTCCCGCACCGGTTCCCGAAAACATCGGCGACGCGGAGAGGTGGGGCGAGCAACCGCGACCACGCCCAGCGAACCGAAACGCCGAAGGCACCGGGCCGCTCTCCAGTCTCTCCCTCAGGCTGGCGAGCATCGGACACGAGGACTGCTCCCCGACGGTCGAGGCGGCGGCGCCGTTCTTGTCCGCCCCCTCACGGGAACCAGAAGAAGACGACGACGACAGTGCCGAGCTCCAGGCCGGCAGCGCCCAGTCGGCGGGGGAGATGGCGGGCACGCCTCCACCGCGGGAAAACCTGTCGCCGACCTTGGAGGTGTCGGTGGACGAGGCATCGACAGTGCACGCTCCGGTCGAGGAAGGGGTGCAGGGGGAGTACACAGCTCCAGTGTCCCCGGTCACCGCCACCCGCGCGACCACCGCCGGCCGCGCCGCCGCGGTCGCCGCCCCGTGTTCCGTCGCCGTTCCCGCACCGGTTCCCGAAAACGTCGGTGACGTTGAGAGGTGGGGCGGGCAACCGCGACCACGCCCAGCGAACCGAAACGCCGAAGGCACCGGGCCGCTCTCCAGTCTCTCTCTCAGGCTGGCGAGCATCGGACACGAGGACTGCTCCCCGACGGTCGAGGCGGCGGCGCCGTTCTTGTCCTCCCCCTCGCGGGAACCAGAAGAAGACGACGACGACAGTGCCGAGCTCCAGGCCGGCAGCGCCCAGTCGGCGGGGGAGATGGCGGGCACGCCTCCACCGCGGGAAAACCTGTCGCCGACCTTGGAGGTGTCGGTGGACGAGGCGTCGACAGTGCACGCTCCGGTCGAGGAAGGGGTGCAGGGGGAGCACACAGCTCCAGTGTCCCCGGTCACCGCCACCCGCGCGACCACCACCGGCCGCGCCGCCGCGGTCGCCGCCCCGTGTTCCGTCGCCGTTCCCGCACCGGTTCCCGAAAACATCGGCGACGCGGAGAGGTGGGGCGGGCAACCGCGACCACGCCCAGCGAACCGAAACGCCGAAGGCACCGGGCCACTCTCCAGTCTCTCTCTCAGGCTGGCGAGCATCGGACACGAGGACTGCTCCCCGACGGTCGAGGCGGCGGCGCCGTTCTTGTCCGCCCCCTCGCGGGAACCAGAAGAAGACGACGACGACAGTGCCGAGCTCCAGGCCGGCAGCGCCCAGTCGGCGGGGGAGATGGCGGGCACGCCACCACCGCGGGAAAACCTGTCGCCGACCTTGGAGGTGTCGGTGGACGAGGCGTCGACAGTGCACGCTCCGGTCGAGGAAGGGGTGCAGGGGGAGTACACAGCTCCAGTGTCCCCGGTCACCGCCGCCCGCGCGACCACCGCCGGCCGCGCCGCCGCGGTCGCCGCCGCCGCCGCCGCCGCCGCCGCCGCCGCCGCTGCTGCCGCTGCTGCCGTCCCCCGGCAGGCTGCAAGTGGTAAGTGGATGGTGCCGAACGCGCCGAGCTCACGGGGAGGGTCGAGAGGTTCGCTCATAACCTCCGAGACCCACCGCGCCGCGACCGAGCGCTGGGAGGCAGACATCCGGCGGCACCACACGGCCGTCCCGTTTGCACCCGACGAGCCAGAGATCACGCTGGCCGTCGACGGGAGGGTGAGGAGCTGCTGCTGCAGGGATAGCACCGTCTGCGTTCCCCCGCCGGCGGTCGCGCGACTTAGGCCGGGGAGGCGGAGAGGGCACGTGCTGAAAACCCGCGATGCCGTGGCGGCGGCGGCGGCGGCGGCGGGCGTGGAGAGGACGATGGCGCCGTCGGCCCCGGCGCATCCACGCACGAGCGCGAGCGGCGGCGGCATTACCGCGGAGAACGTCGACGGAAAACGAAGCTGGGCGAAGATTCCGCCGCCGCCGCCGCTGGTGCTGGTGATACTACTCCCCCCGGTCCATCCGCGCCGCAGGAAGATGCGCTGGGCGATGATGCGGGGAACACCACCCAGCTGCTGCTGGGTAACGTACCGGCTGGATATCCTTGAGTACAACCGAAGGGCTGACTGCACGGAATCGACGCGTACTTGACGACCACCAGGAAGCTGTAGCAGGAAGGGTCGGCAACCCAAACTGCCACTGCTGTTGCTGATAATGGAGATGTCGCGGCTCCGCTGTTCTGCGACAGCCAGCTCCTGGCCGTCGTCATTCTGCCTGCAAGGGCAGGGAGGGGAGGGATTTCCGGCATTTTCTTCGTCAGCGTGATTGTCACGGGTAGAACAAACAACGACGCACTGCTTCTACTCTAGCTCACGACAAACATGGTGGAACATGGTGTAACAAGGAGAAAATTATTCTTGTAGGTAAAGCCAAAACGGTTGTCATTCGTGCTGATCCCATCATGCTCCCATATATTCCATACCCGTGACCATCGCGCTGACGGAACACATCCGGGAATTCTCCCCGCCCCCCCCCCCTCCCCGCCCTTGCAGGGACAATGGCAACGATGAACCCGCCCAAGGCGAGGAGCTGGCTGTCGTAGAACCCCAGAGGCGCGACGTCTCGGTGTTCAACCGCGATATTTTCCACGTGAACAACATGATCAGGAACTACAGCAGTAGCATTTTGCGTAGCAGTAGCAATTTGCAGCACAAAATGCTCGTGATGTTGTTGATGATACTGTTCATGTGAAAAATATTGCGGTTGAACACTTAGACGTCGCGTCGCTGGCGTTCTACCACAGCCAGCTCCTGGTATCGGGCGGGTTCATCGTTGTCCTTGTCCCTGCCTGCAGGGGTGGGAACGGGGGGGGGGTTCCCGGCATGAGATTCGTCCGAGCGCGATGGTTACGGGTATACCAGAAGTGGGAGACTGATGGAATGAGCACGGATGAAAACGTTTTTTTTTCAATTTACCTACAATATCTATTTTCACCTTCTTACATCATGTTACACCATGTTCGTCTTGCACTACAGTAGTAGAAGTTTGTTGTTGGTGAAGAAATCGGACTACTGTTAGATCGCCGTAAACATAGAAACGTATTTCAGACCGTTCTGCAAGCCTCTGCGGTGTCAGCGATAAAAGGAAACATTTAGGCTCAGACTTAGCTCTCGACGGCAGCCATCATCTGTATACAACATAGAGTTGACGGACACCGGGGGCTGGCTGTCCGTACAATCTGCGTCCAGAAAACAAGCTGTGAGTTCAATTAGTAAGCAATATCCTGGGGAAAAAATACAGAATTTCATTTCCGAAGAGGGGTTTTGGTATGACGCGCAGACTACACAAGGCAAACCACCATACCGGTGTGCTGGCAAGAAGGTGATAATGGATAGTAGCCTAAAACCGGAGCCTCAACTCGTTTTCCAAGACGTCCATTCTCAAGAGTTTTTTATTGGATTTTAGTTTTCACCTGCTTCTGCGAGGCATGCATGCCTCAGTGGTCGCTACCGCGGCAGCCGCTATGGCAGTCGCAGCAGCGACGAGCAAGAGAGTGCCGACGATAAACACCATCTGTTGGCACGGCGTGCGTAGGGAAGAAAGGAGGGGGAATGTCGAGAGGAAAGTTTGTCGTACACCTATTGCACATGGGCGACTAAAGCAGGATCATCACCAAGCGAGACAACCTTTCGAGATTCGACGAGAGACATCAAGAGACCCACCGGCATGTGTGGAAACGAGGAAACCTGCCCATGGTTATCGATCGGCCATCAATGGTTCACGGTTCGAGTGGTTTCATCCCCCATGCCAGAGAAGCATAGACTACAGTAGTCAACTTACAAGGGGGACACATATGTACGGCGCAGGGTTTGATACATACATACGTGTTCCACCACGACGACGAAGTCGGGCAAAAGAACATGAACCACACAACCAGGGGCATATATGTGTGAACGTCATCACATGAGAACTCGGTGTAACTACTCTTCTAGAGGTGCTGTAGACATTTGTAGGCCAACCTGGGGCCAACATATCTGAAACAAATCAGCCAGGAGCGTTTGAGAGAGTTCCGCTGCATCGACCTGTAGCAAGGTTGGATTGCTGTATCACATGTATGAGCCACATGCATGGTTAGATAAACCGTAGTAGGACCGTTCACTACAGGCAATAACGTAAAAACCTACTTTCGACGTGGCCGGACGACAAGAGACGGTTGCTTCAGTACTTTTTTGCGTCTTGGCTCGCAACATCTCTGTGGACGGGCTTGGTCTGCCAGGACCAGATACATACATGGGACGGTCTCTCCCTCTCTCTTCCTCTTGCCCCCCCTTCCCCCTTCATCCCCCTCCGTCCCCTTCCGCTGCTCGTGCTCCTGCTTCAGCTCCTATGACCAAGCAGTGAACGTTGTTACCGGACAAACCGACACCTACAGGTATCATTTGCTACATGGGACAAGCGAGATCGACCGCACACATCCACAAGAAGAGCGACCGTCGGCGCTCGGCGACGCCCCTGGTACTCACCGCTGGTACCCCCAGGGTAGGATCTCAGATCTTTCGCGATATTTCCCCTTGATCAAGAAGACGAGAGGAAACTGGTTTGCTGTTTTGCGTCTGAGGAGTTTCTCTCGTGAGAGTGTGGGAAGGTGGGGAAGGTTGTCTCTCAAGCTCGGGTCTACCAATGTAGCAGAGTCTCCGGAGAAGCGGCGCAACTCCAGAATTCAAACTAGCCAATCATCTCCGAAAAGCCGAATGGTAGCTACCGATCTACCGAACCAACACACCAAGACCGGGGGCCCTTGGGGGGCTTCGCCACTTCTAACTAAGGAGAGGTTCAAGGACAAACCAGAGATGAGCACGCGGCGAACGTCCAGCACTGGATTGTCAATGTAGTAAGCGTGTATCGACGTGTATCGACCGCTCGAATTGTGCTGGAAATACTAATCTTCCAATCTGTCATCAGTCATCTGGGTTGAAAGCCCCAAACGCCTCATACCGCATCTATCTTCAATGCACACAGCCTTCTCTTCACATGACGGGTGCAGGGTGCAGGGTAGACTGCGCAGAAAGCACACCGGCCCACCCTCCGGATTCGGAGGAATCGCAAGAATACGAGGCACCACCAACTACTCGTGCATCCAGTCATTTCCTGGCGCTGGTTTGTGTTTCTTTCGACCGCGTCGACCAGTTGACACTCGAGGAGACACACTCTGTGCAGATACCCGGGAGAAACAAGAGTGCAAATCACCTGGCTCTCGAAACTGCACTCCTCCTTCTCCTTGGCACCTGTCGCGCGTGTTCCAGAGTAGCAGAACGAGCGGCATGCACACTGATGTAGCCTGAAGAGAATAACGGAGCTCTGCCCCGCACCGGCTATCTTCTTGAACGACTTGAACAGAGCGCTCTTGTTTCTTTGTGGATGCGCAGTTGGGGAAGAGGCAAAGTTTATGTACGACAACGCATTAACCTCAGAGATCTGTGTGTGACACAATCGAGACGGGAACGTGCTACATTCGGCCAGGAATCTCAACGAATCCCTAATTTCTCCCAACAGTTTCCATTCGATGCGGTCAAGACGTGGTGGATGGTTGGTGTTCCTGTCAAACAACACGCTTTGGCGGACGCACGTTCAAAAAATGCAAAAATGCAAGAGAAACTTGAAAAAATTCTCTATGTGAACCTTTCAGAAATCACATGCGATGGCCACGTGCCTGTGGTATTCATGTGATGGCTGTGCCTGGACCACGGAGGAACAGCGTGCGAACTAAAAATTTACGTCCATTCATGAGTTTCGAGAAGCGGGGGAAGACGGGTCGTTGTTGTCCTTAACAACTCGCACATAATCCAACCTCGATCGCTCTGTCCCATAACGGCTCTCTGCCAATGTCGTTCATGCTAGCCGAACCGCCGCGATATCATCAGCAGGATGGACCACCACCCAAACAGAATCCTTCCTGGCAAAAACTCGCAAAAATACATGTCGCATCCAACCCTCCGACCCCCCCCCTCTGAGGGGGGAGAAAGAAAAGCACCGTGACGAAGAGATAGTCCCCATTCTCATGACCATCGGTACTTTGTGAACTACCCCACGAGTGCACCGGGAACAACGCGATGGTTATCGACCGAGACCGGGGGGTTCCTCTGCGATCAACCCTCGAAAACCGTTCTCACCACTTCACCCTCTTCACAGCAGTGTCGTTTCCCCCTCCACGATGCATGTCCGCCAGAGAGAGAAAGAGAGAGAGCAGCCGCGCTCCGTCTACCGACCCTAACACAAATTCTAATCGCCGCAATAGCGGTTACCAAGGACTTTGGCTTGGTGCCATCGCCCACGACCAACCCCTCTTGACACAGCACCGTGCATGCCCATTTTCACGCACGAAGAAAAATTTCTGCAAACAAACAAAAATCTTCCGGCACAAGGTACCCGCATTCGTTCGTGGTAGATGATCGAACACCACGGCAGTACTAATACATCATTGCCGCCACCTCGGTGGGTATCTCCAGTTCTTTTTACTTCGCTCCCGGCATGCCGCCACCCGCGCCGACCGGCAGACCCATCTCGGAGTAGAGCTCCGCCAGCCTCTTGGACATGGTCTGCAGGGACTCCGTGTGCGCCGCTTGCTGGGCCGCCGCCACCTGGTCGACACACGGTTGTGATCGACACCACATTAGGAGGGGTGGGGTCTTGCGATCAGCCATTTGAGACTGCTGCAGTACTAATCTGTGTCTGGGCGCTTCGAAAGGACAGTTATGATGTACTTTTTTTTCTAATATCAGAAAGTCGACGTTGCGATGCCAGCACACTTGTACCCAGCGGTGTTTTCCGAACAGCAGTGGACGTGTTCCACAAAAAGACAGTTCGGCCAACGACGACAGCGTCCAGTGGCCGACAGAACTCTGAGAATCCCATAAACACGGAGAGGCAAAGAGGAGAAGCCCGTACCAACGGGCTGCAGCATTTCTGTGAAAGGTGTTCCAAGGCTCACTCACTGCTTCAAAAAGTAAAACAAGTGGGGAGTCCGACGAAAAACACCCCTGCCCGCCCCCCTACCGCCGTGAGGGCAGTATTCTCCGAGTGTTTCCCGTTTCTTCGTGTTCGTACCTGTTTTCATCAAAATCGTTCAAGATACTGTATTTACTGAGGCGGTGGCCAACAGCAAACCTGTGCTTACTGAGCGTAGCATTATGAAATATAAAAAAACACCAAAAGGGGCCGAAATGCTCCCCGATGCCCCTCATCCGCCCTCATCCGCGACACCGCCTTTCTGAGCTGGTGCCCGTGCAGCTCTGGGAGTGCCGATTTCCAACCTTTCCTACAACCCTTCCCTATCCTTCGGTTCTTCCATTGTGGGACCTTGGTGCATGGTATGTGAGAGCTCTGCGAAGAACCTATCATTTGATTTGTACATCCTCTTCGTCGCGGTGTAATCGAGCTACATAAACTCAGTCCAGGGGGTGTGATATCTTACGTCAGCTGCGGCAAACATCACTCTTTCATCCGACGTACCTTCTCTGCCACGGCCTTGGCCCCCTCAGCCATGGCCTCCTCGCTGATGTCGCACGACAAGGGCATCTGCTGCCCCGTTACCGTCACGGTCACCATCCCGCAAGGCGACTTCCCTTCCACCTTCAGCAGCTCAAGGTCCTAACCCACACGCGCCAACGACAGGTGGGAGGGGAAGAGACGATTTAGCCGAGGGCACGAAGAGCGGGGCGGCCTTGTTCTTCTACAAAAAACGTCAATGGAACCCCCCCCCCCGAAACACACACAAGGCGCAAGGCCCTGTACGCTGCCGTCAACCCTCGTGACAACCCCACGCCATGTTCCGCTTAACCCTCCTAGTACCAAGTCCCTCCGCAACAAAAAAATGCCGCGAAAATGTTTGCCAGCCATTGGCCGAGGGGCTACAGTCCCTCCAAAGAATCCGAGCTCCTTGCCAGACAAAGGGTGACTTGGCTTCAGTATGAAAAGTGTCCCCTCCCCACGCGTGCGGACACTTTTCATACTGAAGCCAAGTCAGCAAGTTTTTCCAGCACCAGGCGATGTACAGTTTTACGACCTAGGGGGCACGCGGGTTGGGAGATGTGTACACCAAGTCAGAGGCCCAGGAGAGGCATCACACAGCATATCACACAGCGTGCCACCCCAGCCAAGCATGATACACCAAGCGTTATCACGTGCGCCGCACACAGCGGAGCCTAGGGTGACTATTACAGCAGTGCTGTAAATGGGAATTTGAGTGCCGTATCCCCGAAGTGTCCCCATTTGGGCTTCCAGCATGATACTAGGAGGGTTAAAATCTCAACAGGAGCACCACCAACACAACAAAAACAACAGCCGTTGCACAACGATACTCAAGTGGGCAGGGGGTGACGGTGTCGACGATCGACCCGTTTGACACTCGCCCCGGGCGAGAGCGATGCTCTTCTGTTTCGGGCGCACAACAACCCTACAGTCCCCCATTAACCCTAACCCTGTCACATTTTGGACTACTTGGATAGGGCGGAGAGATCACAGCATAACAGCACAAACGTAGGGGGGAGGGGGGGGCAACAGAAGGGGTGCCACGCGGCAAAGCGACGGATCCTTGAATAGCTGAGAGAATGTCTTTTCTACATTGGCGATCCCGTGCAAGACATTTGTCCGCCTGAGGATGAGAAAGATACGATACTTGCACAGGGGTATATACGAGCAAGCTTGGCAAGCCCAAGTGGGCACGCCTCGGAATACAGCAGTGAGGGACACAGCGGTTGTCAAGAGCAAGAACGAGATTTCAGAAGAGACGGCCGGAATTTGCACACCACTCACCTTCGTCGTTTTCTTTTTTCCATCTATCCTGAGTGCCAGTCTACGGGTTGCCGGGATATGTGCTTGACGACTCGACCGGGGTCGCAACAGGGGGAAAAGCAAAGCAACCACAGGATTTTTTTTTTCCACCTTTCTTTCTGCGGTGCTTCGGTTTAATAAAGATTGTAAGCAACACCTTCCCTCTTATTTGTGCTTCCTCACGACACTAATGCCAAATCAACGCTGCGTTCATCGCTCTGGAGACGGAGTTTTTCGGACTTCAGACCAAACAACACGTGCAGAAAATCATTGTACGAAATACAAAAAAAATACAAGCAACACATCTATTCCCTGCTGCCGCTGCTGCGTGTAGACTCACCTTCTGCAAGTCCTTGGTCTTTTGGCCGATCTCGTTGGCTTTCTTGAGCCCTTCCATCATGTTACCCATGTTGAAACCCCCGTCCTTCTTTTCTCCCCCCCCGCCCTCCGCGGGCTTCGCGCCACCTCCGCCAAAGAGCATCGCAGGCTGTACACATCGGGAGGAAAAGGGAGATTGGGGGTTGGATATAGGAAAGGAGGCACAAACTCGAGCACAGCGAAAAACAAAATAGAGGCGGGTAGTGGAGGGGGGCGGCGGCTAACAGTTGACTACAACAAGAAAAAAAATCTGCGAAACGCGTTTTCTTCGTTTTTTTTTCTGCGTGCCTTTTCAGGTGTGCCGGGCCTACGTGCTACACCGACAAAGAACCACTTTCTTTCGCAGCAGTAGCACGTCAGCGTACGCCATCAACCGTGTACCACACGGTCCTCGGTGCGGTTTGCGGTTGAAAAATATCGCAAATTAAAACTGTAGCAACCTTCCACACATGCCTTGTGCGCGACGCAACGTTACGAGATCTTGGAGGCAGCACGTTTGCCTCACGGCACCTCAGAAGAGTGTGTGACATATTTCCTTGTTCTTGGCCTGACTAGATAGTACTCCCAAGACTTTGTACCCCGGTTCGTTGTGTCGCAAGCTCTGCTCCCTGAACCGCGGCCAATCATTACCCGTCCGCACAACCATGTCCCTTGTTAGGCTAGCCTGTGCTAACCCTAATCCTCAGACCTGATCATCGACACCGCTGACAACACGCGCGTCGGCGCGAAACTTCCTATCATCTCAGCCCGCAGAGGGTTTTTTCTGACGGCATGTCTCAGAACACCACGCTACCGCACGCAGGCGACATGTGAGAAACCACCACCTGGACCAAAGTTCCAAAGCTCGACCGCTCCACAGCAAGCACACAGAGAGGCGGTGGTGCCGAAAACGGCGCTCCTCGTCCAGAGCTTTCCCACAATACCTCTCTTGATTCGGGTATTCTCTTCGCCGTATGCATACCCGAGCATGAAAAATTGGTCCAGAGGGGGTACGGTATCTCACGTCACCTACGGTATACTTGCGAAACGACAGCCGGCGATGGCGCCCGATAGAACGCGGCGACGTGAAAAACGGTGCCCTTGGGTCCCTGCCTGACGCCTCGGGGGAGCAGAGGGGGCCAACTCCAGACCAGCAGGACAACACGTCGTTCAACTTTGAGGACGAAAGTGCTGTCCGGCTGGTCCGGAGTCGGCTCCCTTCATTTACGTCTACACAGGGACCCAAGGGGGTGGTCTGTTTCGTCGCCGAAGTCCTGGCGGGTGCCATCGCCGCCTGTGGCTTCGGGTACGGAGATAAATATGCCGCCAGAAATACGTTCGTGGACTGACAAAACAAGCTTACGCTAGACGAGGGTGCCTGCCGCACGACTGTCGTGAACGAACAAGATTCGAAAATGCATGCCCAAGCTGCAAGGATTTCCGTGGACCGGTGGCGAACCGGACCCTCTTTGTCTGTTCAACTGCCGGTGTTTTGGATGGCGAAACAGACCAAAGTCGAGCCTCGTCCACCGCAACAGGAGGAAGCTACTGAAATTTGGGGGTAAAAAGGTGTGAAATTCCCTACCGAGCCATGCTCGAGGAGGTGGCGGGATTTGCGACAATGCTCCAGATTGGCATTTGAGACCCCGGTCAGGCAAGGGCGGGGGTATCGAAACGAGAGCTCTAGCTACCCACGGATTTTCGCCCGGTGAGATGAGCATCCCTCGAGACGACGCACCGCTCCTCAGCTCCAACGATGGCCCTAAAAAAAAACCGCCAACGTGTTGCTCTACACACATGGGTCACGCAAAAATTGACAAAAGTGCGTCTTGCTCCCTCCCGGCGAGGGAAAACCTTACGAAAGATACTACAACTGACGTGGCGATCTGCATTCTACGACATACTCCTACTTTTGGTGAGACGTAACAGATCCCCGGAGGGGATACCATAGCACAGAGCTTAGAGGTTTGCCCCCGCACAGCCACGGGTGTGTGTGTGTGTGTGTGTGTGTGTGTGTTTTTAATATTTGCATCGACCGCGCTAGCCGGCTGACCAAGAAAAAGAAGTCAGTCTCAGTGCGGTTGAAAACACAAAACACTTCTAAATGCTATTAACTGGGACCCCGTGAGGGGGCGGCATGGGGGAGACAAACCTATTCTCCGGATCAAAGACAGAAACGGTAGCAACAGAAGACAAATGCGCACGTCTACGAAGGCTGCTACCTTGCACTCGAGTTCGTTTTGGAGTGCTTGTGTGTGTTTTTTAATTATCAGCATCGACCGCGCTAACCGGCTGACCAATGTGTGTGTGAATGTTTACTTTGAGCATTGACAGCATAACCTAACCAGCTGACCAAAGGACGTACGCAGTCTCAGTGCGGTTCAAAGCAGAAGGCGCTTCTAGACCACCCGGGCGACCGACATAACATCATGACGGTCGGTATTTCCGAGGGTTCAAAGTGGTCATCTCAAGAAAGCGAGAGGTCAGCAAAATAGGCTCGGTATCAACAGGAGCGGTGGGCGTGTCATGTACACTCAGAAAAGTAACGCTAACACCCACATTTTTGGGGTGCAACAGCAGCATGCTACGAACTGAGAAACAACGGTTCATAAGGCCGGCGTTGAGCCTCTGGCATACAGTCAACCGTCGCAGAGCAGTCCCATCACGGAAGATACCACACACGCCTCGTACATGCCGCGCATGACACAAGATAACACACCCCCTGGACCGATTCTCAAAGCTCGATTACTCCACGACGAGGAGGATGCATAAACGAAACAACACGTTTTCGAATAGACCTCGACCAGGCGGTTTTAACGCCGCCGTTTCGGCGATGCTGCTCTCTGTACTGTTGATAACTCGAGCTTTGGAAATCGGTCCAGGGAGTGTGTTATCTTGTGTGGTGTATACGGCATGCCAATGGTATCGCTTTGCTGCCGAAAACTTCATGTCTCGACAGAAAACGTACACCACGTGTCCGTGCAGCAAAATGCCTTGAGCCAGCCCTATGGAATGGATACCGCGCATCCACTCGCACAATACGCCTCGCACGCGTGATAGGCATCATCCTTGTGGCATTGACGTACAGACGGCCGTTTACCGTTTTTTTAGCGTCATTCTGCTGAGCTCTCTGGTTGATGCGCTGAATTTTTAGATACTCCTCCCATGGATGCCAGTCAGACATCGCCTACCGTCGCCTACGTACAACCATCAAAATTTCCTCCGCCACCCTCGCCGTACACACGTTGTAGCAGTTTCTGCAGTTACCCCTAGAAAGCGGTGGCGCCCGTACGCCCTCCTCAACCTCAAGCAAAGTGCACACACTCACACACCCGAGCGGGGAGCCAGAGCGAGAGCACGTGTCTGCCGCACATGACACTGCTGTAACATGAACAACGACCGGCAGCCGGTGCGCAAGAGCTCACGCTCGTCCTCCTACCCCTCAATCCAAGACAAATGCCTCGCGGTGGGGGCATGGGAATGCACCAGACGTGCTTCTGGTTGGTGCAGAACGCCCCCATGCGAGGCCGTGGCGGCCCGTGGCTTACGGTAGCTCTCTCTCTCTTACCTGCTGCGGTCGCGCAGTGGTCGACGCTCCGCTCTTGGCAGCACATCGGTGCTGGGCGCCGACAAACGACGACGAGATAACGAAGCCCTGCGCTGGTGCGAGCAGCGCTACGGCGGTGGCGATGGAAGCGGTCACCTTCATTGCTGATGCTGGTGTGAAAAGTTAGTGCAAGAGAGAGTTCTAGCTCTTGGCAGTTGGGTTGTGCATGAGCTGCCGGCCGGCTCGCTAGATGCAATAGATGAGGGACGGGGGTACGCATATGAAACAAGGGGGTACGAGTGCATCCGCGGTGCTCCGCTATCAAAAATTAAAAATTATTAATCGCGTCGCTGCGCTGTTTCTTTACATGACACACAGCACAGTAGTACCAAGAGGTACAGGGATTGTATGCAAAACGGAGAACCCAGAAAACACAGAGAAGTGTCGAAGCAAATTTGATGGCATGAACGTGTGTCCGTCGCCCTTTATACTAGGCAGGATGCTGGCATGAACGAGTTGCGTTTGGCTAAAGGGATAAGATGCGAAAGAAAAACGCGAGCCTTCGGCTCACCGCCCCCATTTGTGTCCTCTGTAACAGGAAGGGTACGAGTAGGTGCAAGGGTACAGCAGTAGACGATTTCGAAAGGTATCACCCCACATTCCATAAACAAGCTTGTGGGTGCAACTGCAGCCAGCAGTATCAAATATCTGCCGGTGCGGAGGGAACTCTCGATGAAACATTGTCACTTGCCAGGAAACCGACTCCAAAAATTGTTTCTTCGCATCACCACCACCCCAGCTATACCTACCGTGGAGCAAACGTTCCCGTCACGTATCCTTCACTCTGCACTCCACCCGCTTCGGCAAAATAAGTATCCCAAGTCCGAATTTGAATCAAAACCACTTGCTGTTGTTCGTGGTTCACATGCCAAAAATATAAAATAACCTTGGTGCTATTTACTTGATGTTCGCCTCTAGGTCATGAGGAGAAGGAGAAGGCGCACTTTCCTGCGTTAGAAGACGAGGGGAGTGACTCTAGGGGTTTCTGTCTTCGCTATGCTATACCGTTGCCCTTCCATCCAACGACAAGAGCGGTCGATACAGAGATGGTCGCCGGTCCCTAAACAGTCCCCACCCCGCCCTCTGAAGTCGGACCCCCTCGAGATCGAACGTGTGCAAGATAACTTCGCCACCCGGCCCGCCCGGTTCGCCGCAGCAAAAGTGGCGAGAGTGACCAGGCTGTGCAGCAGCCGATGCCGCACCCATTCGAGAAGCGCCAATCGCCGTACCGTCGCCGCCCTCGGAGTCGCCTCTATTGCTCGGGATGTAGGAGCATTCTACCACGATTTCTCCTGTTTGATCCGCGATGAAGGAGCTCCCGTAGAAGGTGATATGGCTGCCGGGGTATTCTTCGCGGCCGACCCGGTTCGAGGCCACTACGGGAACCAAATTTGCCTGTATATGTTGTGGTGTGTTTCGTGTGTGGGCGTAGAGGGGGGGGGTGGAGGGATGGATGCAAGCAATCACAACAAGCACACGAATCGCATTCCGACATCAACCTCAGCTACATAAGTTGTGTCGGAGAAAACGGTGACAACATCCTCGGTACATTGCACCATCCCTCTGAGATTAACACTTCCCCTGAAACCCTGAACAGACCTATACAACGTAGAAACGATGTGTATTCAAACAAGCCATCCAGTCCGGTGCGCCTCGAGACACCCCCGTAAGCAAACACTCCGCCTGCATGTGCCCCACACAGGCGAACAAATCGCGCTCTCCTGCCCGTAATGCTGTCCGTTCTCGGCGAGAGAGCATCGAAAATTGCTAAAATCATGCTCACACACAAACTCCAGAGCAGCGCTGTTCATGAGACCCACCCCAGCGTGCCCTTGCATGACCCTTCTCCAGTGAGCGCTAGAGTTCAAGGTCGGGTCTTGAGGCTCCGATCCGATGGCCGTGGGGTACAGAAGGAGCTGCGTTGGATCGAGCGTAGCGTGTTTTGAAAGAGGGTGGCGGTCGCGGTTTGCGTGAATAATCTTGTCACAGGAAGGCAACACATCAAGACACGCCAAAGGAAGAATCCAAGGATCGATGCCCGGCCGCGGGTGTGGCAGCGAGCGGGCTCTGTGCCCGCGAATTGTTCGTGCCGCCACCACAACGGACACACCTGTCGGTGGCTATCGTGCACTTGAAAAAATCAGGAAGATGCACGCAACAAACGGTGAGATGGACGGACGTAGTCCCTCTGCTGTATCCATCGACAGGTTCCACCGAGAAAACACCGACCGTTCCGACCCGTCCGGCGCAGGTATTCCAACATGTCGCCCAAGCACTCGCCACCCTCCCGGGTTGCCCTGCATCACGCTCCGTGGTTGCTCCCCAAAGAGGGATGTCCAAGCACAAATAGGCAGAAATGGCTACAACAAAAGTACAACTTTACCTCGGCACCCTGCAAGGCCATCGAGCGCGCGGCTTCGGGGAACCACTGGTCCCAGCAGATCGCCACTCCTATCTTTCCGAACTGCGTGTCGAAAACCTTGAAGCCCGTGTCACCAGGGTTGAAGTAGAACTTTTCCTGTGTGCGTTTTCATCCGTCGAAAATGGAAATCGGTGTGTACGTGGATGACTTCATAGCTGTCAGGACCAAAACGTTGGGTAGTGTTTGAACCCCAGCCATGTAAGCCACCTCGAGATTGAAAAAAAAAACGGACGATTTTGCGAATAGCAGCGGTCGGTCACTAGAGTCTCCTCTGGTGACCCCTAGCCACCGCCATCCGGCTAGATCTGGTCGCAGGTGCGCCGAGTGTGAGCAATAACGGTTGTGGTAGACTGTTGCTGTTGGTGAGCTTCCCCACAATCCCGTGCAAAGAGGTCGGCTCAGGTGGGGGTTCGAAGAATGCAGTGAAACACGCCGGCATTGCTGCAAGTTGCGTAAAAACGAAATTATATGGTGCCTAATGGGGCCGTATCTGAAGGTGGAGGCTTACGTACGTATCGACTGCGTATTGCTGTACGGGAGGGGTGCCCAGCAAACAGAAGAGGGGACACATGTCCGACCGGTCGCTCTTTCGCCTACAAAACTACAGGCGTAGAGGTTCCACCAACGTCCCATGACCAACAACAACAGACGGGTGTACACAACAGCAGGAGGAGTTTTTCAGTTTTTCCATCACCCAAACCTGATAGCCGGGCCCATCCGGAATGTGGCTCTTGCGATACAGCCCCAAGTGCCCTCCGTCCGCATCGAAAACCACAACCGAATTGAAGAACGCATTGTTGCCCCGCTCAAAAAAACTAACGGGCAGCACCTTTTAGTGGTTTGTTTCCGTGAGCAAGTACATCATTGTACGGGCGCGCGGGGGGGGGCGGGGGTAATTTATTGCTAAGACGAGGAGGATATTGGTGATAGAGATTGGAAGACAGACAGAGAGACAGAGAGAGAGAGAGAGAGAGAGAGAGAGAGAGAGAGAGAGATAGAGAGACAAGAGAGAGAGAAAGCAGGAGAGTGAAGAGCAAAGGGGAGGGATCCATGGGACGCTGACCGAAAATAGCACGACAGCGGTGGCGCGCCATAGAAAACTGCCTCCACTTGGTGTATCTCTCTCTCTCTCTCTCTGGCGACCAAAGTTTTGCACACTGAAGACCCAGACGCAGGCTCACTCACCACTCCCAGCTCCTTGGCGAGTGCCTGGAACCGCGCGAGGAGGGCGCTCTCATGTTCGCTCTCGGCGAGCAAGAAGTGCTCCTCACGCTGCTCCTGGCAAAAGTAGCGGGTCGAAAACAGCTCCTGCAGCAGGATCACCTGCCGCGGCGGCGGGAGAGGAACACAGTACGGACGAGAGAAGCGGGAATACAGCGGCATCCTCGTGTGTCTTATCTCTCGCTGTGCTCACGCGTGACGTAGATCATGAAGGAAATGCGATCATGTCAGGCGTGCAACGGATGTATCCACTGAGAAGTTGAGCGATGGGATAGTGGGAATGAGTCTAGCAAAATAGGCGTGAGCATTCATTAGCTGATTGGTGCTACGGAGCCCCACATAGGCGTGAGCATTCAGTAGCTGATTGGTGCTACGGAGCCCCACGAGGGGGCTCCCGGAGTGCAAACCGGGATGTACTGCTTCAAACCTCGCTAAGGCCAAAATCGACGCGGGATTGGGTGGGGCAGATCTATTGAACAGGGCTTAGTGAGGCATGGAACTTTCATAGATTTTCTTCATGGTAGGACAGGATTGCAGGAAAATCAAATGGACCTCCGAAGGATGCCCATGGGGTGAATATATGGCGACTTTGACAATCGTGAATTTCGAGTCACAACCTGATTGTAAAATTGTGAAACACTCTGGCGCGTTCTCGATGAGGTCAATTCGTTCTCTTCCACCGACCCTCGCCTGGCCACCACCGCCGTTGTCCAGATGTTTCAACAAGTCCACATCGTTTCGAGTGTCCCCGTTTGGTCTATGTCGACGCCAAAGCTACAGGCTGGCGAGAAGACAGGACTTTCAGCCGCTGGTTCTCCGTTTCTACGTCTGTCTGTCTTTTATTCTCCACAACACAACAATAAACAGGAAGGGAGAGAGAATCGTAGTTCGTAGGCGCAGCTGCTATCTACACCTGGAGGCCATGGTGATAGCTCGCGATAGGGTGGTGGCAACTCGTGGGATATCAGAAGGATTGACGGGTGGTCGCGGTGCGGCAGGAAGCGCCTGTTGGGCCTGCAGTATAGTCTATACCTTGAAACGACACGTCTTCAACTCGCTTCAGGTGTATATTTATCAGGGAGAGGGCTTGAAGACCTCGCCCGCGAAAAATGCACTCCCTTGTACCTCTCTCTCTGCCCACCCCCAATGTGAGCGCTGCCGACTCACTGCAGAGCTCCTGCTGCTCCCACCAGTACACAGCTATGGACATGCCAACGTCCGACGTGGAGGGCTGGAAGGGTGGAAACACCTCAGCTTACTACATATGCATGATACAGAGTCTACCAGCATTTGCAGCATGATCAGAGTCAATGATCAGTCCGTATTTGCTCTTATGTTCAACCCGTGCGGTTGGCCGTCTCCAATCACCTCTATTACAAGCAGTACACCATGTATTGACCGGCACCCTATGGCGTGGCCTACCGAATACTTCATCGCAAATATTCATCCCTGCAATATCTCTTCGACATACTGCTGTTGTACTTCAGGGACGAGCTCTCGCACACCTGCGCGCCTGCCGCCGCCGCACGCCGTACGAGAGCCTCCGCTGCATCGGCGTTGTCCTTCGCATCCGGAGAGCACGACATCTGGGTAGCCGCCACGGTCACCAGTCTAGGAGTCGCCATGTTTAGGCCGCCGGTGCGTAAATTGCTGTCTGGCGTTACTGAGCCAGGACTATTGTGGCACCTCGACGGTTGTTGCACTCTGTCGATGGTGGAAAGTGGGAAGCGAGCATCAAGCGCATGAACTGGCATGTGGCATTTACCGACTCACCGGCTCCTCCGGAGATACCGGAGAACAGGGGTTCACGATGTGTTATTTTGGTTCTCTCCACGGACTCACAGATTTGTTCCGCCGCAACTTCGCCCAAAAGTCAAGAACAACCGCCTCCGTGCTCCTGGGCCCCCACAACCTCTACTCCTCGCTCTCCGCTCTCCACTCTCCGCTGCACATCCCAACACACCCAGGCCTCTTCTTTATCCTAGGACTCGCTCAAAAGGGGTGTGGGAAGTGGGACACAACAGAAGAAAACCAGCACTTTGCATATCATCATCATGTCGTCTGCTGGTCGATCCTCCGTTCTGTCGACGACCAACCTGGACACGCCAGACTTCCGGTGGGTTAGCCTGAGGAAGATCTTGTGGCAGGTGGGTGGGCGTGATCGGTCATGTGCCCGGCGATCGGTTGAGAATTTCCGACCTGGAAATAGAGCCGGCGCAGCCCAAATGAAAAAAATGCCTTGAACTTGTTTGAACTCGAAGTGCAGAGTCGTGGCTCCTCGGTGACGGGGTGGTGTGACAAAAACGCCCTGTCGACCCTCTTGTATCTGATTGCAGCCTACGGAGTAATGACTGTATAACAATGCAGCCTACGGGAGAGGTGACTCTACCTCGACTGTACCGTTGAGTCTACATAATAATGGGGTTGGAGCAGCCCGCCACACATCGAGGATCCAAAGAAGAAGCAGATCCTCATCATCAATCCTTGCAGAAAGTGCAGAGAGGACGACACTAACCGTAAGCCATCCTTGCTTTTCAGGTTCTCTTTGCAAACTGTACGACTACACAGCAGTACTTCACTACTGTTTAGTGCATGCATGCATGGTTATTACGCTGAGGCTAGGAGTTAATCGCTCGTCGGGCCACAACTGTGTGATCGACATAATACCCCGTGCGGTCTCCCCTCTGTGCTTTCCTACTGCCACATAGTACAGTAGCAACTACTAGCTGTGGCACTTTTGCTGCATCGTCTGGGACCGTTGCGCGATAATATTTGCAGCGTCATCATGGCGTCGTAACTATTAACAGGGTGTAGCTGTAGCACTACTGTAGAGAGAGATACAGCCGTGTGCGGAGGTGAGCCTCGGCTCGGCACCAGGAAGCGAATCCTGCATTGACGAACGCATCGCCCTCCTGTGTGCGGAACAGCGCTGTTGTGGAATCCCTCCCTCAAAAGAAGGGCCGTTTCACATGTTTTCGCCACGGACACACCCGCACCCTACAATCGCTGTCCCCTGGCACCTATTTCTCTCTCTTTTTTTTTTTCGGGCAGGACCCGAAGGGGAACAACCGGGTATGGGAGTGCGCCTTCCGCAACACTCGCAAGTCCGAGTGCGACGGGGTGGCCGTGATCGTCTTCGTCTCATACCCTGTCTCCAAGAAGGAGGACGAAATTTTGCTCATCTCCCAGTACAGGCCGCCGGTTGCATCAGAGGTGCGCCGATGAATGCACTAGATAGAATTAACCCCGTTGCTCTATTGTAGTACTGACTCCTCTTGCTGCGGTTACATCGTGGCACTGACTGCGGTAGAATGGGACGCAGCGGCGCTGCTAGTCGTCTGAGAGGTTATTTTACGGCAAACATGTGCCGATTGAGTTCATACAGTTGTGATTGGGATGTGTCACCCTCCCCTCCCGGCCTCTCCCCGCATTAAGTGCTCCCCCTAGTTTTATACCGACGGCCTGCCCATTTGTTAGGGCGGCCGTACAGCTAACTGCTGTGCCGCATGGTCGGAGAAAAGGTAGCCTCCTCGGGAAGCTGCTCTGATCTTGCTTGGTAAGGGTGTACAGCTGTGGCATGTGTCTTGGAGGGTTGCGTGAGTTCTTGTGCTTCACGTGGCCTCTACCTGCAAGTCCTGCTGCAGGCTACGCCTCATGGGTACAGCGGGGAACGAGAGCCCGCGCTGCAATATTCTAGAAAGACGGGGGTCACGGTAGGAGCCGATCTCTACTTCCTTGGCCATTGCTCCCCATTCCCTCACGACACGTCATTGACCCCTTCATATTTTTCCCCTCTTTAACTCTGTTGTGATTCCTGGCATCACAAAGCTCAACCTCGCCTTCCCTGCTGACGAAATGAAGCTATCGGACCCTTGGTGCTCCTATCCCCTAGCCGCCCCGCTCTACTCATTCGCTCGGGGACTCACCCGTTACATTACCTCACACAAATAGCACCCCCCCCTCTCCTTTCCCAAGCGTTTGCCTCGCTCTTGCGTCCTCCACCCTGCTGTTTGCGCGTGGTGGGACTCAGGTGATCGAGTCCCCCGCGGGTCTGGTCGACGCGGGAGAAGATGCGAAGGAAGCGGCAGAGCGCGAGCTGCTCGAGGAGACGGGGTTCTCGGGCAAGGTTACGTCCGTGTCGCCGATAGTGCCCTGCGACCCGGGCATGACGGACGCCAACATGCGGTACGTGTTTCGAGTGTGTGGTGTATGGGTGGGGCGGTTTCTGATTGTGTTGAGTTTGGTGTCGGCGTGTCGATGTTGCTTCGTGTCCCTGCTGTGTTTTTTTTTTAAGTGTTGGGGGCCGGCGTGTTCGAGATGAGATTTTTGAGTCGGACGTGACACACATGCGCGACCAGTGGTCGGGTGAAACAAACACGGTTCGTCTTTGGTTCCTTTGGCATTGCTTCTGTGCTTTTTTTTCCCTATATTTTTTTAGCAATCTTAGTGTCGAGTGATTTCCTCTACACGTGCTGCTGTGTTGACTGTTTCGGTTTGTATTTCATTAATCCGGCGAGCTTACGCACTACTTAGCGCTTGCCAACGCCACCCCAAACGCTGCTCCCGACGTGTTCTCTGTCGGACACATAGGTTTGTCACCATAGAGGTTAACGGCGACTCCGAGGAGAACCAGAACCCGAAAGCCCGCCCGGAAGACGGGTGAGAAGACGGTGGAAGCGTTTGGACTGGGGGGATGGGGGGCACTCATGTTTTTTTCATGTCTTAGCTGTCAGACCATTGATCACGCGACCCCGAGAGGACCGAGCATTGTTCCAACAGGACCGATCACCGATGATGGCCAAACGTCCCTTCCCACTTGGTAGGTGTTGGGACTGGAGGGTGGTCGATATGTGCTGGGACGCCACCCAGAAATAAAAGTGACTGGGGGTGATACAAGAATGACACTTCATGAAAAGGGGTTGTGCATACCACGACGTTCGTAAACAAAAGCACTACCAGACTGCTGTACGGAAGGAAGGAAATGATCCCTTGGGAAAGGTATCAACGCCGGCCCATCTCGCCGAGAGTGTGCCTGCTTTTTTCGGGGATCATTGCATTTTTGCCTCCTCCTCCTCCTCCACCACCACCTCCTCCTCCTCCTCCTCCTGCTCCTCCTGCTCCTCCTTCTCCTCCTCTCCTTCCAGTGAGGAGGGAAACTCACGGGACTAATCATTTTTTTCTGCGCGTGTGTGCAGAGAGTTCATCACGCTCCGGAGGCTCCCGGCGACGTCGATGCAGGAAGGCCTGGACGAATTCGCAAACGCGGGATTCCAGGTCGACGCCCGCCTGTACGCCATGGCTGTGGGCTACACGTTGGGGAGACGCGCTGCTGCGGCCGGTGAAGGTGTCTGCCCGCGGCGATGGCTGGGATGCGCCGTGGCGTCTTCGCTGGTTGGTGTTGTGGTGGCGGCTACGTTGATGGTCGTGGTGGGGGGTGCGAGGCGCGGCAGATCATAAGAGCACCACACCCGCGGGTGGTGGTTTGTGTTTTCGGCCTAGAATTGCGTTCCAAGAAGCTTGCTACAGGAGAAAAGGTTCCTATTCTGCACGCGAACACAATAAAGTGGTTCATGCTGCGGAAGGAGGAGAGGAGGCACAGGGCAGGTGCAGAAATTGCCTCAGTCGGTGGGAGAGAAACGAAAAACAATATTTTTGTGGCTCACTGCTGTGCTGGAGGTGGGCATGTTTGCAAGAGGCTGCTGGAACCGACACATGTGACTTACGACGCGGTCCCAGAAGGGGTGTGCGAGGGGGGCGAGTCGTTGGGGGGTGCCGTCGTTTATTTTAAAAGTGCTGCCCCGTTGAACCGGTCGTTGTACGATAGACTTTCTTACCTAGAAAGGAGGGCGTATGAATACTGTGACGTGCTTTTGCGTGCACGACGCTTCGCTACGGTGCACGGCTGGGGGTTCGGGTGGGGCGCGAGGGGATAGGAGGGAGAGTATTTATTTTATGGACGTCAATAATCGCAAAAAGGACGGCGAACGTGGTGGAAACTGTTTTTGAGAGAGCCCCGCTAAGCTGGCTGAGCTGGAGAAAGATTGTTTCTGTTTTGGAAGATTGCCACCACGATCGCGAGGTTTGTTAGTCACTGAACCACGTCGTGTTCCGCGAGTTGGCGGCGTACGGTCATGAGCACGCAGGGCGACGTTCCTGTAGCCATTGTACTCTTTTTCCCCGCCACAGCCCATATCCTAGAGTTGCGCCCGCACCGTCCGCGGTGGCACTCGAACCGCGGGTCTCCCACCCGCACCCCATCTGGAACGGGCTTCGCAGCCAAGGTGGCGTTCGGAGGGCCGGGGGGTGGCTCATACCCCCCCCCCGTGATGTAAGCAAGAACTTTGTACACGTGAGGGGTGTTGGTCGGGTATCACCCTGTGGCGACAAAGCTTCGACTTCTCCAGCGCGAAGAGCGTGTACCGCATGGAAGTACAGAGCGCGCTTCGCACATGAATGGTGTGTTCGCTTTTCAACAGGCGGCGGTGGTTCAACAGGGACGGGGGCGTGAGGTTGTGCAGGTCGAGTATTGGCGGTTTGAGTATTTGGGCCAACAAATGTACCGTCCGGCATTAACAGCTGCGTGGAACATGACGTGCTTCGTCGAAGGGAAGCATCCCATACACTCGAACGGTGCACCTCTGTCTTTCGGACCGAACACGTAGGCGGAGCTTGCGTGGGTGCCTGTTGTTGTCGTTACCGTAGTTGTTGTTGTTGTTGTTGTTGTCACGATGGCAAGGCGAAGGGACGATATCCGGAACAAGTCAGATGCTACACCTCTGCATCCAATGCGCCAACATGGCAAAAAGTCGTCGCTAGCTCGGGTGGCACAGCTACGAACGTGACGCATGGCACGACGGGTTTACCGTGAACTAACTCGACGCTGCACGCGTTGTCGCTCGACGCGTCATAATTTTGTGCAGGATGCATTCGTTCATGTACCCTCGTGTCTCCTATATCTTCAAGCAAAACCAATCGATTTACCTCCGCAGCCAACCCCACCCTTATCTCCGTTGCATTAAATCTGGCACCCGTCCATTGGCAAGAATCGTCCGTGGACGCTATTGCACCAGCACCTGAGAGAAGATAAGAGTACGGGTCGCGGAAACGGGGATTGAACTGATTGCGCTGTAAGACGGGGAAGAGAGACCATGCCACGATAACGTCCCACAAGCATTCTCCCAACCGATGGAAACCGTCGGCGGACAACGAGGGCGCCTTCTGGAATTTCCCAATGGCAGCCACTGAACGATTCTGCTGCGACTCAGGACAGGCTGCCGTTCTAAGGCTGTCGTGGACGAAATAAGCACTCACCCGTCCCCGGAACTGATGCCGGAAAAAACGACCCCCTCGCAAAAAACAACCCTCGGGAGTCCACTCGGGGGCGTGGAGCCTGACAGACTCTGGACTACCCGGGAGCAGCAGCAGCAGCCGCCTGTGTTGAGAGCCGGGAGGCCGTCGCTCGCACCTCGTAGTCGTTGTTCTCTCCGCCGCCTCCTCGTGAAGCGGGATCTGATGGAACTGTCTTGGTGACCAGTGGACAGACCTGCTTGGCTGGTGCTTTTGGTGGTAATAGTGCTGCTGCCGCCGCGGTGGCTGGTACGGGTGGCCGTCGTGGTGAATCCCCTCCTCGCGAGAGAAGCAACCCACTTGCCGGAAGGGGGTCCAGCCGGGGGAGCTCATGGGGAGGGACCACCGCTCCACGTAGGCGGCGGCGGCGGCGGCAGCGACGGGATTCGAGTCGGCGACTCTTTCCAGGGTCACTCCAACCCCTGCCGCACGCAAGATCTCGAGCCGCGCGTAGCGCCTCCAGAAACCGTGCGTCAGCTTCTCGAGCTGCAACCCCCGCCGTGCCTTTATCTTGGCCTGCACAGTCTCCTCCATCTCCGAAATACGGTCGCAGGTAAGGCCCCCCCAGGCTCCCTTCTGTCCTAGTGTCACCGTTAGGTACGACAACCAGGTATCGGGTGTGGCACACATGATGTCGACGAGAGTACACGCGACACACACAACCACCACGGCTAGAACTGCAGAACACGTTCTCCAGCAGAGACCCTCTTTTCGGTGCCTGGTGTTCGACTGTCGGTTTGGACTTTGCGAAGGAAGATTAAGATTCGATCTTGATGAGGCACGATGGCGGCTATCGCTTTGATGTCGGCGGGACAGATAGTGTAGTCGGGCCTCCTGGGTATCTTCTCTTGCCTAGTGTACCTGGCGTGTCGAATGGTTTATTGCGAGAAGATTGTGTGATGGCCCAACTGCTGTACAGCGGCCCAACAAATATAGGTGTACAACCGAAAACCATCAACGGCTGTCTGTCTGTCTGTGTCTGTCTGTCTGTGTCTCTACTGTATCTCTTGGTCTACTTAAACTCAGAACAAACGTCTCTACCCACCTCTCTCTGCGCAGCAGTATCTTCGTGCAAACGTACTTCACATCCAAACAGAAGAATATGCGCCGTTCAAGGCGTTCAACATGATACTCGGTGCCGGGCAGAGCTCTGTATCTCTCCAGACTGCAGTGTGCATGCCGCCCGTTCTGCTACCCCCTAACACGTGGGACAGGCACCAAGGAGGAGGAGTGCAGTTTCGAAAAGTCACTACGTGATTCGCACTCTTGTTCTCGCGGGTACTATGCTATGTAAAGCAAGAGTCTCCTCGCGTGTCAACTGGTCGACGCAGTCACGAGAAACACAAACCAACGCCAGGAAGTGACTGATGCTGCACAAGAAGTTGGTGATGCCTCCTATTCTTTCGATTCCTCCTAATCCGGAGGGTGGGCCGGCGTGCTTTCTGCACTACACTGTAGTGAACACTGCACCCTGCACCCGTCATCATGTGAAGAGGAGACTGTGCACATTGAAGATACGGTATGCAGGCGTTGTGGGTTTTTTCTACCGCGAGGATTGACTGCATTCAAGAATAGTTTTTCCAGCACAATTCGAGCAGTCGATACACACACACACGTCGATACAAGCTTGCCTTGACAATCCAGTGTTGGACGTTCGTCACGTGCTCATCTCTGGTTTGTCGTCAATCTCTACTTAGTTAGAAGTGGCGAAGGTCTCCAAGGGCCTCTGGTCTTGGCGTGTTGATTCGGTAGATCACATTCGGCTTTTTGGAGATGATTGGCTAGTTTGAATTCTTGAATTCTGGAGTTGCACCGCGTCTCCGGAGACTTGGCTACATCTGTAGACCTGAGCTTGACAAGACATTCTTCCCCACGTGCCACACTCTCATACGAGAACCTCCTCAGACAAAAAACAGCGACCAGTTTCCTCCCATCTTCTTGATCAAGGGGAATTATTGCAAAGTATCTGAGACCCTACCCTGGGGGTACCAGCGGTGAGTACCAAGGGCAGCGCCGACGGTCTCTCTTGTGTGTGTGCGGTCGATCTCGCTTGTCCGAATGTAGCAAATGATACGTGTAGGTCGGGTTGTCCGGTAACAACGTTCGCTGCTTGGTCATAGGAGCTGAAGCAGGAGCAGAGGGGCTGCGAAAGTGGGCGGCGGGGGATGAAAGGGGAAGGGAGGGCAAAAGAGAGAGAGAGAGAAAAAGACCGTCCCATGTATCTGGTCCTCTATGTACATGGCAGATCAAGCCCGTCCACAGCTAGAGATGATGCGAGATTGAATGAACCCAAGACGCAAAAAAAGTACATGAAGAAACCGTCTCTTGTCGTCTGGTTCACGTCGAAGTACTTTTTTACGTAGTGATCTGTCCTATATATCTATCCACGCATAGCTCATACATGTATTACAACCATCCAACCTCTTGCTGCAGGTCGATGCAGCGGAACTCTCTCAAACGCTCCTGTCTGAGTTGTTGCGTGACGGGATTCAGATATGTTGGCCAGAGGTTTTGGCATACAAATGCTACAGCAGCTCTAATGTAGAGTAGTTGCACCGAGTTCTCGTGTGATGACGTTCACACATATGTCTCCCTGGTTGTGTAGTTCATGTTCTTTTGCCCGGATTCTTCGTCGGTGGTGAAACACGTATGTATCAAACCCAGCGCTCTACATATGCGTCCCCCTTGTAAGTTGACTACTGTAGTCTATGCTTCTCTGGCATGGGGGATGAAACCACTCGAACCGTGAACCATTGATGGCCGATCGATAACCCATGGGCATGTTCCTCGTTTCCACATATGCCGGTGGGTCTCGGTGTCCATCGTCGAATCTCGAAAGGTTGTCTCTCTTGGTGATGATCCTGCTGTAGTCGCCCATGTGCACTAGGTGTGCGGCAAACTTTCCTCTCGGCATCCCCCCCTTCCTGCCACATGCACGCCGTGCCAACAGATGGTGTTCATCGTCGGCACTCTCTTGCTCGTCGCTGCTGCGACTGCCATAGCGGCTGCAGCGGTAGCGAGCACTGAGGCATGCATGCCTCGGAGAAGCAGGTGAAAAGTATAGCACTTGAAAAAGCTCTTGAGAGTGGACATCTTGGGCACGAATTGAGGCTCCGGTTTAGGCTATTACTTTTTACCTTCCTGCCACCGGAGGAGGGTTGGGTTATGTAGTCTGCGCGTCATATCTTCGGAATTGAAGTTCTGAAATGTAATTTTTCCTCAGGCTATTGCTCTACTACAGTTGAACTCAACCTTTTTTCACGAGTCAAGCGACCAGACGCAGATTGTACGGGCAGCCCCCGGTATCCGTCAACTCTATGTTGTATACAGATGATGGCTGCCGTCGAGCGCTAAGTCTGAGCCTAAATGTTTCTTTTTTACCACTGACACCGCAGAGGCTTGCAGGGCGGTCTGAAACACGTTTCTATGTTTACGGCCATCTAACCGTACTCCCGTTTCTTCACCAACAACACACTACTACTACTGTAGTGCAAGACGAACATGGTGGAACATGATGTAAGAAGGTGAAAATAGTTTATGTAGGTAAAGAGAAAAAAATGAACGTTTGTCATCCGTGCTCATTCCACGCCATGCTCCCACTTTTGGTATACCCGTGATCATCGTGCTGGGACGAACAACATGCCAGGAACCCCCCCCCCCGTTCCCGCCCCTGCAGGCAGGGACAAGGACAACGATGAACCGCCCAAGGCCAGGAGCTGGGTGTGGTAGAACGCCAGCGACGCGACGTCTAAGTGTTCAACCGCAATTTTTCCACGTGAACAATATGATCAACAACAGCGCTAGCAGTTTGTGCTGCAAATTGTTACTGCTGCGCAAAATGCCACTGCTGTTGTTCCTCATCATGTTGTTCACGTGGAAAATATTGCGGTTGAACACGGAGACGTCGCGCCCCTGGGGTTCTACGACAGCCAGCTCCTCGCCTTGGGCGGGTTCATCGTTGCCATTGTTCCTGCAAGGGCGGGGAGGGGGGGGGCGGGGAGAATTTCCGAATTTGTTTCGTCAGCGCGATGGTCACGGGTATTGAATATATGAATATATGAATATATGGGAGCATGATGGAATCAGCACGAATGACGAACGTTTTGTATATATTGACCTATCATCGTTTTTCTCCTTCTAACATCATGTTCCACCATGTTTGTCTTGAACTACAGTAGTAGCAGTGTGTCGTTGTTTGTTCTACCCGTGACCATCACGCTGACGAAGAAAATGCCGGGAATCCCTCCCCTCTCTGCCCTTGCAGGCAGAATGACGACGGCCAGGAGCTGGCTGTCGCAGAACAGCGGAGCCGCGACATCTCCATTATCAGCAACAGCAGTGGCAGTTTGGGTTGCCGACCCTTCCTGCTACAGCTTCCTGGTGGTCGTCAAGTACGCGTCGATTCCGTGCAGTCAGCCCTTCGATTGTACTCAAGGATATTCAGCCGGTCCGCTACCCAGCAGCAGCTGGGTGGTGTTCCCCGCCCCATCGCCCAGCGCATCTTCCTGCAGCGCGGATGGACAGGGGGGAGCAGTATCACCAGCACCAGCGGCGGCGGCGGTGGAATCTTATTCCAGCTTCGTTTTCCGTCAACGTTCTCCGCGGTAATGCCGCCGCCTCTCGCGCTCGTGCGTGGATGCGCCGGGGCCGACGGCGCCATCGCCCTCTCCACGCCCGCCGCCGCCGCCGTCACGGCATCGCGGGTTTTCAGCACGTGCCCTCTCCTCCTCCCCGGCCTGAGTCGCACGACCGCCGGCGGGGGAACGCAGACGGTGCTATCCCTGCAGCAGAAGCTCCTCACCCTCCCGTCGACGGCCAGCGTGTTCTCTGGCTCGTCGGGTGCAGTCGGGACGGCTGTGTGGTGCCGCCGGATGTCTGCCTCCCAGCGCTCGGTCGCGGCGCGGTGGGTCTCGGAGGTTATGAGCGGACCTCTCGGTACCATCCCCGTGAGCTCGGTCACTTTCGGCACCTATCCACGTCACCGACGTTGCAGGCTGCCGGTGCAACGGCAGCGGCGGCGGCCGCAGCGGCGGTCGCGGCGGCGCGGCCGGCGATGGTCGCGCGGGTGGCGGTGACCGGGGACACTGGAGCTGTGTACTCCCCCTGCACCCCTTACTCGACCGGAGCGTGCACTGTCGACGCCTCGTCCACCGACACCTCCAAGGTCGGCGACAGGTTTTCCCGCGGTGGAGGCGTGCCCGCCATCTCCCCCGCCGACTGGGCGCTGCCGGCCTGGAGCTCGGCACTGTCGTCGTCGTCTTCTTCTGGTTCCCGCGAGGGGGCGGACAAGAACGGCGCCGCCGCCTCGACCGTCGGGGAGCAGTCCTCGTGTCCGATGCTCGCCAGCCTGAGGGAGAGACTGGAGAGTGGCCCGGTGCCTTCGGCGTTTCGGTTCGTTGGGCGCGGTCGCGGTTGCCCGCCCCACCTCTCCGCGTCGCCGATGTTTTCGGGAACCGGTGCGGGAACGGCGACGGAACGCGGGGCGGCGACCGCGGCGGCGCGGCCGGCGGCGGCTGCGGTAGGTGCTGTCCCCGCCGCCGCCTACGGTGCGTGTGCATCGTACTCCGGGTGCGCCTCGCACGCTGGCGGTAACAAGCGAGACCGCTATGTGCTCGAGGTACGTCGTGCGTCGCATGATGTTTGTGTTTTCTTCACCATTTGGCTTTTCGCCACCTCGAAATCGCCACCACGATGCCCGTGCATGAACTGTGTACTTATTGCTTTTGACACTTTTGGTTTTGCCACCTCTCGAACTCGACACCTGTGCATAAACTGTTTGCCTCTTGTTTTCTACTTTTGTTTTTCGCCACCGCCCGACTTCGACACCGGTGCATGATTTGGTATTTCGTACTTCGTTTCTGCTTTGTTTTGGCCACCGCCCGAAACCGACCCTGCTACTCCGGTGCATACATTTGTTCTTTCGTGAGCTTGTTGATTTGTTTTTAGCGTAGCTCTTCGCTTGGCATGCTTTTAATTGGCATTTTTTAGAAAGGAAACGATGTGCTCGTGCCGAACACATGAGGATTCATGCTCGTAAGCGTCCGACGAACCCCCCCCTCCCCCCCCCTCGCTTCCACAACCACCGCCGCCTTTGCAACACAATCACAGAACATGGATCTCCTGGACGACGCCGACGAGAAGACGGGGACCGCCGCATCAGCCAGCCGCAAGGATAACGACGACGGTAAGATGAAGACCGGCGCCATCTACGGCAACCAGTCCATCGATCAGTCCATCGCCGAAGCGCTGATGGGGATCGGAGGCCGCCCGGCGCTTCAGGTGATGCGGGTGAGCGGGCTTGACGCGGCGCTGACGCCTTCCAGTGGCCCGTCCGACAGCACGGAGGAGGAACAGGAGGAGGCGTCGCCGGCAGAGAGCAAGAAGAGACAGCGGCACCGGTGCGAGGAGCTTGACATCGACGAGGACTACCTCGGCAAGATCGACGTTATGACGGAAGAGGTAGGGTCTGGTCGTTGCTGGTGTCTATTGTAATAGCTTTTTTTCCCTTCCAAGGCGAACTGTGGCCACTTCAGGCGAGCGTGTCCTTTTGTTTTTCCGCCGTATTTCCCCGCGTGCCTGCAAGCTCTTATGTTGTATTTGTGTTTTGGTCCTTGACAACGCGAAAACATTCCCTCACCACCTTCGCCACACCGCTGCCAAATGTAGATCGGTGACACACACGTTCTAGCTCGCCTTCCTGCAGAACGCCGTGACTTTAGTCATGTCCACCCATCGGCACGTTCTTTCTGTGTGAAAGAAGTGTTATTGACTTTCTGCTTGTAAGATATGCTCGCATCGATACACTCAACACGCGTCCCCCCGTCTATTGCACCAGGTGTCGTCGGTTGTGCAGAAGATTCTGGCCGCCGCAGCCAGCGTCGCGCCGCCCACGCCGCCGCTCACCCCCGCATCCGCGATGTCGTCTCCCGCGGATTCTTTCCACGGGTCGACCCGGGCCGTGTTCTTCGGGAGCGGCTACAACGAGAAGGACAGCGGCGTTATCTTTGAGAGCGTAAACGCAGACTCTCCGCTGGTATGCATGTGACGTTACAAGTTGACTCCCTTTGTATGTTACCCTACCAGCAAGTGTAGAGTTGATGCTGCAAGCGTACAGAAAAACTCAAGCCCGCTTGAATGCGGGGTGCTGTCATTACTCCTCCGGGGTAGCGCCGAGTGAAGGCGCTGTTTGTTGTGAAACACCACCCGCTCCCAGGGTGGGGAGATGTGATGAAGAAAAAAACAAAACTCCAAACCTTCGTGGCCCCGGCTGGTTCGACTATTTAACACATTTGCCGAGAAAGGGTGCACCCAAAACGTAGATGCACGCGAACACGCTAGCGAATCTAAGAGGTGTAGACGGAGAACGGATGGCTCACGGTTCGTTTTGACAGGCAATGGTCGCCTTGTTTTTCCTTTCGTCGTCGAACAAGAAGCAGACTGGTGTATTCGTCGCTTGGCGTAAACAAGCTTCTCCTTTGCCTCTCCCCCGTCCGCCGTTCTGTTGGCCTGCTGCCGCAGTTGCCGCAGGTGGTACCGCGCTCGCCGGGTGTGGTCGACACCCCCCCTCCCCGGTTCCCGTCGCCTCGCGTGTACCTCACCGCCGACGGCCTCAACATGGATCTCTGCATCCTGGACGGGGTCAACTCGGTGGGTGTTTTGGTTTTTTCCTGTAGAAACAGCTCGAGTTCATCTCTATCCGTAGAGCATGAAAAGTCTAGGGGAAGTTCGCCAAGGATTGTATACTCCAGTACTCTTATGACCTGTGTTTGTAATATTTCTCGCGTGACATGTGTACATAGATGTTTCCCGCGGTGAGTTTTACTAAGCACAGGAGTTCTCGGCTTGTTTCTCTGTGCGTTTCCTTCGTGTTCCTCCTTCCTTGCCTTCCCTGCCCACCCCCCCTCCACCAGGATGGCGGTTTTGGTGACGTGGTGTTCATGAAGGACAAGACCACCAAGGAGTCTTTCGCATTCAAGAAATCCAAAGTAAGGGTTACCCATGGCATGCCGCTTGTTGTGGCTGACACAGTGAACAAAGTACATCACCCGTTTCGTGGAAGTATCTAACCTGCTGGGGCAATCTCCTTTGTAAGCTGTGTGCGTTGTCAACAAAATTGATGTTGTTTGTACTTGATTCAGGGTCACACGTGCGTACGAATGTTGCTTTGTGCCATGAGGCAACACTAGTTTGTTTTCCCCGAGCAGTTTTTGAAGCTTGAGGCAGGTACCCCAGGAGGAAAGGCCGGTTCACCCCCGTCCATTTTTCATTTTACCGCCTCCGCCCAAGTCGTTACCGCCGTAAAACGCACTACCGCCTACTACCAAAACAATTACCTCCATTCGGCATTGCCGCCAAACGCATACCGTGGTATTTGCGCGGTCACGTTTTCGACCGTCGTACAAAACAATATGACACGTGTAGTTCAACACAGAAGTCGTCCCTTAACACAAGTTTCATGCTTTCCCACAGCATGCCCGTCGCCCGGCACCTAGGACAATTCACCTGCCCTCTCATCTGCCTGCCTCACATTTTCACGGCCCTTTGTATCTTACTCCGTATGTGCGTTCGTGAAACCCGTCCCACTACCACCTCTGTTCCATGCCGAAAAACGCTCGAAAACGTTCCAGGACACGCCGTCCGGACGCCGACAGATGGAGCGGGAGGTGGCGGCCCTGAGCGACGTGCGGGGCAAGGTGTCCCACGTCGTGCACGTCCAAGAGATATCGTCGACCAGCGGCGCGCCCATGCTCCTCATGCGCAGGGAGCCCGGCACCCTGAGCTCGATGCTCTGCGACTGCTCGAACACCGACCCCCGGGCCCTCGTGAGGTGAGATCCGCTGTCGTCAAGCACGACATGGCAAGCCAACCGGCCAACGGTGTTGACCTACTGTAAAGCGTACGGCCTCAAACATTCGTACATCACCCCACACCTGTCACCCCCCTCTCAGGAAAGCGGAGTGGAATTCCGTTCACTCTCCTCACTAGGTGATGTCTTACGTCCTCGCGAAGTTACCACCCGCAGCATCGGCATACACGGCCGTGGAATCAACGGACCCCACAAAAGCCTCACGATTACCCCCTCCCCCCCTGTTACAAACTCGACGTCTCGCTCCCCAGGGTGCTGTGCGGCGTCCTCACCGCAGTCGGCGGCCTCCACGACATGCAATACGTCCACCGGGATATCAAGCCGGGCAACATCCTCGTGGACGGCCACGGCGACGCCAGGCTCACGGACTTCGGGATGTGCCTGAAGATGGACGAGGCGCGCCTGCACGAGAACATCGGGGACGGGACCCCGTGCTACTCGGCTCCCGAGACGTCCGACCCGCGGGGAGGGGGAGCGACGGTCGTCTCCGAGATCTACGCCGTCTCGGTCGTGCTCGTGGAGGGCATGTTGAACAAGTGTGCTTTCGGAGAGGAGGTGCGAGTGATGCAACGGGTATCCACAATAGTCCTTCAGGCAGTTGCTGCAAAGAAACAGAGGCTCCCCTTTTCGCGGGAAAATGAGAGGGTAGAGGGGGGTTTAAGAAACACAGCTCAGCCGACGGTTGGAGATAGCTACACACGACAAGGCTGTAATACGGTCAACTCGTTCCCGTTACATGCGTTCTTTGTCTGTGTGCGTGCCGCTCGACGACTTTCTTCGCTCGTCCAGGAGCTCCTCGAGGCAGCCGAGGACCGCCTTCAGGTGCTCGAGGTCGCGCGGGAAGACCTCCTCGAGAAGATCGAGGACGAAATTCAGGATGACGAGGACGAGGCTGAGCTGGAGGAAGTGCGGATCAAGGAGCACGTGAGATATTTCCTCTTGTTGTGTGTTGTTGTGGCTCGCTCGCTTCTTTCGCCTAGCATCTAAGACCACCGGCATATTTTCCAACAGCCACCTTTTTGTCAGGTCTCGTCATCCTCTAGACTGTTCGCAACGGTTGGCCGTTTTTGGCGGACTAGCGAGTCTGTTCTGTTTTGTCTTGCTCTCTCTCTCTTATACATTGTAGTTGTTGCGACAGAAAATATGATTCTACACCCACCCATGGTAGACGAAACGACAGGAAGGTCGGTCGTCCTCGTTGAATGCCCCGTGTCCCCGATTGTCACCGGATCTCCTGATGGATGTCTGCCCCCGCTGCTCGGCGCGTAAAAAATATCGCAGTACCTAGGCGTCGTCGCTGAGGACGGGTGGGTGCCGAATGAGGAAGCCAGGGCGAAGCTGGACCAGCTGGGACAGCCACTGAGCTTTTTCATGGCACAGTCTGACGAGAGGGGCGATGACACCCTCAGTTTCGAAGAAAAAGGGGTGAGCCTTCGTTACATAGACTGCTGTGCGTTGTTTTCGGGCACACGATGGCCTTCAACAGGTCGTTACCATCTGGTGCTGTTGTCTGCACATATGTAACACACACATTACTCATCTCTCGTAAAACAAGGAGGAAAATCCCCGTTGTCGCAAGACATAAATAAGACACCAAATAATGTATGTAGAAACGAACCAATCGCAAAACAAGTCAGGTTCCATCGAAAACGACAAGCCCTTATGTTCCGCGAATCTTTGTGGCTCAATAGCAACTCCTGTGCATGGAACGATAAAACCGACCTGCTTCGCACTCGGAACAAAGGCAGGAAGGGTGCTGGTGTCACGATTCCAGACACAAACAGTTGCTGTAGGCGCCATCGCTACTCGGTACTAAGCATGTGTTTGCTCGAGATGAACAACACCTGCAGAACGGACGGCATATGCCCACCTAGAATACTCCATCACAACTCAGCTCTGGATGATGCTCCCTTGTCCCCGGACCCCCCCCCCTCCGACAGACGGAGGCCCGTCGGGAGGCACAGGCACACCCCCGCAGGCTGTTCGAGCACAACTGGGTGGAATGGCTCACCACGTCCTCCCGGGCGGCCAGCGACGAGGGGCTCCGCCAGGTGATCGCTTTCGTCCTCGACCGGGGGATGATCGACCCGAGGCCCGAGGCCAGGCCGCAGACCGTGGAGGCTGCGAAGGAGCTTCTCCGACAGGCGCTCGCGATCTACGAGGTGGAGGCGGCATCGGAGGAAGGCACCGAGCAGGACGACGCGTAGGCTGTCTGGATATACAAACTTTACTGTATGGGAGCACGGAAATGAGAGGACTGGAAAGAGGGGAGAGGAAAGGAGGGAGGAACGGCAGAGAACCCGTTGTCATAGAGAGATTTGGGGGAGAAATGTGACACAGAGGTAGAGGTGACGCGGAATGGTACCCAGGCCGCAGGCCGTGGAGGCCGCGAGCGGTGTTGAGGAGGTGAAGAAGAACGAGGTAGCGAAAACTATTGTTGCTACATATATATAGGAACCAAATATCAAAGACCGAGCTGGGAATGGTGGTAGAGGGACGGAGGAGCTGAGACTTGCTATGGCAGAGGGCGTTGGAGGAGATGGAGGAGATGGTTGTGTAGGGAGGGACGGAGGAGGGGAGAGGGGAGGGGAGGCGATGCGGATTGGTTGTACGAAGACAAGGAGGATGATATCTTCAAGAGGACGACATGTGTTGGTCGTGATGTTGCCAGAAAGACAGTTTGCTGCCCATACGGCAGCTTACGGTGTAGGAGATTTAATGTTGACCCCCCATTCACCGCCTGAGATGTGGGCAGCGTTTTTCTGCTGCTACAGGCCTCTGGCTGTGGTGTGTGACTATTCCTCCAACGGCGTGTAGTGAATTTGCTGTTCTGGGTCTCTCCCAGTGCAGGATTGCTCGAACGAGGGAACGCATTGACTGTCTCTGTCTCCCGTAGTTGGACTCTTATGAATGTGCTTGTTTGAGGTGTTTATGTCGCTCCGATGCGGGGTTTCGAGAGGGGGCGTCAATTATTTTTTTCCTGTATAGGTCGCCAAGGCGAGGACGGTGATTGGGTGTAGCTAGACCCACCGGAGGTGTCCATTTGGCACATGTTTGGATCGGATGTGCTTTGTTCATCCCAGGATGAGGATGTTTCGAAAGAAGTGGTCGGTGCGTTTGCTGTTCTGCGCCTTTCGCGGTGCAGCATTCCTCGATACGATGGGATTTATTTATCGCTGTATACATGTACACCCAGGCTGTTCGAGGTACGAGGAGGGAGCTTTTGCTTAATGGAGAGAGCGTCAGGTAGACGAGGTGTTATAACAGGCCGCGATGCCGGCTGTTCGCGTGTTACACATGATATTTATGGAGATGCGCATGTTTTAGAGGCAAACGTGAGCTTTACGAGAATAATTTACCCACCACACCAATGATGCATTCTTTTGAGATGGAGTGCAAGGGTTGACGGGTGGGGTAGGTAGGAGATGGCACACTACATATACCGGTTGTGGTCTCAAGACGGAACACGTTGGCATGTGAATCGTTTAGGAGGCCCGGTCGGATACCGTGGTGTCAAACATTGTAGACTCTGTGTGTTGTTGTGGTGATCCGTGGACGGTAGTAGTCTTTGAAGTAAGTTGTTTCGGGAGTCGAGAATACGAAATGGATCGGGCGGTGGCGCGTTCGATTCAAATCGGTGATTTTCCTGAGATGTAGAGTGCTTGCTTCGTGTGTGTTCGTGAGTTCTGTACCTATTTCGAGCGCTTGTTTCATCTCGTGCTTGAATGCGGGTACCTCAATCGACTTTTTTTGGTGACCACGCGATTGTTCGTACGTCATGGTGAATCACGGGCGTCGTGGAGACACTGAGGAGTCGAACGGTGGCACGTTCAGCTCAAGGTGTTGACTGTTGGGGAATGGCATTGCGTGTGTCTTTGGTGTGTCCTTTGTGGGTGTCTTCCCCCATTTTATTGTTTTTCGAATTGTACTTTGGTCTCGTCCGTGCACGCTTGCTGTATACCTCGAACTACTGCAATGAATCTGATACTCGACCACCACCATGAAATGAGGGAACCGTTCTCGAGATTGTCTCCTCTTTTGAAGGAGATATCTCCACAATACCCCCCCTGAGACTTGTTCTCATTTCCCAAGGGAAGTAGAAAAAGTCTCGGCGTACCGAAATCCGACCGCAGGCCGACGAGTCAACGTCACCCTTCTCGATCTCCTGTGCGTGCTTTCCTTCAACGCGGGGCATGCACCTCGGCCGCGTCGTAGAGGTATTCACATGTTTGAACACCCGATGTGGTTTGAAGAATCCTGTGCTTATTGCAATTTTCGCATTTAATTAAAGAAACGGTGAACCCACCCGAGGGTGGCTCAACATATATATGCTCACCAATCCAGGAATATTTGGTCGCTCTGGAAAACAGAACTGCCTATATACCACACGTTAACATGGAGATGCTACTGGCACACGAGTTGTTTACGGAGCAAAAACGTGCTAAGCGCGCATGCAACAACCCTCGGCGCTTTCAAAATTAACACCAACACCTACGAAACAAGGAAAATATAAGCCTAAGAACGCTGGAAAGACGCACCGATACTTTTACCTTCCCAGGAGGCAACATCGTCGTCGTTGGACTCTTGCGTTGCCACAACCAAGCTACGGTCTACCCCGCCGGTCACCCCTAGTTAGCTACACCCGTTCAGGCAACCAAGTTATCAAAGGCTAAAAAGCAGCTGATTCATGTATCCCCAAGCACATATGTATGGGATGTGTTCGGCATCGAAATATATCGGTACATGTAAGTTTCAAGCGACAAGTAAATGTGCGTGACAAACACTGACAGGGCGCTAAAATTACGATAGTCAACTAGCAACACCTACACAGGGGCATTGACCCCTCGAGAAACTGGCAAAAACATCTAAATCAGTCACCAGTGTCGATGATAATCGTTGACCCCCCGCCAAAAAGAACAGACCCGGGAAGACTTGTCGTGGCCCCCTCAACGGAATCGGTGAAAAAGCGAAAGAAACGTACGTAATTAAAACTGCGGAATATTCCCCCGTCAAATAAATAACATCTCTCAGACAATTACCTACGGCCACACACCAAAGCAGCCCCCCCCCCGCCCCGCCATTCTCCACTAAGCCGAAAGCGCAGACCAGTTCAATGTGTCAGTTTGCTTGCGGCATTTGATAGATCAATCGAAACACGCGCTAAACATACCAATAGTGGAAGAAAACCGAACGAATACTAGCGATGCAGAAGTAACCGCTACAGCTTTTCACAATACACAAGATCTGTAGCGGTGGTTCCTCTCCGTGGTCCCCCCTGTTCTCCTTGAAACCCGCCAGACGCGCAGAGCTATCGCCCCCGCAGCCGTTCTCTGCTGAGACAATTTTTCAACCGTGAACGAATTCATGGTAGGGTGCGTCTCAGGCAAAACGGTTTCGTGTTTATCACGAAGTCGCAGCATATCAACACCAACACCTAAGGTATGTACAGCTGCTCGTGCCACATGGCGCGCCTCTGTAAATCTGTTGTGGCAGCAACAATCGTCCAGACACCTACCTTGCTTATGAAAATTCTCTCGAGTCTTCGACGGGCACGAAGGCTGTACCTTGTATCCCGATTCAAACCCTTCGTCCCCGTTGGCGGTGCACACCCCGAAAAGCCGTCCCGCACCCATACAACCTCTTGCTGCCATGTCTCTCTTACTGCAAGATCAAACCCAAGCTCAAAGTGCCCGCGTACACGCGCACATCCCTTTGATGCTCTACTCTCTTTAGGTCGAAGACTTCACCGCCGTCTATGCTGCTACCCTTCGCTCCGCGAGGTTCTCTAACGGCGACGCTAGCCATTGCTTTCCCTAGAGTGTGTCGGTGCTGCACTTTCCATGCTTCCAACCCTCGGACCTTTCCTCTGCCTGCTACGCGGGTTCCCCTACTGCCGGTGCTTTGCCCGTAACGGCGTCTTTTCCTTGGAGGCGTTTTCCTGCCTAACCCCCGATGTAGCGCCGTCCTTTTCCTCCCGGCGCAATCCTGACCACAAGGACGATTGAGTGCCACCAGCACTAGCACCGGCATCGGCACCGGCAGCTCCAGCGCCAACAAGGACAGTGCTGCTCCCGTTGTTTATGGGCATGAAGGACGGAACGGCTACACGTATCGCGGCCGCGGCTGCAGCAGCGGCAGCGGCGATAGGACTAGGTGCCCGGAAAGGCTTATCATCGATGGACGCGCTCGATTTCTCCCTCCTCCTTTCGGCAACTCTGCGGCCTGAGCTCCTGTTGCCCCCGGTGCTGCTGGCGGCGCCGCCTTCTTCCTCAGCGAGGCCAAGCCCTGCCTGAATCACGGCAGAAGACGGCCCTTCGCCTTGGCGGGTTGTTAAGGCGGGCGGGAGCCGAGCAACGCTGGCCGGTAAGAGCGCCTTGGTGCGCTCGAAACCGTCGTCGTAGCCGCCCCCGAAACCGCCACCGCCACCGCCAACGCCACGAGAAAGAGGAGAATCCGACGCGCCGCCCGCGCGCTCCCTTGCATCTGCGCGGTACCTTGAGATCGCCTCCCCGGCGACATCGGTCCCGTCCCCCGGGGTAAGGCGTGCGTCCTCGATGATCCGCCGCGCGGCCAAGTCGTGCCCCTGGAGGGCGGCCACCATCGCCGGCTCCAACCCGTCCGCCGTCCGCCGCCAGGGCAGCGCCCCGTGCTCGAGGAGGATCCCGCACATCAGGGCGTCTCCGGCGGCGGCGGCGAGGTGGAGCGGGGTCCGCCCGTCGGGGTCGACTGCCTCGACGTCAGCCCCGGCTGCGAGGAGCGCCTTCGCGCACGAGTTCTCCCCGGAGACGACGGCCAGGTTCAACGCGGAGTACCCGCTAGAAGTCCGCGACTCGAGACCCGCGCGCGGGCGTTCCGCCGGCATTTGGTGCGGTTGTGGGGTGCCACCGCCGCCTTCGCCGATGCCGCCGCTGGCATTGCTGCTGGCGCTGCTGCTGGAACCAATGCTGTCGCAGACGGTATTTGGCGGCGTGAGTGTCCGAAAAGCACCAGCGTCGGTGGCGACAGACACAGAGGGCGAGGGGAGGAGGCACAGCGACGGGCTCAGGAGGACCTCGACGCAGGATGCGTGCCCGTTCTGGGCGGCGATCATGAGCGGTGTGCCCCCGTCGACCCTCCCCACGCGCGCGTCGGCTCCCAGGGAGAGCAGGAGGGACAGACATTCGGTGTGGCCATCCTGGGCGGAGAAGAAGGCCGGGGTGGCCCCCTGGTGGTTTCCCCTGCTAAGATCGCACCCGCGGTCAGTCAGCATCTGAACGCTCTGCAGCGGGTATTGCGCAACGAAGTCATGGGAGCGGGGAACGGGGGGGAGATGATGCGCCCATCATGAAGAGAGGCATACTTGTGGTTAGTGGTCTCAATGTTGCTGCGCTTGCAGCCTACGACAGGTAGGTATTTGGCAGGTAGACCAGATCCTCGGTGATTTGATTGCCGAGTTTGAAGAGGACACCGAGATGAAAAAGCTATAGGTCAAGGTCGGCTTGCTTGAAGCCTGTTGCTGATGGGGAAGCCCTAACGTGCCCGCCAACCAAACAAACGGAACTTCCCATTCCAGCGGTGGGCTAAGTTTATCCTGAAAATGGAACGGTTTGAGATAAACACATTTAAACCACTCACGTCCACACCGCCGGCCATGGCGGCGAACATGACGGGCGTGTTCCCGAACTGGTCCACTGTGTCCACGTGCGCGCCCCTCTCACAAAGCACCTTCAAGCAGCCGGGGTCGTCGTTGAGCGCGGCGATGTGGGCTAGGGTGGTTCCGGTCTCGGGGGACTTGTTGAGATCGGCTCCTCTGGACGCCAGCAGGTCCAGCAGGCCGGCCTGCTCGAAGAACCACCGCTGCGGGCGACGTGGGTTTTTATTGGGGCGGCGAACAATCGATTATTATCCCATTCGGGCCACGAATAAACACGGTCTCAGGGGAAGTGCACGAATTACAAAAGGTCGAGGTTGCGGCACGCCTGGGCGGGTGTTTACTGGTCCAGAGGGCGCAACGGCAGACCAGTGCCTTTTTCTTGCAGAGAGCGCGTCGTGGAGCCGGATTTTGGCGACTGAAACTCAGTGGTACACTAGGTCGTGACACACCAATAGAACCTGCTCTCAGGTCGGAAGAGAACACCCTCCTGCGGTGTACAGCATGTGTACGGCGTACACACCACATAGGACGCCATATCTGAGACGGTTGTATGTAATGGTTGTCGTTTTTACCTCTCCATCCTCCGCCACCTGCCAGCAAGGCGTCCTCCCGCTCGCGTCCACCGCGTCCACGTTCGCCCCGGCGTCGCAGAGGAAAGCCAGGGCGCTTAGGTGCCTCGCCGCGACGGCGTAGTGCAGCGGAGACGCGCCGTTGATATCCTTGGCGTCCAGGTCGAGCACGGGGCTCTTGATGCCCAAGTCCCTACCGCTGCCGCCGCTGGCTCTTGGCGAGCACGCGCGCTCGGTTAGGACGGCGAGGGCATCGACCTGGTTCTCGCGAGCGGCCGCATGGGCCGGCGAGCAGCCCTTGTAGTCGGGGGCGTTCACGTCCAGTCCTTCTTTCACTAACAGTCGAAGAATCTCCAACTATTTTTGTAGGGAGACGAAGATAAAGGCGGCGGGGGGGGGGGGGGATGATGAGCAGGGTAATGGAAACAAGGATGGATTTATCTGGGGCTCGGATGGCTTCGGGTATCACCTCTGGAGACGTTGAAATAGCCTGAGAGCAAGATCACCGAACAACTTGAACTTTTTTGTGGCAAACACGATAGCATGGGTGAGTGCTGACAATATCGAGATATCGAGGTGTTCTAATAGATAATGCTGATCGAGAAAAAACTTGCGTGTTACACTCCAGTTTATATACGATATCCTCGAACTCGTTCTATCGAGCAACTCGTACGATTAAGCTGTACAGCCACCTCTGCTACATCGGCGACGAAAGCACAGCAAAGGCTGCTCACCCTCCCATTAGCCGCCGCGATCCACAAGCACGTTTCTCCTCGACTGTTGGCGTCCTCCGGTCTCAACCCGACCTCCTCCACGAGGTACGCATACGTGTGGAGGTGTCCCGCCCGGGCGGCGGCGTGGAGCGGCGATTCACCATGCCCGTCAAGGCGCGCCGCGAACGCCCCTTGCAACCGCCGCTTGCGTTCCTCCGAGGCAGAGCCCCCCGAGTCAGAGCCCGACGGGGAAGCAGAGCGCGCCTCACCCCTACCGACCCCACGCATAACGTTTACCCACCAACCGGGGAGTAGCGAGGAAGCACCTCCACCCTCACCACCAGCACCGCCGCGGCGGTCAGCTGCGTCGGCGCCGAGAACCTGGCCCGCAAGCGCTTCGTTGTTGGCGTAAGCCTCCACGATGGTCTTGAGGCACCCCAGCTGTCCTTGGGCAGCGGCGAAATGCGCCGGGGTCCACCCTTTCGAGTCCGGGTCGATCATTAGCCCCGGGTCGAAGACGGAGAGAAAGGCGACGGTCTCGGCGCTCCCAGACAGCAAGGCGAAGCAGATCGGGGACATGCCGCGGTCATTCTTCTCGGATAGGACACTGCGGCCCGCCTGCTCGACGAGGAACTCGAGGCAGCAGACCTGGTCGTGGTTGGCGGCGACCATAGCGGCGGTATTTCCAGCTGCATCGCGGCGGGTGAGGTGGGCACCGGCGGCAGCCAGAACGCGGAGGCAGTCCAAGCGGCCGTGCATTGCGGCCGCGAAGACCGCAGTGTGTCCGTCGTTGTTGGGCACGTCCAGGTCGCCGCCGGTACCGGTGATCACCTGGTCGTCGATTAAGTGTATCATTGTAGACAAAGAGGCGCAGCAGGCAGGGTTGTGTGTGGTTCAACTAACATTTGGCTTTGTGTTGGGATCGTTTGTTGGTTCAGACGCGTGCGTGGCAGCCGTGTGTCGTTATCGTTGTGGTGTTCTCCAGCAACATCACGGAGGCACTTGGTCAACCAGCACCTAATCACGACAGGTCTAGAAGGAGAAGGAGGCCGTAGTGCAGGGGTCATCTCCTGCAGTCTTACCAGCGAACGGTTTCGCTCTGTTGCCACCGAAGCGCCGTCCCGTCTCACCCCCCCCCCCCCCTCCTTCTAATACTCTGAATCGTCACTCTTCCATCCCTCGCATCTCCCCTACATTGCCTTCTCTCATGTTCTTGATATATGCCGCCACCTTATGTAACGGTCGCCCGATAGACTGCAGCCAGTATCGGTGTAGACATCTGCAAAGTAGTTTACGTATACAGTCCAACGTCCACGTCACACCCTTGCGATTCGAGCCCAAATGCACATCTGAACGCGATTGTAGGGATCCTTGGATCATCCCTCGAAACAACCCTTGAGATTTTACTCCCCGAGATCGAGCTCTCCCTGGGGAAGACAAACATTCGCAATGCCTTTCCCCGATTTTCACAGCCATGTAATCACTGAGCCCCCGATATAGCGAGCAAGAGATCGTCGGCCGACACGTCGCGTCCTCGGGAACGTTGACACAAGCCTTAGGACGGATGACGTACGGCGCGACCATGAACAATGAAATATACCTCCAGGCAGTTGATGTGCCCCCCCATCGCCGCGAGCCCGGCGGCCGAGTTGCCCGCAGGACCCGTGATGTTCATGTCCGCTCCGGCCATGGCCAGCACCCGGAGGCATTCGGCGTGGCCCCCCTGAGCGGCGATCAGTGCCGGCGTGAAGCCATCATCGTTGGCGAGGCTCCCGTCCGCTCCCTCGCCCAGGAGAACCTTCAGGCAGCGCGTGTGCCCACTCTCGGCCTGAGAGTTCGAGGGTGTGGGGTGGGAGGGCTCTGTGTGAACTTTCTCGTTCAGCTCTCAGGGTAAGTATGCGGAAAAAGGATAGGCTTTGTGCGTACGAGTCTCAACCCCACGAACACGCTGCGACCATACAAATACGTACGTGGCAGAAAAAAACAGTAGCCTGCACGATAACAGATTTTCTTGTCCTTGAGGATGAAAGACGTCGCCCGTTCGGTCCTGAAAACGCTAGACGGGGCACGCCATCGAGAACAGCACAAACCAATGGTGAGGTAAAAAGAAAAACGAAGCAGGTGACCAACTCACAGCCATCCAAGCGGCCGTGGTCCCCTGCGCATCTCGAGCTTGAGGGGACGCCCCGCACCGGCCGACGAGGTACTCGACAGTGTCGAGATGCCCGCGTGCCGCGGCGGCCCAAAGAGGAGTGCTCCCGTTGTTGTCCGGAGTGTCTACCGCCGCGGGGTTGCCGAGGGCGGCCTTGCCTCCGCCCGCACCCTTGCCCCTCAGTCTCCCCCCGGAGCTGTTGCACTCGCCCCCGGTGTTGCAGTCGGCGTCGCCGAGGATGAGCGCCAGGGTGCTGACGTGCCCGCTGATGGCCGCAGAATAGGCGGAAGTGCGGCCAGCTTTATCTGTGTCGTTGACATCGCCGCCGGCCTCTACCAGGACCTGAAGAGCCTGTACATTTTCGTTGTTTTGAAAGTTTCGTTCCGAGAACGCGTCTAGGTATCATTTCAGCCGGCGATGGGGACCCGCCGCGTGAAAAGTCGGGATTATTCTAGTGCTTTCGGGTTTCAAAGACGAGCGGCCTAAGCGCATTGGCGTGGTGCTGTTTGTCTTGTTTTGGCAATGGGATGATTTACTCGGAGGCTCGGCTACGTCAACGCTGTGCGTAAACCTGGCGTCTGCAGAAATACGACGAACCCCGGGGCCTGATGTAGCTCGACATCTCAGCGACACCCAAACGCGCACGGCCTAGGCACCTTTTCCTGTCCATGTACCGCCAGGTGCTCACCTCCGAGTGTCCCGCCAGCGCAGCCGCACCCATTGGCGTATCTCCCGCCGCGTTGGGGCGCGAGGTCTCCAGCGCACCGACCGCCAGAAGCGACCGCAGGACGCCGGCGTGGCCCTCGACGGCGGCGGCAAACGTGGCCGTCTCCACGGCATCCGTCACCATGAACCACCAGGGAGGGAGGTCGCCCTTGTCGCTGCGGCTCTCGTCGCCGCTGACGCCGGTGGGCACGCGCGGCTGGCGCGGCGGTGGCCGCCCGCCACTGGCTTGAGCGAGCGCCTTGATGATCCCGGCCTGGCCGCACCTCGCCGCCGCGTGGACTGCGGTCTCGCCGTCGCGATCCGTCTCGGCAGGGTCCGCGCCGGCGCTGAGAAGGAGAAGGACGAGCGACGTCCTACCGAGGCGAGCGGCCGAGTTTAGCGGCCGCTCTCGCCCAACCCCTCCTCCTCCTCCCGACCGGCGGTTCGGGTCGACCATCGGGCATCCGGCGGCATAAGCAGCGCCGTTGGCGTCAGAAGGTTTGGTCTCTTCTTCTCCCTCGGTCAAGAGGAACTCGACGCATGCCTCGCTTCCGCACTGTGTCGAAGTTGCGTGCGGCGAGGTGGAAACCCCAACACGGCGAAAATTTACAAGTCACTCGAACGATTTGATGCTCGGTTTAGTCGAATGCCGTGGTCACGTAGACTATGCTCCAACACCACTTTGGAGTTTTTTCGATCCATGGAATACCTGCAGCCCCCCGATGGGAGCACGTGGTTATATATCAATATCTGCCACAACAAACAACAGAACATTCTTCGACCGAATATCGCAACAGAAGGTGAACCTGAACCTACCACCAGAAGATCAGCACATGCCTCTGAGTACGCTATGCATGCATGAAGAAGAGGCGCAACACGGGCGCAGACAAAAATGGTGCATATGCCGGGTATTTTGGTTTCATACCCGAACCGCGAGCAACAGCGGCGTCTCCCCGTCCCCGTCGGTGGCCTCCAGGTCGACCCCGCGATCGGCAAGCTCTTCCAAGCAGAAGAGGAAGCCGTGGACGACGGTGAGGTGCACAGGGCGCAGTCCCGCGCCGCCAGTGCCGGAGGCCCCAGAGGGGAGCTCGAGGCCGGCGCCAGCATCGGCGAGGAGGGCCAGGGTCCCGTCCTCTCCCGCACGGCAGGCGTAGTGGGACGCGTTGTTGCCGTCGGCGTCGGCCACGTCGAGGAGGTCGGCCTTGTAGAAGGCGAGGGACCGCGGCGTGACCGGGTTGGACGCCGAGGCGTCGCTCGTCGCGGCGGCGGCGGCGGCGGCGGCCGCCACCGAACAGGCTTCGATGAGGATGCAGAGGCAGGACTCGTGCCCGGCTCCCGCTGCAAGCCTGTTCATGTGGTGTGTTTACACGCAAAAACACGATAATTTGCTTGTTTGTGGCACCGGGAACGTGCGGGGTTCTCGCGTGAGGGATGTGACGTGCAAGTGCTCATCCTGCCTTGTTTCTCTCTTTTGTCTAAATTTAGGTGTTTTTTTCTGGCACGAAGGCGGCGGCGGGCATGCAATCGAAATTACAACATTCAAGACGCTACTCCCCTTCCGGCCTTGGCCCTCACATGATAGGGGTGGTTTCGCGGTTGTCGCCAATGTCGACTCGAGCGCCCTTGGACAGGAGGAACTTCACACACTCAGTCTGTGCATGTTTTTCGGCACGTCGCGGGGGTTCACATTGCCGGGGCGGAATCGACGACAGCAAAATTAGGAGGGACAGAAAGATAGAGACAGACAGACGGACACACACACACACACACAGAGAGAGAGAGAGAGAGAGAGAGAGAGAGAGAGATAGAGAGAGAGAGAGAGAGAGATGTTTGGTTATCACGCTTTTGTTCGAGATCGTCCAAGCACAAGGCGAGAGAACACACACTAAATACTTGGCCGGAGCGCGAAACCAAAACTCCCGGCTTGGATGTGCCAATCACACTTAGCACGTCATCGCCGATGGCACCAAAGACAATAATCGCATGTTCGAAGGAAACCGCAAGGCAATAAGAACCAAGTTTACGTAAGCATCCCTAGAGAAACCGACTTGCTCTAACGTTTCGAACACTAATCGTTTTTCCGGGATCCCATTTGTCGAGAAGGGTAGAGGATCAAAAAGCGATGGGGTTACACAGAGCCTTGTTGCCACAGCAACTCCCACGGGCCGGTGTCACCTACCTGGTCGAAGATGCACGCGTGCATGAGCGCTGTCCTGCCCTGGCCGTCCGGGGCGTCGATGCCGGGTACACACCCCTGCCGCTCCTCCGCCCCGTTCTCCTCCGGTCCTCCACCCCCGCCACCGTCGTCTCCGAGCAGCGCCCGCAGGCAGCCCAGGTGACCGTTCGCCGAGGCCGCCATGACCGGAGTCCGCCCCGCGGAGTCCGGCCGCGCGATCTCCATCTCCCGGTCAGCCCCCGCCGCGTCCAACAGCAGCCGGAGGGTGGCGAGGTGGCCGCCCGACGACGCCAAGAAGACCGGCGCGCGGCCGTCGGTGGCGGGTACGAACAGGTCCGCGCACCTGGCAAGGAGGACCCTAGCGCAGCCGGTGCGGCCGAAGGAGGCGGCTGCGGCGAGGGCGGTGGTACAGCGGACTCCATCTCTCCTAGTGGTGAGGGTGGGGGGTGGAGATGTGGAGATTTAGCCTTTCTTGCCTTCCTTTTATTCGTGTGCTTTCTTTGACTACGGAAGACCGAGAGCCGTTCTTAGTTCAGTTAAATACGTTTGGGTATGGAAAAGGTATCGTCACACTCTGGTTCGTTGTTGTTGTCGTTGTCGTCGCTTCTTGTTGTCGATTCTCATCATGATGACTCTTGAACAAAAAGTCAATCCTAGAAAACGCTCCCTCGGTCGTAACTCTGCCGCCGCCGCTGCTCCAGCACAAGCCGGGGGGCCGAACCCTTTCCTACCCCCCGCTCACCGCTCAAGGTCCGCCCCCGTCAGCCCGGCCAGGAATGCCACCACCTCCGTTTTCCCCGCCCGGCTGGCAGCGATCAGGGCAGTTTCCCCGAGCTGGTTACCCATGTTCAGGTCGGCGCCGCCCTCCTCCAACTCAGCGATGGCGCAGAGGTGACCCCCTCTCGCGGCTAGAATTGCCGGGTTGTCTCCGTCGCTGGTCACGTGGTTAGGGTTGGCCTTCAAAAATACGAAACCCACGACGAACGGATTCACGCCAAACACACACCCGTGTTCGACAGGTGGGCGAGGAGGGGGGAGGGAGGAGGGAGACGTGCTGAGCGGTCGCACTCTTCACTTTAAGGATAGGTTACACCCTTTCTCGAACGAGATGGAGATCTTGTCCGCCGACATGACACATGAAGGTATTCTTGCACCAACGGGGGAGGAGTGTGCTTGTTTCTCGACTGCCGCATTGTATAGGGAAGCTTTGGTCGGTTGATCGCACGCCCTTTCGCGACGAGCAGGAGGGCCCTTATTTTGTCCTGGTGATAGGTTAGAAAGTCAGGGCTGAGAAGAACGCTTTCCTCCTAGATGGAGTCGGTCTCGTTCTCTGTTATTTCTCTCTTCTCTTTCTCTGTCTCTTCTCTCTCTCTCCTTCTGCTTCTGTTTGGACTGTTGAATGGCCGCATTACGTTATTTGTTTCGGAATACGGTGGGAAATAACTTGTATACCGAAAACTATCCGGCCTCTCATATTCTGGTGTAAATCTTCATACACACATGTTCTCACCCCTTCGTCAGAGAACAGCAACGCGCGTAGTATCGTGGAGAAGCCCCCGGCAGCAGCCTGAGAAGGCACGAGACAGCAGGAAACAGATACGGTCCCCATGGTGAAAACGCTGGCGCGGAGTTGGGAGGCGTAAAACCGAAGATTGGCCTCCGATGAAGCACAGGAATAACAACAGTCGCAGGCAACAGGGAGAGTTGCGAAAACGAATATAGAACAACGAAGACGGTGAGCATGATTCCCTCACACCCATGGCCACGCCCACGATCGTCACAGACAACGTGTGCTGTTGTCGAGATTGCTTCGATGAAAAAAACTTGCTGTCTCAATACTCCAAACCTGATGTACACACCGGGACGGAGTCTGCAGGCGCACTTGGGTTATCACCAGGGGTGCCCGAAGACACTCCATGAGCACGACGAGCGATGCACACCGCGAATAACATTTTCCCGCACCATTCGTGTAGTCCTACGAATCCTGCGGATACCACCTTCTGAGATAGATTCACTCCTTTTCTCCTCACCGCGTGGTGGCTACCTACAGCAGAAGCGCGCGCTTCCAGCAGGCCCGACGCGACAACTCCCGAGTTTGCTGTCCCGCTAGCACGCCTGCAGCCGCCCTTGTCAAAAACGTTTTGGTGCAGCACGTCCTTTACACACCCAATTCATCTCTCGGCAACCACAAAATGCCCAATACCTCTGGATCTCTCTCTCTCTCTCTCTCTCTCTCTCTCTCTCTCTCTCTCTCTCTCTCTCTCTCTCTCTATCTATCTATCTATCTCTATTGTGTATCTCACCCAGCAAACAGCCGTGTACCCCCGGTCGTCCACGGCGTTTCTATTCACGCCGGCGGACAGGAACGAATCGACCATGTGGCCCCTCCCGTGCCTCGCCGCGCTCAAGAGCATTGTCATCCCCTCCGAGTTCCTGGCCTCCAGGTCGTGGTCGCCGGCGGGCCACGCGAGCGAACGGACCCCGTCGACGGTCCAATCTGCGTCCTGGATGCGCGCGTGCAGGGTTGCGGAGACCACCAACATCGGGGTCTCGATGGCGGTCGTCGTGGCGAGGGCAGCGACGCTGGTGGTGGTACCGGCGAGGCCGGCGGCTGGGGTGGGTTCTGATTTGGTCGACGGTGGCGGTAGCGACGCTACTGCTCCGTGGTCGCAGAGCGCTTGTGCGTTCTCGGCGGAAAGGCCGAGGGTGTCGTCGAGCTGTTGTGGACGGGTGCGGAGGGCGCGGAGCATAAAGAAGACAGGTCGGGGGGCGGCGGCCAGGAACGCAGTGGGATTTGAGCTCGCCCCCCCGGCTATTGGGCCTATCGATGAGCATTTTGGCGGACTTCTGACAGGGACAGCATGGAATAAAGCACAGCGAGCAGGCATATTGCGACGCGCCGCTACACCAATCCTTTCATTCCTCTACACCCCTATATCCCGCCATCTACCCATCTCTGGTCCAGCAGTCGCCCTCTCTTGCACCGCGATCGATTTCCTTCGAACCTCCTCTCAACTGCCGCTCGACCCACCTCAGCGTGTGTCGCGATCAGTCTCTGAGGCTGCTTCCACCGGATCTTGAACTCCTGCTTCTTCTCCGACACCGCCACGGCCCACCCGGCGAATCCCCCTCCCGCCGCGTACGATGTCAGGAAATCCCCGCCGTCCGAGAAGGACAGCACACGCGTCCACCGCTGGTGCGCATGGATGTAGCTGAGAGACCGCCCGTTCGCGTTCCACAACCAAATCGCCCAGTCCTGCCCGGCGGACGCGAGCATCTCCCCCCCCGGGTGCCAGCAGACACAGAGCACCGCCCCCTCGTGGCCTCTCCTGCCACCCCCCGCCTCAGGTGAGAGGAGAGACGCGCCGTCGGCTTCCGCGCACGTTGCCATCCCTTCGTCTGTCCAGACCCTTACCAGGCCGTCCCCGCCGCCAGTGGCGACTGCCGGGGGTCTCCTGGACATCAAGAGGTGGATGTGCGCGTCAACTCCTACGATTACGTCGGAAGCGGTGGTCTCGTCCCCTCCGTTCCCGGTACCCGTGCCGCGGCGCCCCCCGGAGCCCCTCCCCTTCGCCGGAGATGGTGGCGGCAAAAGCGACGGCTTGGGGACCTTTGGCCTCGCCGCCATGGACGTGACCGGTCCGTCGTGCGCGACCCACTCGGCGGTTACGAAGGAGGAGGGCGACGGCGAATTCGAGGCCGTCCGGCCGGCTCCTGCTCTACAGCACTCCCGATACGTCGCCAAATCCCACAGCTGGATGCGCCCTCGGCTGTGGGCCACGGCCAGGGTGTGGTTGTCCCAGAATCCAAGCTAGGTGTGCAGAATGGCGTCGGCAGTGCCGCGAGAAACGGTCAACGGGAATGATGCGGGACTTCTTGCTCGGTTATCCCAACCTCAGCGCAATCATGTCCCGTGCAAACACCATTCGCGGTATTTTTTGTTTATACAACATAGCCGGTCGAGTTCGAGAATACATTCGACAGATGGGGTGGACCCAGAAAAAAGAATAGCTCAGCACCTGCAAAACCGGTCGATCCATTAAAGGAACAGTCACACGAACAAACCACAGTGCGCACACAGGTAAGGGAAACTTGAATGACCAATGCGTGTTTCAGCATAGATTCACGTTTTAGGTACGTACATCGCGAACACAAACGCACCTGCACAGGGTCATCGCGACGGCCATAGAGCGGTGGGGACGACGATGCCGCCGGCACCCTCTCCGCTCCACCCAAGGTATTCGCCGTCGGGACGCCGCTGCCTCCCCTGGCTGCAGCGGCACAGGCATTGGCACCGATTTCGTTCACGGAAACACCCTCGAAGGTCAGCACGGCCAGTAGCCTGGAGTTCGAGCTGACGGCCAGCGCACGAACCTCCGAGTTTAGCTGACGGCTGCTCCTCATCGCGTAGGTCCGGGCGTCCCACTCCACTAGCTTGTTGTCCTGTGGTTGTTGTTTTTGTAGCGTGCCGGGACAAACAACGACGCGGGGAGAGGGACAAAGAGAGAGTCGGGCCGAACGAAGGAAAGATGATCTGCTTCCAACTCGAGTTTCTCTCAAGGAAAATGAAAAAAGTGAACGAGATAGGCTAATGCCCTCGAACACGCTTGTCTCGTAACTCAACCGCTATCATGGGCTTGAGGAAGCAAAAAACAAACAGCAGCGCGAAGCGAAGTTCTAAAGCCGCTGCACATACAAAATACGCAAAGTGAAAAGAACCCACAACCCACATCTCCGACGGAGACGATCGTCGTTTCGTCGGGTGTCACGACCACATGAGAAACTCCCCCGCCACCGTCGCCGCGACCGCCGCTGTCATCACCACCCTCGCTGTCCCCCCTATGCGCCCCCCCTGCACCCGTGAGCTCTTGCACGAGCTCGCCCCGCTCGGCGTCCACGGCCACCAGCCCTCGGTCCCCGGCTAGTACAATGAGGTGCCTCCCGCCGCTGCCGCATCCCGCCGGCAATGCCGCTGCCGCTCGAACCGGACCACGGCCGCCGCCGTCCGCGCCACTTACACTGGAGAAAGGGACATCCCGTTCAGTCGACGTACGGAGGGAAAGACGCCAACGATGAATCTGGCCCGCTGTGGTAAACGCGTGGAGGATGGCATCGGACGGGGAACATCGCCCGCTGCGGCAACTGACGCGGCTGCCACTGCCACCGCGTTCTCCGGCGTCACCACCGTCTTGCTCCTTAGGCGCCGTGGTGACAGCTACCGAAGAGGCCGGTGAGGGAACGCAGTGGGACAGGAGAACTTCGCCCGTCTCGCACGAGTACACCTGTGAGAAAGGGCAGGGTCGGGTGGGGGGTGAAAACAAAACACGTTACGGTTCTGGTTTCGTGCAGAGACACGTGAAGAGTTCCCCTTGGGCCGGATTCGACCTACGCGATGTTTCTGGTTGAGAAACCGTCATGACACGTGTGGTTTCTACGCGTTGCTGCGCCGGCACGGCCCAGCGCAGATTTAAACACAAATCAGGCTCAGCCTAAAGTTCGTGTGTGAGGTGAACGTCGATCCCTACTCTACAGAACAGGAGTGAACAGCTTAGTTAGCGAGAAGGCCCAACACCCTATCATTCCTGACGCCAGGCTGGCTGCTTTGCCGTAATTTGCTTCTGCGAGGGCACGTGTTGATTTTCGCACGATCGGTTTCGATAACTTTGCACCACCAGCGTGACATGTTTCAACGACAAATGCGCTCATCCCACATTTTGTGACGTATCATTCTATTTCGCTCTGAGCATTTCCTGGTATATAGTGCTAGTTCAGCAACTGCATCAACCCAAACTTTGTTGGTACTACGTCCAACGGTGACCTTTATATCACGTGAACACGTGCATGAAGAACAGAGAGTGCACGAGTGCATGCATGCCCTATCAGTTAAATGAATACCAATGAACATCCACAAGCCCACGCCCATTGGGGCCGTTGAAGCTCACTTTGACGGTGCAGTCGTTGTGGGCCAGAGCCAGGGCCTTGCCGCTCGCCAGGAACAGCTCCGGTGTCATGTGGCAGCAAACGTTCTTCATCCGCTGCACCCAAAGGGAGTGGATGACGAGGATGTGTAACGCGGGTGTTCAAGGCAACGGCAAAACGCGGCAAGCCGGACAGATTCAAGTAAAAGAGGCGCGTATAATCCTGCAGGAAAGAGTTGAGGTCGAAGCCTCGCACAACAGAGAAGGGTAAGTTGTACCAACAGGTATGTTGTGTTGCTGCCAGGATTGCAGTAATCGTTGTATTCGTGAAGCGAACGAACGGGTGCGTGAGTCAGTGCACGGTTGAGAGTGAACGAGTGAGAAACGAGATAGCGTGAACACCCTCCACAGCTGCCAAAGTCTGTGGGGGAGAAAGTGCGGCTACCAAAGAACCACTGATCCAAGCCGCCAGAAGACAGAAACAGTAGCATCTAGATACCGGCACTTCTCACTGCTTCGGAACGGGCATGGGCGGCGAAGTGTTGCGGGTAAAACAAATACGAATCAGCCAGCAAACTCAATGTACGTGCACCCCAGAGTGTATCCGGTACCTGTATGAGGGCCACGTCGGGTTTGATGGACCAGAGTGAGGCGGTACCAGACTCGGGCTCGCGAGTCAGGAAGGAATCCCCCGTGGAAGCGAACGCCAGCTCCTCGATCTTTGATACCGCCACCACCACAACATCGTCAGCAAAATGATTTTCGAGAGGTATGGAAGGGGGGGGGGCGAGACGCACGGAGTAACGGGTGTCAGTGCGGTATGCATACGCAGTATAGGTATGACGGTTAAACCGATTGGTAGTCAGGGTACGACAGCAATACAATGAAACAATGAAAAAAATGGTACGGCAGCACAGCGAGATATCACGAAATCCATGCCCTGTTTTGCCCACCGGCGAACTGGACTTCTCGTCTTCCGGCTGAATCTCTAAAAAGAGATGGTCACGAAACGTGAAATCATGAGCCATTCCCCCACCCGAATCGTAATCTAGCTTTTGTTTATGTATGTAGGCTCTCGAGGCTTTCCTTCTTCGATTCGCTCGCCCCACCTTCTCCTCGTCACCGCACCATAGGCGAGCCAGTTCCCTCTCTGAAACCGTACAGCCTTCGTCGCTCCCTTCTCCGGGGGTTTTGCCTGGATTTTTTGTTGTGTTTGTGCTGTATCTTTAGGATATTGATGTCTTCAGTCTTTGCCCGGCGATGAAGAGGACAGATATTCGGTGTTGACAGTGGGAAGCAAAACGGTAGGTAAATGTTTTATTTGCTGTTTCGTTCACACAAAACCCCACCCTGACGTCTACTACAAATACTTCGAAGTAGTGGTTTAGTACGTCGGGCCGGGTGCGCTCTAAGCCCAGGAAAGCGATTCCGTTCTCAGCCGATATACGCTTCTTTCGAAAGTACTCCTCGCGTTTCCCAGCTTGCACGGTACTACGTACTTTTGCGCGGCGTAATGTTCTGGCCCACCACCACACAACACACGGTCTGACGAAACATGAGGTTGCAACCACCGCGCGCCGTTTGTCTGCCCCCAACGAGACCCGTTGGATTTGGGTCACACAGCACGAAGAAACAACAAGAGGGATCATGTCAGGGTTGAGTCAAATGGTGGAACGACGTTAATGGAAAAAAAAAAACGGGCAAGCCCCCTCCCCCGGTCTCCCCTCTTACGACCCCTGCTGACACACTTTCGGGAGTCGGGATGGGACTTGGCTGCCTTTGTCCCTGCGTACCTTTGTTGCACTTCGACGACGATTTCACGCGCCAAGAACGGATCTGGATCACCCGGTCCGGACCCATCACGGCAAAGAGTCCGCCGTCGCCATGCACAGGGGCGTCAACCACTCTGCGCCCGCTGCGCCCAAGCGTGCAATTACGTAGAACAAGGATTGGTTATCGTAGGTCGAGGCGGAGGCGGAACGGAAGCGCGGAGGGGGTGAAAACCTCGCACGATTCATCCTTACGGAGTGAAGGCCAGATAATCTTTGTTGTTTTGTGTCACCCTTGCACCCACCAACGCACAAGGAAGCTTCATCTTTGCCAAAGCTAATGGTGTCTCCATCAACGAGGCAGGAGCTTGAACGGGAAAGCAACAGCTAGAGATGATGATGATGATGATGGCGCTGCGGCTGCTACTGCTACTGATGTGTCGCTCACATGAGTGCCTCATAGCCAACTCTCAGCCAGGCCTGCTCGTGCGAGGCCTGCCCCTCTAGCTCGTACTCCAGAATAATGCCTTTCGAAATGCCCACTTGCACCTGCAACAGAAACAGTACGGAAACGGTGCGGTATTACCGTGGTATCGGCACGGAATAGTTAAGTTACGGAAAAAACGGCGCGTATCGCCACGGTATTGCCGGTCAAAGGTTTTTGCCACCATAAATTCTACTTTAAGGATCGTTTGTTTTTGTGGCTATCTGCGTACGTTTCTTCATTTCGCATCGACCACGCTAACGGGCTGATTATTGGAATCAACGTGTGCATGGGTGTGTTTTGCGTTTGCGTCAACTGTCCTCCGGTTTTCACATTTCTCTTTTTTTGCCTTGTTGCCGAGACGCTGGCTTTGTCTTCGCTATTCCGCCAGAGTTCTAACTTCGCGAAAACCCAACCGCAGCAGCAGCAGCAGCAGCAACAACAACAACAACAACAACAACAACAACAACAGCAACAACGACAACAACGACAAACACAATAACCGACGGCTGGGAAACAATATACGGAACATTGTCACAATGTCCGCCAGCGGGTTCCTGTCAAACATCACAGGACTGGGTGATATCTGATTGTTGAGGCTAGATGGGATCTGATGGGTGCGCCTTTAGTCGTTCGCCCGAGAATGGGTGCTTCTCGCACGGCAGATCCCTGTAATCTTGTTTCTTCTTGTCACAGACACGTACAGTATATTAACTATGCATCGCAACTCCTCACGAGTTCAATACGCTGAAACAGACGCTAAGTGCTTGGCCAGCCAGGAAGTGGCAATGGCTACTAACAGAAAACATGGAAATTCGCGCCAGCACGCCAGCTGACTTTCCTCTCTTACCACATCTGCTACTAGGCTACGGATACCTTCGTTTGGTCTGGAGTAACGCGAAGGCTACGGATGGAAGGCACCGGCGCTGAGGTGCCGCCTCGCTCTTCGCGCTTGGTCGAACTGTTCGCTTCTTGCCCGTGCTGTTGGGGCTGCTGTGTCTCTTGCATCGGCGAAAGATCAACCCTGATCATGTCTACGGACTCGCCGCTGGCACAGTCTACCACACCGACGTCGTTGTCTCCCTGCCAAGACAGGAACAAGGGACGGCGGTAATCGGTCCATCAAAGCACGAATCAACTGTCAATTTCGACTGCTATGCCGACACCCGACATGAAGACGACAGTCACCAACAGTAGTCACAACAACAACAGCAACATGATACCCGGATACCCGGCAACATCGACAGCAGCAGCATCTACATCTACGAGGCGAGTTTCTACCCCCAAGGGCGACCACACGAGCCAGGGACACCCACCAGCACAACGGCAGGAGACCAGCACACGGCGATGAAGCTGTTTGAAGCGTCTAGAACTACACATTTGCCAGAAACGTTTGCAGCACTCTTCCCCCGAGCTTGACAAGAACACACACTTCAACGAACGAGCATGTGCTAGAAAAAGAACGACCCCCCGCCTGTTTTTACCCTTCCGCCAAAACGACGTGAGTAAGCGCACAAGCGGCGTCAAACAGAAAAGCCTGCCTACCCCCGCGCAAGAAGACTCTAGTGTTGGTTCTGCTACATGCAGTGACGGCGCCCAAGTTTCAGTTGAGCTGTGCAGCCAGCGATGCACACTGAAGACTGCAACAATTGGCCGCCCTACCCCAATCCGTCTTTCTCACTGTCCCTGTCCTCCCCTTCGCACTCACGTGCTGGTGAACGAAACGAGTATCGTCTGGGAAGAACGAAGGGTGTGCCGTCTTGGGGGCGCAAGGTTCCTGGAAGACTAGCCGCGCCTCGCCTTCGTGGTCGCCCCCGTCGCCTCCGTTTCCCTCCCCCAATCCCACCACCCGGCGCAGCTCGAGATACTTTCCCTCCGGTGACCCTCCCGGGCTCTCCTCCCGGCCCCCTTCTCCTCCTACACCCCCGGCTGAGACGGTGTAGGCGAGGACGAGGTGTCCCCTCGGCGACAGCAGTAGCAGCTCCGAGGAAAATACCCGCCCGGTCCCCGGGGACATTCGGCAAACCTCCTGTAGAGAGCCAGTTCTGAGGATCTATTTGTTTTTGATCACATACGATATTGTATTAAACGGTGCACGCGGACGGGGGAAGGGGGGCAGATGTAGAGTTTGCCCAATGTAAGCGCCTCTTTTGAGCTGGGGTTGGCGAGGCGCTTGCCACTTTCTACTGCCATTTACTGCAGCACCTCGAACACACCCACGGAAGCCTAAGCAAATCGAACCGCACACCGGTATGCCAACCGCCCCCGCGCTCGCGACATTCCAGAAAATTGACTCCGTCACCTCCGTCTATTTGCCACACACCACGCTTGCTGTGCCATCTCTTCCAAAACAATTTTTTTCTTCTCCGTGATTTATACCTCCCACGCCCAAGCAGCGCACCTTTGCGCACCGCCCGTCGCCCGAGAGCACCGCCACAACGGTGCGGTCCGCCGACACCCCCACCCTCCCGATCATCTCTTCCCCTGCCCGGGTATTGTCCCCTCCCCCCGATCTCGGTCCTGCCACCATCGCCGCCGCCGCCTCCACAACGCCTCTGGCATCTCCGACCCCCCCCGCAGGCACTAGGGTAGCGCCGCCGCTGCTGCCGCTGCCGAAGGGGCGGAGGGTCGGTAGGGCCCCGATATTCAGGCTGCCCAGCCTCGCGCGGGCGAGGTTGCAGCGGCGAAGGGAGACGTCCCTCACGGAGCAGCCCGTCAGGTCGGCGGCGACGAATGAGCAGCCGTCGAAAATCCCTCTGTCGAGCACCGCTCCGGGGATCTATTTGTTTCCGGGGGGTTGGTCGACATGGCGTGGGTGATGGAAAGAGGGCACGGGGGGCAGAAGTTTAGTCGAGGAGACACGCGCTGTCACGAAAAGGGCATAAGAGGTTGTTCGACGGCCCGGTCAGCAAGCGTTCGTGTGCACCTTGCTGCGATTCGGCTTGCCGGCGCTCGACAACCCACAAAGATCATGAACGACGCGTAAAGCAGGAAAACAGAAGTAGCGCTGCGAAGTTTGTTGTCGTAGACGGAAAACAACTGGCATTTAACGAGCAACGCCAAGAATTGCAGTAGTATTTCTATCGGGAAACAGAGGTCACGAAGAACAGACTTTTCCCCGTTGGACGCCCACGGTGAAGGACAAGAGGCCGTACGGCTATACGCTCGAGAGCACGAGGGAGGACTACGGAGGGCGTGAGCACCCGGAAGGACACAAGTGCCGGTCAATAGTGGTGGCCACAAACTAGTGCTCCCGCCTACCAACTCATATTCATTCGAAGGTCGATGAATAGAAAAAGGCATGGGGTCCATGGTTTGCTTGGTTGGTGTCCAGTGCGGTATATTGGGTCATATGGTCATTCCAGACCCCTACCTAACGAACAGAGAGAGGCAGTTTCGAGGGGGGGGAGGGCACCCGAGGCTTGCATGTGCCTCGCGCGCAAGGTTTGCGCGTGCCTAGCTCTATTCCCGGTCATCTCGAACCAAACTATGAAGCGATTCGAAAGAAAACGCTGCACCCGGATGGGGTTGACGAGTCATACGCCAACAAGAGACATAATCATCAACAACAACACCAACAACAACAACAACATATGATGTCTGCTGCAACCCGTTTGTCTTCCGGTCACCTTAATTTGTGAAAGGTCCATCCCGGCGAAGGAATGCCCAGAGCGGCAGAGGACGGTCATAGCGTTCGCCGCGGCCACCTGACGCATATCGTTCAAACATCAAGCACCAAACGAAAACAGAATCCACGAAAGCTAGAAGTGAAGCGAAACACGAAACACTCTAAAAAAACAAAAAGAGTAGAATAACAAGTGGTGGGATATCTCTTTGAGAGAGAAGGAGAGTAAGCAGTCGAATGATATATGGGTTATTGCACTTGAGGTAATGCAACGGGGTGATATGATCGAAGCATCACGAGCCTGGGAAAGCCCGGGAGGAGGGAGAGAGAGGGGTACCACCACCACCACGTTTGTAGGAGTGGTTTTATTGCAGGGATAAAGAGTTTCGTTGTCGAAGGCCAGTCCAGTGCTTGTTTGAGATCAGGAAAAATGCGAGATGGTTCGAGAGCAGAGCACCATACATACTCTCTTACAGCCACCGCCCCCTCCTATCACCTTCCATGCATCAGTAGTTCCAAATTCCATTCACAGACTCAGGTAAGGACCCCCCCCCCCCCCGGCAGGAACTTGGGCGGCAAAACCTCCTGCTATCTGCATGGTTTCATGCTCGTCAGTTGATGTAAAGAAACACGTTTTGTCTCACCATGAGCGCACGATCTCGAGCAGCTTCGTCCCCGTCCCCGCCGCCGTCGGCCGCCACCTTTTCGCTCGGGTGTCTGCTGCCGCTATCGTCCTCGCTGACGGCGCGCTTGCTAGTTCTGCTCCCGCTGTTGCTGCCGTCGGCATATGTGGTGGCGCAGGTCCTTTCCTGAACGTGCTGCTTGGAGTCGTCCACCAGCTGCAGCAGCAGCTCCGCGAACACCGAGTCGGTGGAGCACATCTCGCCAAGGAACGCCAGCACGAGGCCGCCACCGGGGTGCCCAACGGAGCCACTGCCGCCGCCGCCTTCGCTCTCAAAGGGACAGAAGCTCAGCGCGCCCAGAATGGGGTTGGGGTCGGGTAGATCTGGTGGCAAACGGGACGCAGGTAAACGATGCAAAAGGGTAACCAAGGAAAACCGATATCGGGGGGGTTGTGAGTAAACTTCTTCCTGGAAATCAGGAGGTTGGCGCCTACAGTAGTTCGCATCCTTCATTTACTACAAAAGTCAAGTGCCCCCTTTCCCTGTGTGTGTCTTTCTTATTTGTCATCGACCGTGCTAACCGGCTAACCATCGAAAAGGTGCGGTGGAAAGCACAAAATGCTTCTACAGGCCACGATCTGGGACCGTGTGACCGAGCGTCATCGGGGAGTCTGCTACTCTCCAGAAAAAAGACAGATACGGTAGCAATAACAGAAGAAACTGCACGTGTTTACCATGGCTGATATTACCTTGGATGCGCGTTCGTTTCGGATTGCTTTCACCGTCTTCCCTGCATTTACTACCGCCACTCTCGTCGCCAATATCTCCACTACTTTTGGGCAGGTCCTCTCCAGTCCTGCGGCGTTTGTTGTGAGGAAGGCCATCTGGCTCAAACCCTTTGGTCTCTTCCCCACCATATTTTCCTCCTCCATCCTCGCCTTCATTCTCATTTCGTTCCTTTCCCCGTCCTTAATCTCCGTCACTCCCAAAATAATTACCCTCAAACCATTGTTATCACTTTCACCAGAACTACTAATGGAATCCCAACCTATTGGCAGTGGTGGAAATTGGTCGATCAGTTGAAGATGACGTTTGAAAACATCACCAGTTCGTAGCGACAGAAAACGAACCAGCTCGAAGGTACGCCGTCTCCGAATTACTTTTTATGGTAAGAGAGGAAGCAAGGCTGTTTCGTCGTCGAAATTCCCCCCTGCTAACGGCTTGGTAGGCCATGTGGATGGCAATAGCTACGAATAATCGATTGGTGCCTTGGCCAAGACCACCGTACGTTGAAAACGAAGCGTAAGGAGGGTAGATCTAGACGGGATAAAAGTTCCCGCATAGTGTTTTGCCTTCCTTGCAGCTCGATCTTGGAGGGCGGATCCTGGAATTTGAATCGACTTATCGATGCTTCTACTTGCGGATGGGTTGGCGATTGTGACATCTACAAGAATGGACTTGGTGCAGAGCTCCTCTTCTTGATCTCTTGCGTGTAGCCCTGGGTGGATAACCAAACCCATCTTGTATAACTCCTTTTTTGTCGTGTGAGAGAGAGAGCGAGCGTAATTCAGACGTACTGTTACATGCCTTGGGTGAAGTGTACTGCTACAGAGTGTGTACCATTATGCTTCTCTCACCGGGCGCGAGTTCAACTCCTTCCTTGTTCTGGGTCACTGCGATGGTCCTTTCCCGCCGCCTTTCCCCCTCCTCCAAAACCCCTCTCCTTACCCGCGAGGCCACGAGGAACTCCATCAGGCCGCTCTTTGCGAAGCCCCTGCAGGAGTTTGGTCGCATGTGGCCATCCCACGTGAATAGATAGAAGTATATAACTTGCAGAGTAGGTGAGCTCGAGCATTCGAGTCGTTGCTATGATGGTGGAAGAGCATGTTTGGCCAGCCGCGGCCGTTCATCACTCAGTGCACGCGACTAATGATGCAACGGAGAAGTGGCCTAGCTTGGGGGGTTGAGTGTGCGCTCATTTTCCCGCGAGTGAGTGCGACGGAGTTTCCGTAGAACTGTCTGCAAGACTGCGGCTTTCTGTCCGTTCTGGGATCCCAACGTTGGTGCTATGTCCTGTGCCTCAATTTCCACCCAAGGCCACCATGGAACTTACCAAAGCCTGCCGCTGCTGAGTGGCACGAGCTTATGCAGCCGCAACTGCAAGAGTTGCGCAGAAGTCTGCATCTCGGGAGGGGCGGCGTCCATCGTCCATCGACCAGCCTTTTTGTATCGTTCAAGCGTTTCGCGTTGCAGAAAAAAAATCGACGGGATAGAGGAAGGAACCACACGATGCCGATTATTAGCTCAAGATTAAAGAGGGGGAAGGGGCAGTTGGTATGGCGAAGAGAACCGAATTAGATTGCTTGAGGGACTGACAAGGACTTAAGTGGAGAACAAAGCGCATCTAGAAAACTCGGCCTGAATGACAATATCCTTTCTCTGTCACCGAGCAAGGGTCCCCGAAGTGGTGATTTACCGTTCACCAGCGGAGGTATTTGTGTCTTCTTGATATGTGGCGAGGAAGTGCCAAGCGAAGCCGATAGTCTCGACTTAGCTAGAAAGGTGGAAGTGAGAGAGGGGGGCACCTTCGTGGGCATCTCCCGATCTCCGAGATTCAAATGAATAGTCACGGTATTCTGTGAGTCTTTCCTGGCGAATGTCTTCGGACGGAAGACCGTTGTTCATGTAGTCCGACGATCTTTGCGAGTCCCATGTGCGTTGTTACCTCTAGGAAGATAGTTATATCCTGGTTTCCACATGAAGACGAATTGCAGCACTGCAGCTTAGACCACCAACCACACGATCCTCGCCGAAGAAGGGGAAGTGACTCAAGGAAGCGAATACGTAAATAAGTGCCGTTAAAGAACGACCTACACGGAGTGAATGTGAGTACGGGCAACAGCGTCGCGGTTCCCCAGAGAAAAGAATACTACCGTAAGCAGTGCATCGTAGCACATCCTGGGCTGGGCTCCATTCTCGATGCTTAACAGAAGGCAAGGGGGTTCGGCGCCCCCACAACGGCGGCATCCAAAGAGAAAAAACATAAATGTTGTCGCCGTGGTCGGTTTCTGAGACGCACTTCGTTACCACAAATGGTGGTGCTGCCACACCCGCGTGCCATGAAGGGACCACAAGGGAGTTTTCGCAATCGTCCACTTTCTGCGGTGTCACTATCCGTCAACTTATGCTGTTGAGGGGCCAGGACCATGAGCTACAAATTTCGAAGAATAACATACAGCTGAGTGTGAATCGGATTGAGAGACAAAGTTGCAATGTGAAGAGGCGGCGAATGAGGTGGGCCAACGTTCAAAAAGACGTGCGTTCTGGTTGTTCCAATATTCAGCACTAGATAAAGGAGTACAATTCGTATTCGAGATATTTTTGTCATTCCTTCATTCCTCAGAAAAACATCGCCCACCGCCCACACTATAAGGTATTGGCTGAGAACAATAGAAGTTTGAGATGTACAACGAAATGCGCTGTTCAACGCCAAAAAATGCACACTAGACTATGTCACACAATAACCAACGCAGAAAGTCACACAGTTCGCTTTTTTTAATCCACCTGGTACATAGAAAATGCCAAGTCCTCCGCAGAGTGCAGCCCACGAGCAGAAGACGAAGATAAAACCACCCCGGCGGAGGTGGTAATGCCCGTGGCTGCCCCGCCCCTTTCTCGCTCCGCCGCCACCGCCCCCCCGATCCTGCTCTTCACCCCGCCGCGGGAGGAAAACCCGGCGCCGCTCTTCATGGCTCGTTCGAGCCAGCAGGCCATCACCCACGCGCGGGTCGGCCTGTTCGGGCGACCTTCCTGCCGTTTCGAGGGTGTTGCGGCGAGCAACGTGTACGAGGAGGAACAGAGCGTGAGGTCGATTCGTTCTAATTCGCGGTAGTGCCTACGCCGCCGGTCTAGTCTCGCCGCGAGACAGATTCAGCGAACTGATTCGTGGGGGCGGGCTGGTGTGAGTGACTAACCCGCGGATATGCCACTATTGAGGCGTCTTTGATACAGCTCGATGCGCGCGGGGGGCAGGAGAACCAGTAGTAGCGAGCAGAACCGATGGTGCCTGCTTGCGCATATCTGTTGAAAACGGCCTACAATAACAACCGATGTCAGAATGAGTACGACCGACCAGTGTTGCTGTTTATTTTGTGGTGGGAGGCGGTGTGTTGTTGTTGCTCCTTCTGCTTCTGCTGCGTTTGTCCTGATATTCCAACCTGTCTGGCCTCCATCCCGACCCTCCTCGTGCGCAAGCTTCGAGACGAACACCCAAAGAATTTGGGTTGTCATGAGCTGGTTAGTGTATCTCTCACATGTTGACCGTGAAGCGCGCAAGAACCACAACGACCAGAGGCTTACGTTTCTGCGTTATCACCCACGGATCTCTTCCGATCAAGAAATCACGGAAGCACGAGCCGTGTCCCCCTTTCATCCATCAACCCGCTCGTTGTACATCATGCTGCAAATACCACTTCCATTTTGCTGAAAAAACAACACACAACGACCACGACGACCGTCGCACTCACCATCCAGAGCGCGTGAGAAGTGTCTGCGGCGGCGGTAGCTGCGGCGGAGGAGAAGGGGGGAGTGGTAGAGAAGGCGGGCATCGAGGCGAGGAAGCTCTTGTCTTCTCCCGGCGGTGGTGCCGCGGCGTTGGGTTCCTCGTTAGCGAGCTCGCAGACGAGGTCGAGCGTTAGCGGGTGGGAGCCGAGCGAGTGCAGCGCCGCTAGGTCTCGCATGTCACTGCTCCTATATCTGCCTCCGGTGCCTCCGCCGCCGCCCTTCGCCTCTAGAAAAGCTTCCACCTGGCGGTAACACAACATTTGGAAGGCAATGGGCGCAAGGGATAATGCATCGATTGAAGGTCTGGAGTTGATTTGAGGTGTCGAATCCAGAAAAGGGGTAGCTTGTTCGGACAGGCGAATAGGTAGGCACGATCACCGTTTGCAACGCGTGCTGTTTTCCGACAGCATTTTTTCCAAACCCAGGACGATCGACGACCCGTCATCAAAGCTTGTCGAGTTTCCTTGTTGTTTGCGGTTTAGCAAAAAACTTTTAATATTATTCGGGTGGTGGGGGTAAAGCACGATTGCAGTAACTACGGGGGCGAGATAGGTAGCAGACCCCAAAAGGATCGTAGGAATGCACTCTGGGGACCCCGGGCTGGAGCTCTGTTGTTGGAGAGGCAACAGGATCGCAGGTTAGGTAGAACTGTGAATTACGGTTGCATCAACAGGATGGTCAATAGAAGGAACGAAAACCAAAGCTTGCATCTTCGTTTGTGTACCGTGGACGCCAAGACGCAACACGTGCGAAGCCAACTTACGAGGCTGTTGCTTCTTCCTCTCTCTCTCTCTCCCTCTCTCTCTCTCCCTCCCTCTCTTTCCCCTTCTCTCTCTCTTTCTCTCTTTCTCTCTCTCTCTCTCTCTCTCTCTCTCTCTCTCTCTCTCTCTCTCTCTCTCTCTCTCTCTCTCTCTCTCTCTCTCTCTCTCTCTCTCTCTCTCTCTCTCTCTCTCTCTCTCTCTCTCTCTCTCTCTCTCTCTCTCTCTCTCCAGCTCTCCGGAACAAGGGGACCCGATGTTCGGAGCATGTTGCAACAAATTAGCAAGCTAGATACCGGCAAGAATCACCGCAAAAAATCTGACCCTACAAAGTGGTCGGAGCAGTATGTGTGTCTGCTAGAGTCAGGTGTATGAATTCGGCAGCCCACCTGGTCACCATCGAGTGGTGCAATCATCGCCGTCTCGAGCGCCCAGTACCTCTGGAGCCCTCTAGTATTTGCCGGAACGAAGAATGAGAGTTCTGTCTCTTCCTCCTGATTGCCCTTCCGCTAAACATTTCGAGATTGTTGTCGTTATTGTATATGTATCGCCGTCGTCATCGTTGTTGTGGCGGTGGTAGCGGTAGTGCCGGCGGCGGCGGCGTCGGTAGCGTTGCCAGGCGGAAAAAGAGAGAGGGCAATGAGGAAAGCACGACTGCCGGTAAAAATGGGGGAGAGAAAAGAGATATACCTCAAGCGACGGCTGTTTGCGGCGCCAGGCGGCGACAACGAAGACCTCGAGCGAGCGCGACAATCGCATGGAATTGCGTGCAAGACATTGACGAAGGCAACGCTTCGGAGAACTGAAACTTGTGATACGGATGACGTGGAACACGGACGTGGAACACGGAAACTTGCGACGGGGATGGCTTGGGTCCAAGAAAGTAGTTGCTAGCAATATATGAAACAAAAGTGATCGCCACAGGCTTAAACTTGCAGGAAACTGCACTTAGCACCCCCAACACAAACCACACGAAGGAGGCTGTACACGTGGCATTACATCATCAGCAGAGGTCGCGACGGCCGAAGGCAACCGCACCCCTTCCAGCCCACAAGGCCGAGAGGTGAAGAGGGCCTTCATCCTCCACCTCGCCCAGCCGTTGCTTGCCCAAAGGTTTCGCCTCTGGAAATATTACGAACGGGCGACGTGCGCACACGGCAATGGTTGGCCGTGGTGTAGCCATGGGAGTGTATGGATGAAGCGGCGCTGGATAGGGCTCAGAACGATATACACCTTGAAGACGACAAATCCGACAGCGACGACAACATCAACATCAACATCAACATCAACATCAACATCAACATCAACATCAACAACAACAACAAGTGCAAAAGAAAACGCTGTCCATGCGTGGATACGTCGGGCCTTCGTCGACTTAAAGCCAAGTGTTGTACCGAACATGGGGCGATGGCCAAGGTTTGTTGTTGTATCCTGTAAGTCGAATGGAGGTTAGGCCCATTGCGAAGAATTCATTTCGAATACATAGCAGTGAGGTTCAGCACCTCGTGCTTACGTGCGTTTTGACGAGGGCACCCTCATTACGCCAACATCGAGCACGAAAATGGTGCCAGAGGGATTGTCGCCGCTATAATGCGAACGGGCGCTGGCTCAGAAGATAGTTTGGAACGTTTCAGGTTTGAGAGTGACGAGACTTGTTCTGGGATTTTTTTTGGTTTTTTGTTTTTTTGGTTTAGGTAAAAAAAAAAGAAAAAAGGGTAAGTTGGCGAATTGATTGAATGCGTACCAGCACCGACATGCCCGTACAACCGCGTTTCACTACCTTTGGCTGAAATTCGTGAACCTCCGGCCCTGCGTCTGCCACCAACAGACTTCCACAAGGAACAGCTGGACAGCAGCGACAGCAGCAGCAGCAGCAGCATGAGTTCTATAATAAGTAGCTGGGCAATACCTTATCGGCCGAAATCCTGTCGAAGCCGTCCACGATGACGAGGAGGCGCTGCCTTTTCCGGATGGTGGAGATCTCTCGCTTCGTCATCCTGCCACCCCGTCGTGTCAGCGGTACATGTTGTGTCCCCCGTCCGTGTCGAGGATAGCGCGGTTGTTTTCGAGCAGCAACGAAACGAAAACGGTTGGTGGACAATTTGTAGCATATTTTACGTGTGTGTTGCGTGCGTGTCGTTGTGTTTTCGATTTCGGTGCGTGTTGTTTTCAAAGCAACGATCACGATACATGTCGACCTCTTTCCTCGCGCATGAACAAACATGCGATGCCCTCGGGGGAGAGTACATAAAGGGGGTAGCACGGCAATGGATTCGGCATCGGGTCGGAGATTAGTGAGAGAGCGACTACTACCACGTCAAGAAAGACAATTCACGACCGCCAGGCACAAGAAATCATGAACAAAGCGTTCGTTTCTTGGCTTCTCGAGTGCCGTCAAAGTACTATCGCGTGCCGTCGAACGTCCGCGGTCATTGAATCAGCCCGCTGATGTTGCTCTCTCCGATCGCGGGGATAGTGCACCCCATTTGTGGCGACCTTGTGCGCACACGTCTACTACAAAGAAAGGTGCGCTTTCCACAACATGAACGTACGCTAAGTACGGACGGAGACTGCTTGCAGCGCTCACCTTAGCTGTGACATCAAGTAGTGCTTCACCATGCAATCGAGCGGCATTCCATGCTCCCCCTCTGCTTCCCTCGCGTCGATCACGATCGGCAGGAAGCCTCCTGTTGTCGCTCCCCCCTCGGCTCCCGCCGCTTCTGCCCTCCCCCCCCCCAGGTTCAGGGAACACGCTAGCGCGAGTTCGTGAGCCAGCAACGTCACGAAGAACGACTTGCCGCTGCCGGCCTCTCCACTCAAAAGGAAAACCTATGGCGTTGTCGTTGTCGTTGTTGAATTAGAGACATGATCGCGTGTGCGGATACTCGAGGCGGGTTGAGGTGATACAAAATGGGCCACGGATGTAATTTTCGTTGTCGTTGCGGAGAGGAGGGGGGGGTTATTGATGGCTGCCTTGCATGACGTAAGGTCACAAGAACTCTCATCGTAAAAAAAAATCAGAACGACAAGCCCAAGACTACGGCAAACGCACCAGGTACCCCCGCGCGTGGTGTCGCAGTTTTTGTCAAAGAAGAACTCCGACTATGCCAACTCAAGCACCGGCTTATTCTCTCAGATTTTCGCCGGCAGCAGCACGCCAGCATCTCATGCTCCTACATACGACGTCGACCATTGCGAACCTGACGAAAAAGATGCGGATTGCTTCCCTGAAACAGCGTGTTCTTTGGCGTACCTTACGATCCGAGGCCAGGAAGTCGTGTACCCGAGAGGCGAGATCGGCGCCGGTTTCGGCACACCGCAAAACCACGCGGCACTCGCCGCCAAGCACACTTTCTTCGCTCGCGGCCGCCGCGCCCAGAGCCGCCGCCAGCACGCGAGACCGCGGCGACCCACCGCCACTGCCGCCGCCGCCTCGGGCATTGTTGTCCATCGTGGCGAAGCGGCCAGTGCTCACTCTCGTGGCGAAAGAGGCGCTGTCGTTTGTGGCCGACGTGCTGTTCGAGTTGTAGTCGGTGTCCTCCCAGCAGCCGTTGTGGGCGTCGTCGTGTCGACCCGAGGAAGGACGAATGCATGCGCCCCCGTCCGACCGGATCACGGTGGGACAGTCCTCCCTCGGCACATCTCTCCGTCCGCCGTCTTCCTCCCGTCCATAGTCTTCCTTCCTGGGAGACAGCTGCTCATCTTCCAACAAGGAAGGGCCCCAGCCTCCGGCATCCCCGCCGTCTCCGCTCACGATGTTGTCGTTCTGCATTTTGCCGCCGATTTCATACCCCCTGACCGCCGTGGTGACAATTGCACCGCCGCTGCCGCTGCCGGCAGCGGCAGGCACCGTTGCGGCGGCATTGATGGCGTTTGCGAGGGCTGTCGCCGTCGCGGCCGAAGCGGAGCAGGATAGCGCGGGATTCGGTGTCGTCTCACCACGGAGGGTACTGCCTTCGCCGCTGCTGCCGAATACGGGTATCACCGACATCGGTTCACGCCAGGGCGCAGCAATTATCGCCGCTCCTCTTCTGTGTCCCGGCGACACAGAATCAGGCGGCCTCGAGAACGAAGCCAGCCTCCGCGCTTGGGCGACGCCGGGTGTTGAGGTTTCTGACAGTACGGACGTTGCTGAGGGGCCAGCAATGGGGAGACCAGGGGCCAGGACAGTACGATCGTTTCCGTCATTGTGCGGTTGTTGCTGCGGCTGCTGCCCCTTCGTAGGTTGTTTCTGCTGCGGCAGTCCCTCGTCGGCGACCTGCCCGGTCTCCTCCGCGGTTGACGCGGCTATATTGCCGTACTTCCCTGAAGACGAGTTGACCGCGCCATTGTCAGCGCCCGCCGCCGTCGCAGCGGCTTGAACGGCACCGCTTTCGCTTGCTCTGGCTGCCTCTCGTGTAACATTCGAACGAACACGCAGATGCTGCGGGTGAAGCTGCCGTCGAGCAGCCCTGGTTTCCTCACCGGTCAGCTGCTTCTGTTGCCGCAGCTCTTGGTCGAGTCGCCGCCCCGGTTCTTCCGCGTTGGCCAGCCCGAGAGCCAGACTAGATGTCCGTGGGATAATACCACCTAGGACACTGGGCACCGAGCTGTCCTTGTCGTCGCCGTGATGGATGGAGCGAGCTGCCGCGTTATGAGGTTTGCGGAGGTGGGAGGCGTTGCGGCGTTCGTTCGACGTCGAGGTTGCGCTTCGCCGAAGACCGCACCGAGGTGCTATTGCGCCAAAAGCCGGCATCTGAGGGATTTCACGAGACCGACCGCCGCCACCACCACCACCGCCACCACCACCACCACCACCGTCACCACTGCGTCCTTCCGTTTCATCCCTTATTGCGATGCGTACTGCTATCCGAGGGGGGACGTGTGTCTTCACTGGTGTGTCATCGCTGCCTTCTGGAGCTGCGTGAATCCTGCCCGAGTCCGTCCTCTTCAAAGCCCTCCCACCGGAGGATACGACCGATCTCTGCCGTGCAAGCCGTGGCGGCGGCGGTGATGATTCCCCGCCCCCGCTTTGTTTCTGAATAGGGAACAGCAGCGGCGCCAGGCCTTCTGTGCCAGGATCTCGAAACAGCGTCATCTTTCTTGAATGCCTCGGGCGGGGTATTGGGGGCGAGGCTGGGCTCCGTTTCGTCGCTTCCTGCTCGCGTGTTGGCGTGGTCACGTGCAGTGACATTTGTTCCCGCCGTAAATCTTGCTGCATCATCGGGCAGGAGCAACCGCATACCAACGGACTGCACTCGTCCTTTGTCCACTTGCCAACTCTCGTCGTATGTGTAGACTAGACGATGTACGATCTGTTTGGCGAATCAACAGCGGCGGAAGGGGGCCGGTTAATTATATGACCGACCCAGCAGCACCATTGCCTGCACAGAGCAGGCTATCACAAAAACCACAGTATCTTCATATGGTATTATATGATACACACGTGCTCATCGATTTCGTACTTTCACATGTCCAGGCCCTAAACTGACCAGTGTACATCAACTCCGACTGCATGCACATCACCTCTGGAAATAAAAGGAGGGTACGTATACTACACTACATTACATCTCACATCCCGTGGAAAACCTCAGAAGAGACCACTGCTGTACAAGATGCTCCATGATCGATCATATGTACAATACATAGAACATGTGTGACTCCTACAGTAGACTAATAGTCTACGCTTCAACTAAATAGCTACACGCAGTCGTGTGCTCAACGGCGCCTTCTCGGCTCCCATTTAGACTATCCTGATGGTCATCTTAACCACACCGGTACCGGGTTCAACGGACAAGTTTGAGATCCCATCCCTGATTAAAAGGGGTCATAGACACACATGCATATGTAGTCTAGTCTACATTGTACGTCGTTTAGGCGCTACGGTTCGAACCTGACAGGGGCGTGGCACATACCTCTCTCTCTCTGGGTTTGGTATTGTTGTGGCCGCCAAATCGGATACTAAATCCTTTGTCTCTTTCCCGAACAAGGCAGAAGCACTGGCCCTCGAAGCCCAAGCTGGTTTGGTGGAGTCTTGCTACAGTCGTAGGATGCTTGTCATAGCCGGGGCCCTCGTCCTCGAAAAAGATGTGGTGTGTGAACTGGATCACCTGTCTTTGCTTGAAAAAATATGTTCCTAAAATGGTCAACTCTACAGCCGTCTGATGTCACGCTGGATCTTTCCGGCGACGAATCTTTCTCTCAGCTCCCTTCTTTTCCTCCCAAGATGTGAATGTGAATGAAGCAACCCATCGACTTCTCGATGTGCACAGTAGCCTAGTAGTCGAGAGTTGAAAGGGAAACAAACATGAAACAGAGCAACCAACATATCTAACAAATTTGTTCCGCGCACCAACCATGGTGGTAGTACTGTAGGTTGGACCAACAGTGAAAATCGTTTGTGGGCCATGCAACTCATTCTTCGTGGTTCCGTTCTTAGTTCCTACATACAGCAGTGCCGTTCACAGGGTCCCCGGCTACCGGTTGCTGTACATAGTGTTGTAGTTTATCTTTTGAAAACAGCTACTGAATCGGTATAGATCTGTTGCGTCCGTGTGGTAAAAAGTAAAGAGCGTTTGTCGGGCTGACGATACAGACGGCGACTTCAACCTGGAGACACGGGCATCGTTGTACGAAGCTTGCAACAATATACCACACCCAGCCGGCTGAGGTTGTGTGGGCACTCAACCTCATCGTTGGTCCAAAGTTCATTTACCCTGTTGTACCGTACTAAATATTGAAATGCATATGAAATATGTGAATCTTTTTACAATAATACAGCACTTCGCCTGCTATCGTGTGTCAGCGGTCAGCGGTGGTGGTGTGATGTCGTCGACGTTTGGACCCGGTCCCTCACCACCCTGGCCAAATCGCATTCTTTCGCGGATCCCCCGTACACTACGCACAAATACGCAGAGAGCTTCTCCGGAAGCAGCGTTTCTACGGCACTGCGCTGCCACATCGTCGGAATTCCGGCCCACCTAGTAGTCTACCCCCCGGTCCCACAAAAGTTTGGGCAAAAAAATGAAGAGTATCTTACGTCATTTACAATCAGCTCACAGACCATGAACGTTTGGGTTTCCCTGCTCCTCCTGTCTTTGCGGTTTTTTAACTTTTTTTTGTAGATCTAGCGTCCACATGCCAATCTAAAGCCCATGATAGTCCTACCTCATCCAGGCGCACCATCCTAGAACCTATCCAGCCAAGTGGCCTCAGGAACTCTGTCGGCGGTGAGGGATGGAAATGTCATTATTCTCAATGCCGTAAAGAAAAGGGTCTTTGTATTTTCATCACGAAAGCAAACCTGTTTCCCGACTCCTACGCTTGACTACACGAACTGTCAGCTTAATCTCCATCGTGACGGCCAACGACAAGACTCTTCTCATCATCGTCGATATTGACATCGGTCGCGGTACAGGTGACGCCGTCCTCGGCAACGATAGTATCTGCGTCTCGGACTGTATCTTGATTCTCCTTTCGCTCCGCCTGCTCTTGCAACATTATTTGGTGCTGGTGCTCGGCCGCTGCTTTCCTCGCGACCAGCTCCTGCGCCGTCGTCAGTAGTCCCTGATTGAAGTCAACGCCCGAGGCAGTGCGCAGCGCACATAGTGCAGGACCTCTTGAAATGTCCAAATCGACTTCGAGAGTCAACCAAGAACGCTCTGGGGTCCTTTTTGGACTGTCGGGAAAATGGTCCAAAGATCTTTCATCACAAATCGAGTCGACTCAAGACGGTTTTTCGAGTGGGTCATGTACATCATCATTTAAACAAAAAATGAGACACCTCATGAGACCTCATGAGTCGCCTCACGACATGGCTCGTGAGGTGCCATGAGGTTCCATTGGGCGGCTCATGGGGCCTCGTGACAGCTCACGATACCGCTCATGAGACCACTCATGAGAGACAGTGAGGTGTCTCGTGAACGGTATCATGAGCGGTATCGTGAGATGCCTTGAGCCGCCTCACGGCACCTCGTGAGGCATTCCACGAGCCGTCTCAAGAGGTATCATGACCCATCTCACGAGAAATTCCGTGACTCCTCATGACGCCTCATGACGCCTCATGACACCTCATGACATGTCATGAGGCGTCATCGTTATGAGGTATCGTGAGGTCTCATGAGTCCTCATGAGGCGTCATCGTTATGAGGTATCGTGAGGTCTCATGAGTCCTCATGAGGCGTCAAGAGGTGTCGTGGGGTGACATGAGACATCGTGGGGTGTAGGGAGGCGTCGTGGGGTGTCACGAGGTCTCACGACGCGTCATGAGGTGTCATGAGGTGTCATGAGGTGCCATGAGGTGCCATGAGGCGTCTCACGACGCGTCATGAGGTATCATGAGGCCGCATGAGGCTTCATGAGGTGTCATGAGGTGTCATGAGGTGTCATGAGGTATCATGAGGTGTCATGAGGTGTCATGAGGTATCATGAGGCGGCATGAGGCGTCAAGAGGTGTCGTGGGGTGTCACGATGGGGGTGCCGGGAGGCGTCAAGAGGTGTCGTGGGGTGTCACGATGGGGGTGCCGGGAGGCGTCATGGGGTGTCATGGGGTGTCACGAGGTCTCAAGACGCGTCATGAGGTGTCACCAGGCTTCATGAGGTGTCATGAGGTGTCATGAGGTGTCTCATGAGGTGTCTCATGAGGTGTCTCATGAGGTGTCTCATCGGGTGTCTCACACATTGTCTAAAGAGTGTTCTAGTCTCGTTGGACTGTGGGTATATCTCGAATGGGTAGTCTTTCTGTGTGTGTATTTATTATTCCTTGGTTCTCGGTACTTTCTGGTGTAGTAATGCCCTGAGTTTCTCAATCTCTGCAAGTCCAACAGACATTCTCCAAGTGCGATACACTATTGCCCCCCAAACGTTGTGGTGCATCAATGGTGTGTAAGAGGAGTGGTGGGCTCTGCGTCTCCAAGGGACCCTCGAGTTCACAATGCGAAGAAAGGTGGCGCCCGCCAGCTATGATTGTTGTTTACGTAGCGTGAACCGGACAAATGACAAACGGAGTACAAACAGGAAAAATATTTATCAAGTTCTAAACCACTTTAGGTCAGAGTCAAGTACCAAAGCGACGAGCTGCTGGGATTACCAATTGCGAGAGTGCTGCAGAATAACCCCCCCCAAACACAGCCCTGGCACTAAATGCGAGACTTTAACTCCGTCGGCTTTTGCTCGGAGGTGGAAGCAACCCGTCCGGCGGACCGCCCACTTACCCCAAGGCTTTCTGCGTCGGCGGTCAAGCCGTTGCCCTCTGCGTTTTCTTCGACCTCGTTGTAGGCTATTTCCACAGACATGCCGACCTCCCTCGCTTTTATTCCGCAGCTGCCGGCATTGGAGCCGGCGTTCGCCGACCCGGGGAAGCTGGGCTGAAGAGCAAACTGCACGTTCGGGTAGGCACGAAAGGAAGAACGATAGCGGCAAAATGCCCGGCGTTTCGTTCCCCGTCAAGCATGTTGGGTGGCACGGTGGAGGAGGGAGGGATTGGAGCGAATGCAGGGCATGCGGCGAGGGGAAGGAACCGCAGGTTACTATCACTGAAATGAAGAAGCCAGGGGTTGAATTGGCAGGTTGACATTCCTACAATATGTTGTAGCCTGTTGTGCTACTGCACGACATCTCGCGAAATTATAAGTCGCACGGATTTTAGGGTGAAGTCGAGGTAACACGTGGCCGCCTCAGCCGGGCTCAACGCTCGTCTTGATGAGACTATCCGGACACTGCCGCTACATGGCAAAACGTCCGAATTTACAACGCTCCCTCATTTTACGATTGGGCGTTTGATGTCAACGTCTCTGACTTGTCACCCCTCTCCCACCCCTGCTACATGTCTCTCACGTCGCGATCAGCCTTCACGTGCACCCAGAACCGTCCCGCTACCCCAGCCTCGAGCGACGTCGCCACGATGACGTACTGCCCTTGCGGGAGCGCGAGGCGGCAAGAAACGTCTCGTCGAGGCACGAAAGGTCGGGTGAGGTTTTTTGTTTCGTCCTGTGGTGACAAGAAGGACAGCAGCAACATCATGGCGCGGCACGGTGCCACACGGCGGAGATGGGAATGGGGCACGACGGGGCCAGAGGGGAGAGACGAGGAAAGAACCCCCACACGTATGTGATGGCTGTGCACTCTCGCCAATGTTGAAAGCGAACGCAGTCGTTTGGAAGTTGATGAGATGATAGGCAACCTCCCGGGGTCGCGTCTAGTCATAGGGCCAACGGCGTAAAGATACCCAGCTGCCATGCTCGGTACACTAGTTTGGTGCCGCTTTTTAGATGATTTCTTCGACTCCAGCACGCCCCCGCATTCGCTTATCAGTTCGCCGCACAATAACAAATAGGCATCTCATCTCATCAATCATGCGGTGGAAACAAACCGTTGTCGAAAGAGCGTGGTAAGATAGAAGATTCGGAGTACCGGAGCACAGGAAGTAGCTCTCAGGCGCCGCTACGCCACGGAACGAAGGACGAACGCTGGTTGCTTGTTGCTGATCAATTAGTGTCGTCGTGGAAAACGCGGCAGACCTGAACAATCTTCGACAACTTCGGGATGTCGCGCTTCGAGCCGGTCGACCATCGGTGGCTGTGGACGAGAAATCCTGGGGGGCGGGGTGCATCCAACCAACACCCGAGCGAATGGTGCACTCTTCATGGCACTGAAAGGACGTTCCAACGTAAATGCATTTCAAGGACTCGCCAACCGCCTGGGGTGGTGAGACAACGCCTCAAAAAAACGAAAACAGGGGGCTGCTATTGTCGAGGCCGACGGGACGAGAAGAGAGCGACAATGATCAAGCGCAACCACCAAGTAACGGCCTCGCCTGCCCGAAGCCTCAAGCTCTCCTAATATAGTATTGTCTGTTTGTTGCCAAGGACGTACCGATGGAGCGTCGTCTCTCGCCTCGTTCGGTGTAGTCCCTGCGGTGGTACCTCGAATCTTCCTGGGTAACCTGCGTCACGGGTCGCGGCATCGCTCGGATTGGTCAAGAGCCCTCCCACGACGAGCGGTAGTTTCGGCCAAGCTCGAAATCCTCATGAAACACGGTGTACCTGCGCGTGGCAAAGCGCTTCACGTTCGACCCCGTCGGTGTGATGAGCACTCTGCCTGTCCCGCGGCGTCGCGGTGTTGCCACAGTCTTGCGAGGCTGCGTCTACTTCTTGGGCTCTTGGTGCCAAACATCACAGGGAATGCTGAGAGATTCACAACGCCCATGGCTCTCTCTCCACTTGTCGAAAAGCACAGGGGTACAATCGGCAAAATGTGGCTTGTGAGTGGTATAAGTCTGTCTCTCATCCGGTGTACATCGTTTCAAACTCCTCTCCCCAAAAGCTCCCCAATAGCCCTAGGAACTGCGTGTTGCACTTAGCGAAGGCTAGAAGCGACGACAACGCGGTCATCCCCTGCCCCAGCCACACCCCATCCCCAACCATTCGGGCCGCTATTATTTACGCGCGTCCTCAATGCGGTGAAAAACAACCCACAAATACGCCGGGCATACCTTCCATCTCATAGCAAACGCCTGCCAATCAATTTCGAGCACAACGTCATACTACGCAGTGGAGGCTGGCGTTTATTGAGATCGGGGGGACTGCCGTCTATAGAACTCAACGAGCCCCTGTTCCATCGAAGTCTGAGAAACCGCAGACCACCCCGCGGCGGCATTCAACAGGTGATGGATGAAAGAAATGACTTTCATTGAAAAGTTCACTCTCCGAGGCTGGAAGGGAATCTACGTGGGCCAGGAGAACGTGTGCTCTACGACAGGGAGGGCGACAACAATCGTGTCAAACGTCAAACCCACGTCAGGCGGCAAAATAAACCCGCTCCCTCCCCCGTCCTTCTTCCCGTGATCTCTCATGCTCACTGTGATTAGCACTTGAGCTGTGTCGTCCTTGTTGTGGGCACTTTTCGGCGTTCCGGATGACGGCGCGACCGCGCCTGTCGCGGTGGTGCTGCCGAGACCGCTGCTGGTGGTAGTGCCGCCGCTGCTGTTGTGAATGCTGCTGTCGCGGGGCCCGATCTCCAGAAAGACTTGAGTTCCTTGTAGCCACCCTTTGCCTTCGGTGAATCTATTTCGTTTCCGGGTGGATTCATTCGTTTAACGGAACGAGGGTACGCGTGCATGCACAGAAACGTCCAATATTGGCGTTTTTTTTATCAAGGAGGTGTACGTAGAACAAGGAGAAAGAGGACGAGAAAGCACTCGTCTCGAGAGCAAGTCCAGTCGGTAGCTGTACACCGTGGAGATTGTTTCCAATAGGCTTGCCGTACCTGTTTCGGGCGTGTGGACAGCACGGACACAAGGGGACACCAATGGCTGGCCGTGTCCCAATACTGCAAACGCGTTGCATCCTTCTAGACCCAGGTCTACCAGAGCACATCTTTGAAGAAACGTACAATATAGCGTTTGTTCGTTCGAAGTCCACAGAAAGTATGCATCGACGAAGAGGCCCTTATTTATGTTGGGATGCTGAAACAGGATTAAGTTGTGCATTCCTGCTCCCGGCTCATCCTGTCTGTTCCCTCCAGAGCCCGCAGGCTGCTCTGCTCACACTACATGGTGGCCCTTGCCATTCTGTGCCGAAAGCACCGTTCGGGATTTATTTCCGAACCATAGAGCAAAGTGATGATCATTAATCTCAAAAACATTTCGACATATAGCAAAATACCTTCCCCCACACCCTTCTCCCTCCCACGACCCCTGGCAGCGCCCTTCCCTCGATCCAGCGCCGGCTGCAAGTTCGGAGGCCGCGCCAGGGGCGGTGGATGGTCGCGAAGCTGGGCTGTTGGTACCGCTGCTGCTTGTTTTCGACACCTGCTGCTGCTTCTGCTGCTGCTGCTGCTGCTGCTGCCGCTGCAGCCGTCGTCGTCTAGCCCTTCTCTTTTCCTCTTCGAGGGAGAGTTCCATAGCACCTCCGGCGAGGTCCACGGCGTACAGCGTGTTGAACAACCTGAGAAAGTCTCCCATCTCCATCCAGAACATTCCGCGGAGCGTTCTGGGGAGAAGCTCCGAGGCCAGGGCGGGCGCGGACCACTGCCGCGACGACGGGCCCCAGTCTCCGAGGTACTCGCCGGGTTCCGCGCCTCGCTGTCGAGCTTCGTTTTCAGCGACATGGGGGTGCGCGGGTGGTGGTGAGGTGTGGTGTACTTATGCATCTGGCGGTCATTGCTTCATGATGAAAAGGGATCGGGGATTACTGCTACGGACACATGTAGAGGGGCACTCGTTGTCTCTTTCGGTTGCTTTTTTGCCGTTCTGGGGCACGCATCCCGTATGGGGACAGCGCTACGCCCCTGGTGGAATCACGGCCATCATTCGCGGGTGGGTATCTAACATGTCGCAATTATCGGTGCCACATGGTACACATTTGCAAGCAACGCATTTTGCCACCAGGCGCTCATCAACTCGAGATGCGCTTCTCGCTGTCACACTTCGGCGAATGTTATCCGAGTTCACACAATCTTGTGGACAGCTTGTCACGAATTCACCGTGGCGCAGCCTTACGAAACGGTGGTAGATGCCATACGCGACAATACGCGCATGAGGTAGGCGATACCAGCCTGCATCGCGACGTCTTGACTTTGTGAATGATGCTTTTCTTTCTCGCTCACCTGCCCAAGGGTCCCGCAAGCGCAGAAGACGCGTGCCGCCCTTCTCGAACGCCTCCAGGACGCAGTACGAAACTCCAGAGCAAAGACCCTTCATCACCCTGCGGCAACATCCACGTCCTTCTTGTATTATAAAGAAGTGATGTAGTTTTATTCCGTGCAGTGGCGAGAGATCGATCAAACCCACATCGTCAAAGAGGGCAAAGGAAGGATCCAAGGATGCACGCCCGAAGCCGACCCGCCAGCTCGCTCGCCCCACTCCCGATGTTGACCACAACCGTGGCAACGTGCATGCGTTTTGGTGCACTCCTGTAAATCGTAATGATCGCTCCAAAACCGGCTGACCAGTGACGAAGAAGGCTGTCGCGCCATTGGACATTCACACGCGCCAATTCACTGTTAGTTGTGTGGGCAGTTAAGCTAGTGCCAAAGCTTCTTCAGCTACCTGTTCGAAGGCGGGAAGAGCATACCACCGTCCGCGGCCTCCTGCTGGTCACCGATGCCCCATGGACATCGTACCCAAGCCTGGCGGCTGTTGGGGCGCGGAGGCGCAAAAACGAATCGCTGAGGTAAGCACACGTGGGGCCGACCAATGAAGCGAACCATTGTGCACGCTTGCGTGTGGGCTAATGCCAGCTGGAGACGCACGATGGAAAAGGGGGGTGAATGAATCACTAGACAGCCCCTTCGCCGGTGGCAACAGCAATTGTTGACTTCGCATGTACGATTATGGTGCACCTTCCCGAACGGTGAGAAGCATCAAAGATTCTCGTCGCCGAGCAGAGCTTATATTGTGCTGATTTCATCTCCCTCCGCAAAATGGCAGCGTCCACTGCGGCCCTGCATGAAATTTCAATTCACATTTTGGGGGGGGGGGCACGAAAAGCACCCGCTCACACGAGAAAAAAGCCGAAACGGACCTGCAACCGAGAACCTGCCCATCCGAAAGCCTGTTCCTGATATTCTCGAAAACCCAGCCCAACGGCGGTGTCGTGCCCGCCAGAATGCCCCACCCGGCAATTCGTGGGCGCGGGATCTCCTGCTGCTGCCCCGGCGCCGCCTGGCCTGGCGTCGCGGCCGAAGCACCGGCAGCACCAGGCCGCCCGCCCAGCTGCCACTGGAGTTTCTCGGAGACTCCCCCCGTCAGGTCTCGGAGCGCTTCGCGCGTGTCTCCGTGCATGAGGTTCTCGTAGCAGCCGTGAGCTTTGGCGTAAGCTTTCTCTAGCAGGAAACCCCACAGCTCGTGCCTCTCTTCCCCGCGGCAGAAGAGAGGCTTTTTGCGTCCGTATTGATGTTCGTAAAAATCGTTTTTTTCCGAATGTTGTGGGGGAACACACGCAAGAAATGACGGACGTTAGCAGAGGATACGCAAAAAATCTCCCATGGTGGCGCGGGGGGGAATCGAACAGTGGGTGTGGTTTACTGGGTGAACCCGCACGATCCCATGTCGCGAACGCATTGACCACAAGTATCAACACGTTGATAGACCCGCAAGCCTAGCAAGCGACATCTGCGGTTGTGCCTGGCCAACTAGAAACGTCATGCTTCCCCCCGAAACCTGGGCGAGAGGTTTTTCTTCCGCCGGGGGCCGGATCCCGCTGCGCGCGTGGATGTGCGAAGGGTTAAACATTCTCGGTTCGTCTAGGTGCCGAGCGAAGACTACCGGACCGGCAAAAAAACTATGTCCCCTTGTACCCTCGTGCTCTCTCACATCTCCCAAAGCGTTGCACGCGATGCGGGTGTCGACGAAGACGTTGATCCAGTTGGCCTCCTTGAAGAGGCGGACACAGTAGCGACCGAGCGCCTCTTGCCCCGTGGGCACGAACAGCGATCTCAGCAGCTGCGGGCGTCCGGTGAGGATGCCTATCGCCGACAGCAGCCACTGGTCGGCCAACTTGGTATTGGCGAAACAAGAAAGTTGTTGGTATTTTGTTGCTATTTTGTTGGCGGTTGTTGTAGCTGGTGGTGGTGTATTGCTGGTTGTTAATTGTGGCTACAGCAGTTGCTGCCACTGTACGCTTCTCTGGTTGAGGTTGTTGTTGTAGTTGTTGCCGCCGTTGTTGTCGCTGTGTGCAGTTGCCAGGATGTACGACTTTTTTCCTCTTTGTGTTGTAACAGTGTGAGAATTACGTTGAATGTAGAGGCACCACTTCCTACGAAAAACGGAGGAAGGCGGTAGGAGGAACAACGGGAAGTAGAGACGCGGGGGCACTCACTGCGCATGAAAAGCTGCGATCCTGCTCTCAAAACCTCTTCTTCAGTTCTTCGTGCGACTTCAACAGGCACGTGTTCCCTCAATAGACAATACGGCACACCTGCCCTGGTACCATGGGACCGTCCCCAGGTACGTCCCCGACAAAAAGCACCGCCTCGCCTCCCGCAACTTCCGACGGTCGCAACCATCGCACTGCCTCTCCAGGAGGTATACCCGGCGGCACTGTTCCAGCCACGAGGCTAAGAGCACTTCGATATCCGCAGGATAGATTTTGGCCGGTGGTAAACGGTTTCGGAGCCTGGGGTTAGACGGGGAAACACGAGAATGTGCTCTCGGAAGTACCTTGGAAACAGCACATGTCCTATCGGCCTCCCAGGCACAAGTCTACTCGCTTCATTGGTTAATTTCAGGAGACCTGTTGTCCTCATTTGTGGCTCAGTCAAGGGCGCGCACGCCCTGTCAAACGAGAGTTTGCAGAAATGTGATGGACACGAACATCCTCGAACAAAACCGATAGCCCCATTGACTTGCGTGCAAAGTGAGCGATGTACCAAAATAATGTAAGAGAGGATACTGCAAGGACGCCGACACTGCCGTCGTGCCCACCTTGGGTCGGCCGGAAAGTCGGGGTCTTCCCAAAGAGTTCCCTCCGTTACGGCCGCCTGGCTTATGCTGTCTGACCATAGCTGAAGGAAGGCCTGGTTTTGCAGGGGTGGGCAACGTTGTCATCGTCGTTGCTGTTGTTCGTGCTGAAAGCTAACTAAGTTTTCATGGCATCTCCTTTCACGGAGAATCCGTTAAAGCCCGGGACAAGACAACTTAGTCCCCGGTGATATCTTTTTGGGCAAACCACCCTTCTGTTGTAGGCAAGCGATGAGCCCATGCTATCCATATGATCGCTCTTTGTCGACGTACAACAGGCATGTATGCTGTTTCTGTTCCATTCGAAAGTTATTCAAGGGAGAATCTACAGGGCCCTCCACTGGTTCCGGCTCAAGTGCGGAGAGAAAACACACGTAGAGGAACGATCTAGTCTCTGACCGCGGCGTAGCTGTAGAGGTACCGACCAAAGGAGAACTTTCTGAACGCACCGTCATCTGCGAGTCGCTGGACACAAAAGATTCGAACAGATGCTTTGCCAGCGCGCCCTCGTCGTCAAGGCCGGCCTTGAAAACAACGAAGTAGTGGCAAGTGGGGAGGGGGGGAGAGTGCTGCAGCACACAGAGTGTGGGGAATATATCGAGGCCCTTGGAGTAAATCAACTGAAGTTGAAAATCTAGGGTGTTTGGAACGGAAACAAACGCTGAAAATAGAAGTAGCGGGGAAGTGCGGGACGGAGTTAGTTGTCGACGGTAGAAAACCACTTGATCAGTGCTGAGAAGCACATGCCATTCTCCGGTAATACAGCATATACCGCTTCAACGCGGTGAGGTAGTCGCTATGCCTTCCGTTCACGTACTGAGAGCTTGCACTAGGAAGTTCAAATCCTCTTCAAGTACTGTTTTCTTATTTCGCACACGGAACCTGCACAATCCTCGTCAAAGGCTTGTGTGGCTAGCGCATCTACAGTTGGGTATCCAGTTATAACATATGAGGAGGAGGCCATTGCGATGGGTGGCACGAAGTAGCATGGTTAAAGACACACACGTCACCATAACATGTACATACCGTCAAGGAGTGCTCAAGTTGTACCAGTTGGTGATATCTCGATTGTCATCAAGGAAAGTCGAAGCATGACGGGAACACCCTGGCACGACAACTCCTTCAACGGACGGCAGCTCGCGCAATAGGGTAGTACATTCGTTGGCGTGGGCATCATACATGCACTCATTCGAAATTGCGTACCTGGTTGAAGGCCGTTCGACAAAGCCCCTCTATTGCCTCTGTCGACGGAGTCGTCACCCTAGAATCAAGCTTGAAGAGGAAACGACGAGCACATGTGGTAGCAGCAAGGGCACCATTAGCTGCGTGCGGGAGAACCGGTATGACGGATGAAAGGGGGAAACCACTCTGTAGGTGGAGGGTTTCAATTCGGCAACGGTACTATGCCTATTGCTTCACGCACAAGCATCTTGAGGGGAGGTCCACCATTCAGCAAGGCTCTGGAGGTTTCAAAGTGGTTTTACCACAGTACAGTACTGTGTGTGGAAAACTGTGTGGTGCAAACCCGGTGCCAACTGCGTTACCCTCTGCATCAAGGGTTCGGCGACATCAAGAGTGGTCTACCACCGAAACGACTATGGCCAAAGTTCGTGCTTCGCATGCAGTTGGGTTCACACAGAGAGAAAACCCGACCGAAGAATCAAATGGTCACGCCGGGAGCTACAGCACATTTTTGTCTCTAGGAGTATCTTTCACCAACATACGCAAATGCCAACTGATGCGTAGCCGCTCTATTTCTCCCACCTCTCCAGAAAACTCCGCCAAGTATCTACCAAAAATGACCCCAACATCAATCAATATACGAACCTTTGCGCAGGCGATAAGGGCCGTTCTCACGAGAATGGTGACCTCGGGGAGGTGCAGGTCCCCGTCCAAGCCAAAGTCGAACAAGGAGTGCATGAAGTCAACCTTTTCCGCAATGGTGGCCGAGCAAAGAAGCGCAAAGGCACACCTGCAGAAACGATTGCACAGAGCTTCCTCTCTTGGCTGCTTGTGTAGCTTAAACAACAACCGGCTCAACTGTGTGACCCCGAATGCGTGCGTTGGTCGCCGTCGTAGCACAGAGCACAGAATGGTCCGTGTAGATATACAATACAATTGTCAGTCTATGCGACATACATCCATGGACTTGCGTGAATTGCATTTTTTCACGATGCACCCTTCGATTCAATCAAGTTGTCCCCATCCCATCGCGGGCATAGATGGGCTACGTAGAGTAAGGTCGATTAGTCAGCGGGTTTGTGTTGCTTGGCACAAACTACGTGCTCACATCGCCTCGAAAGCATCTACCAGACCGTTGGCGTCTGTGTCGAAGATCCCATCGAACAGCGGGTCCGACGTTCGGCGATCAGCGCTGATAAGCACAGCGAAGTGCTTCGGCTGTAGAGCGTAAATTCCTGCAGTGTGGCACACACCAAGACGGCGCCATGGGTTCGGTGTTACACGCTGATCCATGAGAAATACGGTAGACGAATACTCTTACTCGTGAATGGCCATGCAGACCATCTGCACAAAGTATGCATGTATGTCTTGCATCTCGTCTCGCATATCTTCCGCATACAACACACCTCCCAAAGAAACAGCGTGTCGCCTTTTCATCATCGCGAGGTCATCCTTGCTCCAGACAGTGAACGGTAGGAGCCCCGGGGAGAACTCTGCTCTACCCGGCGGGGCTGACCAATCTAAACCCATTCGAGGGAGAATTTGGTTCGCTCCCGCTACACACACCAGGGTGGGAGAGAGAGCAGAGCTGGGGCAGCAGGTAGCACGCAGGTAGCAGCAAAAAAAAAAAACATTTCATCCCCTGTCCCCGATCAAGCCCGCAGGGTACATTGAACGCCATATGTTGACAGTCCCGCGCGCCCCTCCATCAGTCGGCCAAGTGTGCGCGCGAGTTGCGTGTTGTGCTGTCTCGCTTGACTGAACGAACAGCAGTGGTGCGTGAGTCTTTGGGGGCATGGAGTTTTTGCAAAAGGTGGAGGAAGAAGCTCGAAGGGGCGGAGATGATGGAGCATCCCCTGCTGCCGCATCAGATCCCACAGGTGCAGCAGTATCCCTCCCACCACTCTCTTGTGTGGTGTCGCGGTACAGGGCATGAGGGGTACAGCGGCGCAGTAAACAAATGTTATACCGAGCGAACCTGTAGTGTGTTAATCTTGCTGCTTTTGTGCTAATGCCGAGAACTACGGTGACCGTGGGACACCCGTCCTGTGTGCTCTTGGTGTAGACTACAGCGTAGCAACAGTACATGGAGAGAGCTGGTGCGCGCAGCTCGCAGCAGCTGTGACCCCGCAGCAAGCAGTGCAGGATATAGGATACAATATACACCCATGACTACCAGCAAATCAAGATGAAGTTTCGGTCCCTACGACGTCCTGGTCCTGCCTTATCTCTCACTTTCCCTCTTGTTCACTCTGAACATCCACCCCCCCCTTTTACTTGTCGAAGGCACGGGGGGCGGCAGCAGCAGCGTCACCGCCGCTGGCGGGAAGGGGGAGGCCAGCACAAAGAAGAAGCCCGTGGTATGCATTGTCATGGGCATGGCCGGGAGCGGGAAGACCACCCTGCTGCAGAGGCTGAACCTCTACACGGCGGAGAAGGGCATCAAGAGCTACTTCATCAACCTGGACCCGGCCGTCAAGCAGGTACCCTTCGGAGCCAGCATCGACATCCGAGACACTGTCAATTACAAAGAGGTGAGTGATGACCCCCAATGAAGATCGTCAAGCAACGACAGCAGGAGGCAGTCTGAGAGAGGAAGAAGTCTAAGAGAGGAGGCTGTCTGAGGGGTAGCCTTGAGAATATTGTTCCGTACTACTGTACCTGTGGCGTTTCTTTCTGAAACGGGTTTCGCGATCCTGCGACACTAAACCTTTCAAAATCCGTGTGTGGTTATATACATCAGGGTGCGGCGTATCTCCGTTGAGACCACTTGTGGTGGATTCACGGTTGTAAACACCAAAGAGTACCTTCATACACGAATTCTCTACAAGAGTACCAGGATCGCTTGGAGAAAAAAAATACAATGGCTGAACCCCTGTGCCATACCAAGAATGAAACATGTACTTGTTTTCCTTTGTTTTTGGTTCCACCATCGACCCCGAGCGCCTCCCCCCTCGGGCGTGGTCTTTCTCTGTTCCTTCTGTGGCGTTGTTCGGTCACGGAAATCGGGTGACCGGGTCTGCAATACGGCGATCTAACGCGCTGGGATGGTGCTACAACGCGAAAACGTGAAAGGTCATGAGCCAGTACGGTCTCGGGCCAAACGGGGCGATCACCACCTCCCTCAACCTCTTCGCGACGAGGTTCGACCAGGTCCTGGACCTCCTCGAGAAGCGATCGGATGACCTTGAGTGAGTGAAGTGCGTTTACGAGGGCTGCCTTGGTATGGAGTACAATTTATTGCTTTGGAAGGACCTTAGGGCAACATTGAGGTTTTGGGACAAGCATCGCTTGGTGGGGAGTTCTGTAGGCGCGGGTGGGGCGCATGTTTCTCGTTCATACTTCCGGACGTTGGTACTATCCTCGCTCTCTTGCTCCTTGTACAACGCAACATTGCTCCGTATTGGCGTATGGTGACTTGAGCGCTTGAGCATGTCAGTTCGTCTTGAATGCCTGAGGTGGAGCGAAGGCACCAATATACCCTCAGGAACCACTCGGCAGCGTGGCTAAATGAGACAAGCTTGGGAAGGAGAGCGTCCGGCTGTCCAGTGCCCTATTTTTCCTGATCCGCTCACCCCCTGCCTGCTTCTGCCCCATGGCCCTCCTTCAAACGCACGACATGATCCACGGGGACCCCGCAGGTACGTGTTCATCGACACCCCGGGGCAGATCGAGGTGTTCACTTGGAGCGCGTCTGGGCAAATCATCACGGAGACGCTGGCGTCCGCTTTCCCCACCGTGAGTGAACGGCGTTAAGACCCCACTTGCTTGCTAGATGTTGGTGACCGTAATAACACATGTGGGTGTGGCATGAGAAACGACAACGCGGCAGTACTAATAGGGAGGAGTGATGAGCCGCGGGGTATGACTCAACACCTGACCGTAGTCTATCTGCGGTTTTGTGCGAGGTGCGAGACACGCTGCTTCCAGGAAGCAGCAACGCAACAAACCAGAAAGCGGAATTTATTACTCGCGGAATTATTTGTTCGAACGGATTTTCCAAGACTGGTGCAACCGCTCCCGCTGGAAGTTTTTAACACATAAACAACGGCGGAGGAACCCACACACATGCTCGCCCTCTGCTACAGCAGTACCGCCAAACGATTGGCACCTGACAGCACTGTCGCCGACAAGAATGGACAGTGATAGCTGACACGAATGCACTCCTGTAGTACTGCTGCTGCTGCTGTAATGGTATTGACTCCCGTCTAACTCATTTCACCCATCATGTATGTTGAGACTTTCCAACGGCGAGAAGAGCGCGTCGTGCGCATCGTCCAGAGTCCTTGTTGTGTATCCAGAGGGTCGGCACCACGTGGGTGTGTATGTAGCCAGAGAGGGGGCGCCAGGTTTGCTATCACCGCTGTGCTTTCACAAATGGAAGGGATTGAACCGGGGCGGATGTATGTGTGTTCCTATGGATGTGCGAGACATACATAGCTGCGTGTCACCTCTCTCTGTGTCTCCTACTGGATAGCTGGCTTTGTGCATGGATCGATCTCCAATAGATTGTGTTTCGCCTCCTCGGCAACTCCGGGGGTTGGGGTGTGGTATCTCCTACGAATTTTGGGCACAAACTCCTGTGTAGCACGGCCATCTGTTGCCGGAGCACGACCAAACCGATGTGACGGAGAGTGCCCTAGTCGTCTCCCTCCTCAGAAGGAAACAGATCGTCAATCGGTGACGTGCAGGTCTTGGTTAGATCGCAAAGGTGGGTTATTTAGGCTTGCTGAAAATCAAACTTTGGGCCCCTGCATCACGATTAGAGCCAAGATCGATATTTAGAGATATTTTTCCTTCAGGGAAAAATCTCGACTTCGCGGCGATGCGGCTCATTAAATTTTGAGCGTTGTTTTTGCGGGGAATAGCAAGAGTGCGGATATTTCATCACACTACTAACATGTTGCATTGATTTTGCCCGAAGACCAATGCTCGTGTCGATGAGCGGTAAGAGCATTTTTACCACAGGCTGCTTCTTGCCATTGCAGCCCCCACACGCATGCACGTGCGTTTTCCTCTACCGTGAGTTCAGTTTAGGCGTATTCGTCCATGCATGCCGTGTTCTCCGGCTTGAAAACAGCGCTTCCTCGTACCCGCCTTCTGTTTCTTTTCTCCTTCAGACTCTGGTGTACGTCGTCGACACGCCTCGGACTGCAAACCCTACGACGTTTATGTCCAACATGCTGTACGCATGCAGCGTGCTGTACAAGTCGCGGTTACCGCTTGTGCTGGCTCTCAACAAGGTGCGCCCGCTTGGCGTCGAGACGTGTACGTCATCGATCACGATTCGTTGCTGTTGAGAGACTCGGACGGATTTTTGTGGTCTCACGCCGCCGATTCTTTGCGGTTGCACGTTTTACGAACAGAGGGCGTAGAGTGATTCGCACAGAGATTTTTTTGGGAAACCCTTTCTGTTTATCGTCCAGCGCTGCGCGGCTGGGCCTGTTGTTTGCACGAACCTACCACCACCACCTCTCCCCACTCTCCCGGAGCCCCCACCCCCGTATACCAGCGTACCAGAGTCTTCACCCCGAATACTAGAGTAACGGAATCCCTTACTAGAGTACCACACTGCCTGATCGCGGATTACGGGCTTGTCGTTCTTGGGCTTGGTTGGCCACCAGTCCGACATTCTGTCCCCGAAGTTCGCTTTGGAGTGGATGTCGGACTTCGAGAAGCTGCAGGAGGCCCTGGACACCTCCGGCGACGAGAGCTACATGAACAGCCTCAACCGCTCCCTCGCGCTCGTGCTCGACGAGTTCTACAACGCGCTCACGGCGGTCGGGGTGTCGGCGGCTAGCGGCGACGGCATGCCGGCTCTTTTCAAGGTTAGCGTCGGCGTTTCTCTTACCGTTGGATCGTATTTTGATCGCCATGCATCGCCACTTCGTTTGGGGAGGGGAGGGGGGGGGGGGAGGGGGG